CTTGATCACAGCCGCGAGGCTGTTGGTTGGACAATATTGGAAGAAGGAATCTTTGCCTACATTGCAGGAATGGTTTTTTAAAGTAGCTTATTTGGCGGAAATGGCAAAGATTTCGGCTTTCTTAAAGCAACAAACGCAAGAGAAGTTTTTTGCTATCTGGGACAAATGGATAAAATTTATACAATTTAGATTGGGTATACAAAAATATTATATAGCCTTTTCATAAGTTTTATTTTTATATATATTATAGATATCTTTTTTATATATATAAATATAGAGTTTTTAATTTAATTTTTATTTTTTTTTTTATTATTTCTTAAGCCTATATTCTGCTCTGGGAAGCTCAGGGGGGGGGGAAGGGAGGGTTTTTGGGAGGGGTGTGGGGTGGGGTTTTTTTTTTTATATGTATTGTTTAATTTTTTTTTCTTTTGTATATGTTGTTTTTTGTTCTGTATTGTTCTTGTTTTTTTTGTAAAATTTATAAAACTTTTAATAAAAAAAAAAAAAAAAAAAAAAAAAAAAATAAAGTTGGAAGGGACCTTGGAGGTCATCAAGTCCAATCCCCTGCCCAGGCAGGTAACCCTATACCATTTCAGACAAATGGCCGTCCAGTTTCTTCTTAAAAACTTCCAGTGTTGGAGCATTCACCGCTTCTGGAGGTAGGTTGTTCCACTGGTTATTTGTTCTAACTGTCAGGAAGTTTCTCCTTAGTTCTAGGTTGCTTCTCTCCTCGATTAGTTTCCATCCATTGCTTCTTGTCCTGCCCTCAGGCGCTTTGGAAAATAGCTTGACTCCCTCTTCTTTGTGGCAGCCCCTGAGATAATGGAACATTGCTATCATGTCCCCCCTCGTCCTTCTCTTCATTAAACTAGACATACCCAATTCCATCAACCTTTTCTTATACGTTTTAACCTCCAGTCCCCTAATCATCTTTGTTGCTCTTCTCTGTACTCTTTCTAGAGTCTCAACATCTTTTTACATTGGGGTGACCAAAACTGGATGCAGTATTCCAAGTGTGGCCTTACCAAGGCATTGTAGAGTGGTATTAATACTTCGCGTGATCTTGATTCTATCCCCCTGTTAATGCAGCCTAGCACTGTGTTGGCTTTTTTGGCAGCTGCAGCACACTGGCTCATATTTAGGTGATTGTTCACTAGGACTTCGAGGTCCCTCTCACAGTTACTGCTATTGAGCAAGGTACCCCCTATACTATACCTGTACATTTGGTTTTTCCTACCTAAATGTAGAACCTTACTTTTTTCACCATTGAATTTCATTTTGTTAGATAGCGCCCAGTGTTCAAATCTGTCCAGATCCTCCTGTATCCTAAGCCTGTCTTCTGGAGTGTTGGCTATTCCTGCCAGCTTGGTGTCGTCTGCAAATTTGATGAGTTCCCCATCTATCCCCTCGTCCAAATCGTTGAAAAAGATGTTGAAGAGCACTAGGCCCAGAACAGAGCCCTGGGGCACCCCATTACACACTTCCCTCCATGTAGATGCGGTTCCATTGAGGACCACATGCTGAGTACGGCTGGTCAGCCAGCTACGGATCCATCTGGTGGTCATGCTGTCTAACCCGCATTTTTCTATCTTATTGAGTAGTAGGTTGTGATCTACTTTGTCAAATGCCTTACTGAAGTCCAAGTATGTAGTCACTAAGAATCAAAACTGACTTGATGGCACATATTCAATCTATCACTTTTCAAAGATTCAGAAAAATAAACCAAGTTTGAACTGGGGCCATGTTGGGAAAATGCCAGCTAAGCTGGAAGGAAGGGATCAACGAGGGCGTAGCTTGGAGTCCTTGCCAGCCACAAGTGCATAAGTTTCACCTCCCCCAAGATCCATGAGCCTTATCTGGTCGTTCCCAGGGAAGGCAAGAAATCGGGTGAGATTCTTGTAACATAGCTGGTAAGCAATAAAGTTACTGGCTTTCACTATTCACAAGTGGCTCAGGTTGCTTGCATTGATAGGCCAGCATGCAAACCAATCTACGCTTTCTCTATAACCACTTTCCTCTTACTTATTAGGATGTAATAATAGGAGGAATAGAATTATTATTCCCTGCATACTGCCATAAACATGTAGAACATTATTAAAAGTTTCACTGTTCCTAGCCTTTAGACATTACCCTATATACCTATGATAGTGAACAAAGGTACTGAGACTCATGAAAAGTTTATATTATAAGGTTTTTATATATCCCTTTTGTCTACATTTAGCCTCTTTGGAAATCAGGAAAGAAAAAAATGTCCTAAATTTGTCCTAAATGTTTTTACACTGAGGCCCTACTATATCTTACATATTCCATATTCCTTTCGATCAGGATAATTGTGGAAAATGGACAGAAATTACAGTTAGACAATGTGTACAAAACAGCCTTTTCAGGTTAATCTAAAAAGTTTGGGCCAAATTAAAATGCTTGTCATTATAGATCCATGAAATCCAGTGTCCTGCATAACATTCACTTTGCAATCACTCTGCCATGATAAAAAGTTATAGGCAATACTGTCTTAAATTGACTATTATTTCAGTGAGTTCTCTATGACATTTTCTTATAGAAGTATAAGCTGGTTTGCAATTTGATTTGATCTAGTTTTAATTCAAAACACTGCAATATGCATTTGAAAGAAGAAGTATTTAACCTTTTGACAGCATTATCAGTATTCCATAAATACTTTGAATAATAAATTAAATGGTCTTGTTTGAGTTAGAAAATCCTTGCTCCTTTCATCAGCAAGGTCAATTATTATTTTTCCCATTTGATTCTAAAATCTGAATACCATTAACAACATTTTCCAGACCGAAAGGGAATAGATAATTAATGTTATTATTATATCAAGGATGACTATGACAGCGTGTGTCTGTATGTGTGTTAGGATTACACAAATTTAAAAGGTGAATTATTCCTTTTCTGAAACTGTGGTCATCACAAATTGAGATTATAAGCAATTCCTAAACAAGCTATGTAAGAATGTCCAACATATAAATAACTTCCAAAATAAAAATATAGAAAAAATATTTATGATGCTAATCATTAAGCATATTCCTCCAGAATAATTTGGCTAATAGAACAGATCTTTAATTCCTTCCTTATAAATGCCTGTGCAAACATAGCATCTTCTACAGTACTAAAAACAAAACAAAGGATGTTTTATATTTAGACAGTTGCCAAGGAAAAGTGTGTATTGTTAAATACATGCTTCCTTCACACTGAATATATTGCCATTCTTCATTAAGTAAAATATTAATTGCAATTGGTTTATAGAACAACAGTGGCTGGAAAAACTAAGTATCCCATAGTTAAGGGATCAACACAGTAAATCTATGTTACTATAAGATTTTTTCCGGTAAAGTAATAATTGGAAGTTGTTATTTCCAATTATAATATGTCAAACTGTAGCATCATTTGAATCCTTAACCATAGTTTGATTCAACACATAGCCTATGGTTGTAAGTTAGCATATCACATTTAAATTTAACTTGAATGTGTTATTCACAGAAAGCAAGACCAACTGATTAATCTGAATCTGAATAAAAAAGTCTGAACACTTCTTTGTAATCACAGTGGAGAAGGATAGGATTGGATCGGATCTGTGCAAGTAGTTCTCATCACAGTTAAACTACGGTTTAGCCTGAAACCCATATGTAGTTTTCTTTATAGGATTGCTGGCATAACTATTCTGATATTTTTTTGGGTATAAAAAAGGCAACATTATTAAATTGGTGTAATTATTTTGTTGAGTCAACTGGATAATGTCTTAAAAGAACATACACTGAATGCTACGGTGGCATACACTTTTTAAAATAATAAATGGCTTCAGGGCAAAAGTCTTCATTTTGTTTTTTTCACAAATTAAAGTTAACTCAATATTGGAATTAACACAACAGGTTTGTTTATTTATTTAACAATGGGAAATACCTATAAATATGCTTCAAAGGAAGGATTTATTGTTAGCTACAGATGGCTGGTTCTGTAACTAAGTGAGTAGCACCAATATACCTCGACTTACAACCATTTGCTTAATTACTGTTAGAAGTTATAACAGACTGTCCTGGGGGTTCTTACAACCTGGTTCTAAAGTTCTGAGGATTGGGCTCCCCATTCAGTCATGGTGACTGAATTTTGGGTGCCTGGCAATGGCTTGCATTTACAGCCGTTTGCAGCATCCCACAGTCACGTGACAACGTTTTACTATGTTTTGCCCAAAACAGCATTTACTTCCAGTTTTTAGCAAAACCAGCCCATACTGAACGATCAGTTTGTTTAACAACTGCAACCTTTACTTTATGATGGCAAAAAAGATTGTAAAGTTAGGTGGGTTCTGTTTTATGATCATCCTGGCTTATGATGGTAATGGGCAAGCTCCAAGGACTACCTGTATACAAATTCAGAAGCAGTTTCTCTAATAACTATTTAGCCAACCGGGGTCATGTGTCTTCTTGAAGAAATAGCAAATGACCCCTCAGTAACTTTTAGAATGGCCTTGTTATAAATTCCATCCATGCAGTACATTTAAATATAACCCTTTTTTTTAAAGTTCTGCTTACTATGAAGATGTGATTACTTCCTATGTATGTTATCCTACCGGCAGAAACAACATTTGGGATAATTAGCACGTAATTTGAAAGCTTCATCTATTTGAATCACAATTTGCTCTTTTTAGTTTTTGCTTTTCATGTTTGCAGTTAAACAAGAATAGGTACAATTATAGACCAAGAATGCATACCCCAACTATTTTTCTCAATTATGTAGTTCGAAAGTCCCAAGTACATATCGTACAGTTGATCTGAATTATTACATCTGTCACCATTTGAACATTTCACGGATGGTTATTTTCCTTTCTTTTGACAAACCACAATGAATTTGGGCACAACCCAAAATATGTCAAATATTCTTTTTTAGAGACATTTAAAAAAGAACAAGAGAAAGCAGTAAGATAGAAACCAAATGAAAATGAAAAAGAAATAGAAAAAGAAGAGCAATCTGATAAAACTCACAATCTGCTTCTAGAATGGACCGGACAGATCTAGCAAGTTCTTTGGCTTCTGTTGCAAGAGATGCCACAAGAGTGTGGCCATTCCGTCCCAGATGTGCAAGGAGCATTTTTGAAGAGATTGTGGCTTTCCTGTCACTGGATAAAATGATCAGAAAAAAAAGAACAAAGCATTTTCTTTACAAGGTCCCAACCTTTCTGCCTTTGTGGACTGGCGGAAGGGGGGGGGAGATAGCATGGGTCTGCGTAAGCAGCGGGCATGCACTCGCCCGCCATCTCCGCAGTCCGGTTCCGAACAGCTCAAGGCCCAGTATTGGGTCATGGTCCACAGCCCTGGTTTAAGTCACTAAATGCATTTTCATTTTCATCTATATCTAGAGTAGTCAAGGATTGATTCACCGGAACACTTTATTCTGACCTGTAATATTTCTCAATATAACCATTTTTTGAAATAGAGGACAAAGAGGTTAAACACTGCATGGTGAAGTGGGCTGCACACTTTGGCTATTTTATAAATATGGATATATGGCAAAAATGTGAGAAACTGGTGTTTTCACATTGTATCCTAATTTAAGAGAGCAATATTATAAAATAATGCACCAATGGTATATGACCTGATTTACAGCCTAAAATGTATAAAAGAATATCAAGTAAGCCTTGAAGATGAAGATGGAGACTTTTTACCATTCACCTTTCGAGGTGGACTTGTGAAAAAGCAAAGGAATTTGCGTGCAAATTAATACACTGTGGATTAACATAGTATTATGATTAAACCAGAATTGTATTTATTGGGCTGTATAGGTCTGTTGGCCAAAAGGTGAGTGAATAATAAATGAACAATTGCATTAAATTGCAACAGAAGACTGAGAGCTATAAATCAACATGACAGCGATCCACATCAACACGTGAGAAAGATTATTAATTAGGTAGAAGTCCTGTATAATTTTATACATGGAAACATGATTCTAATGTTATATTGTATCCACATCTCTCTGCTCTGAAATCTTAAGGGAAGGTGGATTGTATTTAGTATTCTGATAGATTCTAACCCCAAAATCTGATTTTATTCTCAAAATCCCTGAAAACAATTTTCAACAAGACGGGTGAGAACTGAGAACCGTATTCAGATCCATTTTGTGTAACAAATTCAGTTGTTTAGCCTTGGCAAATCAGATATTTCTATAGAGTCAATTCTCTCTATCTGTCTCAAAATAAGACTACTTGTTTCGCCAAACAGAATCTTCTGGGTATCAACGTTATAAAGCTAATTTTTAAAAAAATTTGCAAAAAAGTTCTGTATGGGATTTGTAAGCAAATAGTACCAAAATTTAATAATCAGTTCTCGGATTCTTTGCCCAGAGTTAAAGTATTAATTCAAGAAAATTTCAACAGCACACATTTCTTACCTTAAAGTGACTGGAGGGCTACTGCCATGCAATAGTATTTCGGGTACAGTCTACAGGCAAATGGTAGAAAGCAGAAAAAGAAATAAGTTAAATTAAATAAAATAAAAATTCCAAAAGCAAAATAGCATGGCTTTCTCTTTCACTGATTATATAATCACCAGTCCCCCAAGTGTGCATTTTGAAACCACACAGCTTTATATACCTGTCTCTTAAGGTACGTTAGCTTTGCTGGCAACAATTTACACCCTTCTGAAATCAACAGCCGTTAATACCCTTCTTAATGATTCTTGATTCTTTCAGTTGCTATCACCATAGCAGTTAACAGCCTTATCATTCAGGTGCCTATGAATTCCCTGCTCTTGTTATCAGGAAAGGTAGCGAGGCAAGCAAGTCAGCATCCAATCTGCAGCTGGCATGCTGTAGTCTACCAATAATCCTAACAGTAGTGTTGCATAAAAGCTAAAGTTGGAGACAGGCTTGACTTTGTGAGATATGGACAAGATCACCCCTCTCTCAAGCTGCTTCTGCCAACTTCTGTTTCGTCCTACACCGTGGCATCTAGAACCGGGGTAGCGCAGTAGTTAGAGTGCAGTATGTCAGGCTGACTCTGCTCACTGCCAAGAGTTTGATCCTGACCGGCTCAAGGTTGACTCAGCCTTCCATCCTTCTGAAGTTGGTAAAATGAAAACCCAGACTGTTGGAGGGATTAGGCTGACTCTATAAACCGCTTAGAGAGGGCTGTTAGTCTATGTGCTATTGCTATTATTAGAAGAATGCCTTGAAATATCTCTAGTCCACTGTTCAAATTATGGGAATAAAAGTAGGGAAGAGGTTTAATGAAAATTATCCCCATGTGTTATCTAAATCATGTCCTATGAATATATTTTTAAGACAGAATCTAAGAGATCCAATCAAAAAGGGAAGAAACAAGAACTTCTTCTAGCCTCATATGATTTGAACAATGATCTAGTGACCAAATACATTGTCCAAAGCTTCTATATCGATGTGAAGCTGTAAGACATAATCATGTAAGAACAAGAGAGAGGGGATACTGGAGATGGCAAAAACAATATTGTTAATGAACATCTTTGAGGATTTCTTGAGGGCGGAAGAAAACAAATGTCAGGGATTCTTCTTCCTTCCCTGGTGATCTGCTAGAAAAGCAACTACGGTTAATACAGAAGGCAGATTGTAAAGAGAACCCAACAGCATTAGCTACCTCCCTTTAGAGTTGGCATCATGGATTGTACCACTAAACAAGTTAAAAACTAACAATAACAAAGTAAAAGCCAAAGCAAGGACATATCTTATTATTAAACATTGAGTTAATAATCAGAAAAACATTCAATGAAGTCTTATTTGAGTTTATGAGACAATCTAGATCAGTGTTTCTCAACCTTGACAATTTTAAGGCATGTGGACTTCAACTCCCAGAATTCCACAGCCAGCAATGCTGGCTGTGGAATTTTGGGAGTTGAAGTCCACATGCCTTAAAATTGTCAAGGTTGAGAAACACTGATCTAGAAAGTTCTAATGTGAAAAATCTAGTTTTAGAATTCTGTGATTTTTGAATTACAAACCCTAGATTTGCAGCAATAGCTGAGTTATATAAAATATTTGATATCCTTGCATAGCAACAGGCTCCTGAACAGAGATTTATCTGTTCACAAAGGGACTTACTTTCTCAGAGATGTTCTAGTTCTGCTTTCTGAATTTTTAGTTTTGTTTTTTTTTTTTACTAAAAAGAAGAATACGTTTTCAACCCATTAATAATAATAGTGCAATTAAATAACTTTTAACAACACATCTTTGTAACAATTAATACAATCAACATACTCTAGTCTCTTGAAGGAAAAATATTTGAATTCACCATTACCTCAACAAATTCTAGCAATTTTTCAGTTGCCACCTCAAAGGTCTTCTTGGCTGTTTCAGATTTTCTTAATTGACAATCAAGCACAGTAATCCTCTTCCTTAAATCTTGCATACTCTCCTAGGAAAAAAAGAAATTAAGTAAAAACAAAAACACTAGCATCTAAATATCAAGGTAGGGAGTCAACAAAGGAGCGAAAAGGCATTACCTGTACCAAGATCTGATTTAGCATCCCGACACATTGCAAAATAAACAGTTTTATAGTGGGGGGGGGGTCAAGTGAACTTGAAAGTGATTAAAATACTGGAGAAACTGATCCATATTTTTAAAGAAAAAGTGTAGTCCAGTGCCCTTAGAGATGGTTAATTATTTCCTTAATTTGTAAACTTTTCATGGGTTCTACTTATCTAGCATATGGCATACAATGTCAAGGAAATCTATACACGCTAGACACACACAACGCAGTCCTGACAGCCTAGAATGCTAGTTCATTCTATTCAGTGCTTAGGCATCTATCCTTGGTGCACCGCGGGAGGTGAACTAGCTTTACACCAACTAACTGGGTTGTACATCTATCAGTGACAAGTATAGGAAAAAAATAGGGCTTCCTCTACAAGCAGAGTAAGGAAGCCACACTGAGCGGCAGATATTCACAGTGAGGATAGTATTTGACTGTGGTGTCAAGCTAGGGCACTGGTGGCGAACCTATGGCACGCGTGACAGAGGTGGCACTTGCAGCCCTTTCTGTGGGCACGTGCGCCATTGCCCCATCCCCATCTCCCCCTGCGGCCCCTTCCTCTCCAGAAGCCCCCCTGGAGGAGAGTTGCCCCCAGGCGCGGCCTGCATGGAGCAGCGCAGCCAAGGACATAGCCGGGCAGCAGAGACAAGACTCCGCCCTCGTGCTCCATAGTGTGCAGATGATGCTGCGGGGTGTGAGCGGAGGGCGTGGCTGCCATGGTGATCTGCTACGGTGGGCCATTGAGGCAGTGCATGGCCCTGTGGGTGGGCGGGTGGGGGTGGAGCAAGCAGGGCAGGAGGCGGAGTGGGGGCGGGTTTTGGGCACTCGGTCTCTAAAAGGTTCGCCATCACTGAGCTAGGGTGTAATAAGGTGAATTCAGAAACCTGCTTTGACATACATACTATTTAAATATTAGCCATGGATATCCTGAGCCCTAAGATGATAAAAACAGTACAATTATACCCTCTTCCAAAATTACAACTTTATATTTAAATGTATTGTAGCCCATGGTATAAAAATTGCCTTCACTTATTATGTATTCCAAAACAGAGTTCCCCAACGTTTCCAGCTTTGCGGACTGGTGGGGGGGCAGAGAGAGGGGATGGTTCGCATTTGTGGCTGGCAAGCCACCGCGGCCTGCTGCTCGCACAAATGGAGCACACGCGCAGGCACTCGCCTGCTGTTTGTGCAAGTGAGGATGCGTTCACGTGCTCACCGGCCTTTTCCGCAGCCTGACTGCCACAGGTTGGGGACCCCCGTTCTAAAATCTTGCTACCCTTCCTCATGTATAATTAATTCCAGGTTTTCGTGTTACTCAGATCCATCCAATGGCATGTGTTTGTGTGTAAGACTTCAGTTAAATTTTCAATTCATAAAATTATTGCTTCTTCATCTTCAAAAATTAGCATAGCAAACCAATGCCATTAATTATGATTTGATTATGCTGGAGGATTTACTTTTTGACTCCTCTAAAGATTAAATAGAAAGAGTTTTTTTTCATTTTTTTTCTTCAAAAGACGGATTCCTGTATTATGACAAGCCTTTTTTTATCAATGAAGTTGCTTGACTTCCCCAAAGGAAATTATTGTTACTTTAAGATAAAATTAGCACAAAACAAGGATCATTAAAATGACTTGTTCTCCAAGAACCCATGCTAATATTAGCTGCAGAGGACCCTTCTTGAAGTTCTGGCAGCATCATTTTCCTTTTTGTATGAATGCTGATAGAAATAAGTGCTGCTGCAGACAGAAGGCAACTTGTCTGAAATCTTGTCAGGAGGAAGTAATGTACCAATAAAAGGTACATTAGGGAATATTTGCTCGTCATCTTCTGCAGAGGCATTCTCTTGTGTGCACTGAACTCTTTTCCTCCCTTCCCCATCCTTTGTTAACTAGTTACAAACATCAAACTACAAAGTAGCCAACTACCTTTGGCTATTTGGTATAATTATGGATGAATGTATAGGAACTGCTTGTGATAAGGTAAGAAGCTAAGTTACAAAGCATTGTTATATGGTTTCGCTAGTTTGACTTCGTCAACCGGTCTCTGGGGTTATTGGCCTTATTTACGATTATGCATTTTTTTAAAATAAATTTTTATTGATTTTCTAGTTTTACATTTAAATATTTGAAAAGCAACGTGGTGGCTGAGTTGATCAATAATTCAATAACATACAAATATCTTTAATACGGATCTCAAACTATTACATTAAGTTACTTGTCTGAGCAGGGAGTTGGACTTGACGACCTCCAAGGTCCCTTCCAACTACTACTACTACTACTACTACTACTACTACTACTACTTCTTCTTCTTCTTCTTCTTCTTCTTCTTCTTCTTCTTCTTCTTCTTCTTCTTCTTCTTCTTCTTCTTCTTCTTCTTCTTCTTCTTCTTCTTCTTCTTCTTCTTCTTCTTCTTCCTCCTCCTCCTCTCCTCCTCTCCTCCGCCTCCTCCTTATTATTATTTCCTCTCCTTTCCCCTTGGTATTTACTGTCTCATATTTAAACTAATGCAATTCTAACATTCAATATTTTTAGACAATCAATGTCCTAATTAGTTTTTCCCTATTTTTAGTTTCCCATTAATATTTAAATTTAACGTTTAATATTTATAATTTCCAAGTTTTAAATAATCCCAATTCCCTTTATCACAATTCATCACAAGATCTAATGTTCAGGATACACGTCTTATCTATCTGAATTCTCACCATCTTACATCAACTAATTAATAATACAACTATTATGCATTTTATCTGAACATGGCCTGCTCTAGAGAGGATTCAAGGTACACTTGAATTGCTTAGCCTTGCCTACATACGAAAATCCATGTACATTTGTTTCACAAGACAATTAGCCTCTTACATTATCACAAGCAGTTCTTATATATTCATCCATAATTATACTAAATAGCCAAGGGATCATAATCAAATTCATCTATAACAAAGATTCTGCTATAAATTGTGTACGGTGCTTGATAAAAGGCACTTACTGTATGTTTTAGAGTTTCAGAATGGAGGGAGAGGAAACCCTGTTTTCAAGTGTCTATAAAAATTAAGATTAGTAATCAAGAATCAGATTTAGAGAAATGCTATACTGAGTGAGTGCACATGTATGTACTCAACATAAAACATTATCACCCATGGCAACTTCAGATGGCCTCAACTTACACTGTTAAATGCATGTATATTACCCCATTTTCAGTATGTATGAGTGTGTGTGTATGTATGTATACAAACATTAATACACATACACACACCTATCTAGGAAACTTTTTTAAATAAAAGACAAATTATTGTTTTTTGGCAAATAATTCCCTTGTAGCTTTGTCTTTATTATAATACAAAAGTAGTCCACAGTTCTTTGCTGTGTCTGTAACTTAAAGATCAAGAAAAACTACTTTCAATTAATTGAATTGAATTAAAAGGAGAAATAGGGTATTTTTATGTAGTTAATGCAAAAATTGACTGAAATATTTGTTGCAAACAAGATATGAAGATCACATCTCAGGTAATCCTCAAGTAACAACTAGATTTCTGGTTGTAAGTTATTACAGTCATAAGTCGAGGCTGTTTTTATGACATTTTTGCAGAGCGCATTAAGCAAATCAGTGCAGTCATTAAGTGAGTCATCCCATTCCTTTCTTCTAGGGTCAACATTACTTTTAGCTCTCAAGTTGGCAATGAATTTATTTTAGTCGGTCGTATGCTGGAAAGTCCATAGTTCTTTGGGAAAACTGAAGGATGTTTCATTCTTTGTGGTCTGTTATAAAGTAAATAAAATTTATAGTAAACTGAACATTGGTTGTAGCCTATTTCTACTAACTGAAACATCAACTTGATTGTTTTTGCTTTAAGCGTTATATCATTTCTAGAAAATGCACCAATCAGATAGAATATCTGGTTACCACAGCTGCAACTGAATTTCAGCATTAAAAAGAAAGCATTTGAAATAAAGCTTTATTTTTTTTAAAATATTTATAAAAATAAATAGTAATTATATAACCTCTATAATATTTACTCCCCATTAACCACCATAAAATCCTCTACATAATCAGGTGGGTTATAAATGTTTTGTATAAAATAACCAAAATGAATGTACAGACTAAGGACCCCTAGCTAACTGGAACTCAGATGGAATTAAGTGTTTATAGGACTGCAATTTTAATTTCTGAATAAAATTAAAGCTGTTTCATCCACTGTACAGTTAAAATATAGATCAAATATAAATGCAATATGCTCTATATATCTCGTGCACTTGAGCTACGCCATACTGACCAGCCACCGAAATGAAGCCAAAGTTCATATTTTGTCACTCAAAACACTTCTCTAAAGAAAAAAAAGTGCATAGCTTTTATGCCCCTCTTCCCTTCACAGCACGTTCATTCCAGCTCTTGAATTGTACAAGACAAACAGTGGCTTATTTTAAGAGAACAAATGGAAGAAAAATGAAAAACAGGATACTTGACAGCAGCAAGGAAACCATGGCAACTCTACTAGAGACTACTGGAAGTGCTTACTTTATTTTGGCCACCACCGTGATCAGCCAGCTGAGCCCTCAGCCTGGTGATTTCTATCTCCAACAAACTGATTACTTCCTCGTAGTCCAGTTCCATTCCACGAGCTTGCTTTTGGGCAGCTTCTGCGAGGTGGATTCTGCTTCGTAAGGTTCTCGCCTCCTCCACAGATGCCTTGGCTTCCTACAGGGAATCAAGTTCTATTTTTAAAATGTACCATTCGTGCTAACTAGATACTTTCATTTTGCTTTGACTATGTAAAGTTACTTTAAATGCGTCTTTTCTCCTTTCGAAACAGCTAAAAAAAAAAAAAAAACAGACCCAAAGAGCTGCAAATACATGTACTATTGCAGAAAGAGTTGCTCCAAGAAAAAAAGAATAAAAATGCTTGAGAATTCCCAAAGCCAATTCCCTCTTCCATCGTTTCAGCTTGCCCTTCTGACACTCTCTATTCAACAGTGCCTTCGTTGTGGTCCTCCCTGTGGACACAACCTTTCCTGGACATTCAGGTGGGCCTTTTTATTTAAAGGTATGGAAGACTTGGTTTCTCCCCTGAGCATTGGGCCAAGTTATTTGGTGAGGCTATCTTGGTGCTGTGATTTTGTGTGTTTTGTTTATATATATATATATTATTAGTTTTTTTTTATCATAACAATCTTTAGTATTTACTAAGCAACATGTTGTCTGGGTTTACATATTTAACATCAATAGTAATAGTTTCCATTCCTATCCTTTATTCTGTTTTTCTAACCATTTATAAAATTTTTCCCATGTTTGGAAAATGAGTCTTGTTTCCCTTTCATTTTCAATGCGAGCCTATCCATTTCTACACAGTCCAAAATTTTCTTAATTGTATCTTCTTCAGATGGTATTTCTTCGTTTTTCCAATATTGAGCAAATGTAATTCTCGCTGCTGTTGATACATATAATATTAAGTATACACATTTTTATCATATTTTTTTGAGATTATACCTAAGCAAAATAGTTCTGGATTATAGTCTATATGTGCTTCTATCATCTTCTTTAGCCACCTATGTATTTTTGATCAAAAGTTTTTGTTTTAGTGCATGTCCACCAAAGATGGTAATGTTTCCAATAATTGCTAGATATATTTTTAAACATTTTTGCTAGTCTTGCAGGTGGTAAATGCCATCTATAGAACATTTTATATAGATTTTCTTTATAAGCAGCTACCCTTGTTATTTTATAGTTTCTTTCCCATAGGTTTTGCCATTTTTCTAGCTCTACAGTGTGCCCAAATTTTTTTGCCCAAGTTATCATTGTTTCCTTAATGTTCATCTTCCATCTTTAAATTTAACAGAAAATTGTACAATTTCTTAATCAATTTGTCATCTGATGACAATAGTATCTGGTCAAACGCTGTCTGATCTTTGTAAAAACCATATATTTTAAAAACCATATATTTTTGCATCTTTCTCATATCTCATTTGCATTTGCAAATGTGGCTACCATCAAAGCTCTATGCCCTATTCTTCCAATTGTTTAGTTTGTAGTTTCCCATCAATATTCAAAATATCTTTATAAGTCACAAGTTTCTCATAGTTAATTAAATTTGGGTGAACAAACGCCTCCATTGTCGAGATCCATTCTGGTATTTTCATGTTAATGCTCGATTTTATCTTTTCCCATGTCAAAAGCAATTTCTTATATAGTGGTTTTGAAAGTGTTTATGAATTTTTTGTTCTTCCCATAACATAGAAATGCGTGCCATTTGTAGGTCATGCCCTTCTAGGTATAATAGTCTTTTGTTTCTAAGGATTATCCATTCTTTTAACTATGTTAATGCAGCTGCTTGACAGTACAAAACCCAACCTGGTAGCCCAAAGCCTCCATTTTCTTTCGCTTCTTGTAACATTTTCAATCTAATTCTGGCTTTTTTTTTGTTGCGAAATAAATTTCAGTATCGATGCATTTAATTCATAAAAAAAAATTCTCAATTTTTATTGGTATTGTTTGAAATAAGAAAAGAAGTTTTGGTAGAATGTTCATTTTCACAGTCACTATTCTTCCCAAAATTGATAGTTGTAGATTTTCCCATTTTTCCAGGTCTAGTTTTATTTGTTCTAGTAATTTTACATAATTGTCTTCTTTTATTGTTGCGCACCTTGCTGTTAGATATATCCCCAAGTATTTCACTTTCTTGACTATTTGAAGGTCTGTTTTTTTCTGACAACTGATTTTTTTGTTTTATCTGTAAGATTTTAAACTATAACTTTAGTCTTTTCTCTATTTATTTTCAGTCCTGCTACTTCTCCAAATTCTTCGATCTTTGCTAATAATTTAGAACTTCTCTCTAAAGGATCCTCTACTATAAATACCAAGTCATCTGCAAAAGCTTGTAGTTTGTACTTTTCATCTTTTATCTCCATTCCTTTAATTTCTGGGTCCTGTCTAACATTTCTGTTCAGCACTTCCAGGGTTAGAATAAATAATAGTGGAGATAGTGGACACCCTTGTCTTGTACCTTTTTTTAATATTGAAACTCTCCATGAAATCTCCATTCATAATTATTTTAGCTTTTTGTCTATGATAAATTGTTTGGATTATATTCATAAATTTTTCTCCAAAATCCATATAGTTTAGTTGTTGAACCATAAATTGCCAATTGATATTATCAAAAGCCTTCTGTGCATCTAGAAAGATTAATGCCATTTGTTTCCTTGAATGCATTTCATAATATTCCAATTTATCTAAAATCATTTTTAAATTACTCCTTATTTGTCTCTTTGGTAAGAATCCATTTTGATCTGAATGTATAAATTCAATCAAAAATCTCTTTAATTTTTATTTTCTCTCTCCATGCCAGCAAAAAAGAACAAAGGAGAAACAACCAAAACTAACTAGAAAAGGAAAATAAAACACTAAACTATAAAAAGAAATCCTTTAAACCGCTCTGTCCGCTTCAAAAGTTACTCACCGAGACTCTTTAACCGCGGAGATAGAAGCGGCGGTTCCTTTTGCTTCCGAAGAAGCAAAAACAGCTGGGAGGCGGAGATCAGCAGGAGCTCCGAGGGAACGCTCCTTCCACCCCCTCAAGGAAAAAATCCAGAGGGGGTTCAGGGGTTCTACCTCTACTCCTGCGTTCTCTACCCCTTCCCTTTGCCCGGGAAGGGGATTCCGAACCGCGGGCCAGCTGATGCGCGCTGTGCCCCGCGGCTCTGACACCTTCCCAGCTGGACGGCTACAAAGTAGCCGCCATCATCGCCGCCACGTACCGGAAGCTCCCCAAAAATCTCTTTAATTTTTCTGCTATTATTGAAGCAAAGATTTTATAATCCACATTTAGTAGAGATATTGGTCTGTAATTCTTTATCTGGGTCAAGTCTGAGTCTTCTTTGGGTATTAGTGTAATATTAGCTTCTATCCATATAGTTGGTAATTTGGCTTTTAATAATACCTCGTTACACCTTGCATTGGTAAGATTAGTGTATCTTGTAAGCATTTGTAAAATTCTGCCGGTAGCCCATTTGGGCCTGGTGTCTTGTCATTTTTTTGTTTTTTTATAGCTTCTCTCAACTCCATCACTGTTATTTTTCCATTTAGCACGTTCTTGAAGTTCTCTGAGATTTTTGTAGCTTAACATTCTCTATACATTGCGTTATTTTTTCCTGAGGAATTTCTTCTATATTTAAAGTATTATTTTTTTTACTGCATCATTTTGACATTGTAAATCGCCTCTCATATCTTGTAAATTATTTATCAATTTCTTCTCTCTTTCTTTTTTCAGTTTATAAGCCAATCATCTTTTCGGCTTATTATCATTTAAAAAAATGTTTTGCTTTTTTGAATTGTTAGGTCATTTCTTCAGCTTTTATTAAATGTAATTTATGTTTTATTATCTCCATTTGTTTTTTAAGACTTTTCTTTTATGGGTTTCTTTGTAATTCTAATTCTAGTCTTATAAGTTCTTCTTTTAGTTTAGTTTGTTGTTGTTTTTTGTCTTTCATCTTTTTTGCCCTATAAGTTATGGATAATCCTCTAAAATATTCTTTGGCTGTGTCCCAAATATTAAGTGAACATCTTGTTTGCTATGGCACAGGTCTCCAACCTTTCCGGGCTCGAGGATCAGAGGGAAGGATAGCAGCTTCAAAATTGGCACACGTGCATGTGTACACACTGGTGCAGTACTAGCAGACTCATTCACGCATGCGGCATGCCCTGGCCCCATGCGCATGCGCGAATGGCGGTGCACGCCCCACGGCAGCTAGTGGCCTGTTTGTGCATGTGAAAATGGGCCACGCAAACCACCTGGGCTAGCGGCACATGCGCAAATAGACTGCGGACACCCGCCCCATGCTAGCATCCCCGTCTACGCTTATGCAGATGTTGGGATGTTTTCCAAAAATGTCGCAAGTCGTAGTAATGTGACTGTGGCATGCGGCAAATGGAGGACAGTGGCCAAGCACCCAAATGCAGTCATGTGGCCATGTGGGTGGGTGCAGAGGCAGACATCAGAACTTTGAATCCATGTTATAGGTAACTTTTACCAGGATTTGTTGTAACTTTGAATGGTCGCTAAGAGACCTGTTGTTAGTTGAAGACTATCTGTATTATAAATTATGTAATCAAGATATGAAATATGGAAAACGGATATCTCAGAAACAAGGAATATCTTTCAGTGTGGGGGAAAAAAAAACAGAGCGAATTACTTAATTTAATTTTACAGATATTCTACCCACTTGTTTGGTAATCCGCAACTCTTCAGCTAGTTGTTTTCTCACACATTCTGACTTTGCCAATTCTTCCTAAGACATATATGGAGAAAAGATAAGCAGTAAATTTAGAGATTTTTCCCACCCCCTCCCATCATTCAATGACATTTTGATATAAGAAAATCTGGTTAAAGCAACTCCCAAAAAATGATTTCAGCTTCCTATAAAACAGACCAAAGCTTCTGAGAATCTGAAACCCCCTTTTCAAAGCACTGCTCTATCTTTCTCTTCCTGTGACAATGGGTGTTCCCATCTGCCTCCCAATCCCATCAGTCCTATCTTCCCAAATCTCTAGAAATCCCTCCTATCCAATATCACATACTACCCAGTCCTAATCATCCCACCACCCCAGGGGGCTGCATCTGATTAATACTCATAATCTCCCTGAGTCTGCCCACCATAAACCAAACTCAAAAAATTGATTATCCACTTATATCTTTCAGAACCTGTTTCTTTCATAAGTGCCACGTAAGTGGCAACCACCTAAACTACTATCAAGGAAACGATGCACATGTTCCTCTTTTCCTTACTTGGAGAGGAACCAGTCATTTTTTCCTTCCACTTCACCCAATCCAACTTTATTAACAGTATTGTTCCACCAGTGAAAAGGTGATTGCTTCTAATTGCTAAAAAAAGAAAAAAGAAAAAGAAGGCTGCAACTCAGTATCCCTCTTATTTGGGATGAGATAGTGGTGACAAAATTAACATTCTGAACGTATCTAAGGGAAATTTCCTGTTGTACTGCTTCATAGCTAACAAGAGTTATTTTCTTAGAAATATAAAGATTCAAATTAAGCTCACATTTTCAATTCCCCCCCCCTATTCCACTGAGGTATTTCTAATTCTGCTTCCTCACAACATGTGCATATGTGACACACAATACACAAATGCACAGAAGGAACATTTTGGCTCCTTTTGTTCTACAAGGACAACCATGGCTACATTATTGGGAGTGTCAAGGTCTCCTGACTGCCAATCAGAATCAGTTGTTTTCTTTGGAGGTTTTACTGAAGCAATCAAGTCAAGAGTAACCTGTATCAGTCAGAAGAGCAGATCAGAAACGCCTCAGCCTTTTAACGGCAGAAAGTCATTCATCAGATTGGTTTGTTCTTTTTCACAGTGTTAGAGATCAGCCATTACTGGTAGTCCTTGACTTATAACAGTTCATTTAGTGACTGTTTGAAGTTACAACTGCACTGGAAAAAGTGGCTTGTGACCATTTTTCACTTACAACTGTTGCAGCATTCTCCATGGTCACGTGATCAAAATTCAGCCACTTGGCAACTGACTCATATTTATGACGGCTGCAGTGTCCCAGGGTCATCTGATCACCTTTTGTAACCCTTCTGACAAGCAAAGTCAATGGGGAAGCCAGATTTACTTAACAACCAGGTTACTAGCCTAACCACTGCAGTGATTCACTCACCAACTGTGGCAAGAAGGGTTGTAAAATGGGGCAAAACACACTTAACAACTGTCTTGCTTAGCAACAGATATCTTGGGCTCAACTGTGATCATAAGTTGAGGACTACCTGTATGTACAATCTCCCCCCTTCATTCTGGAAATGCACCCTGCAGCTGTTTGTGCTTATTTAAAAATTATGGATGCGCAATTGTTCAAATAGCAAATATGGTTAGCTTGCAATGCTAAATATGAAGGAAGATATTTGGGTTCTGTAAAAAAAAAACCCAACAGAACAGACTTGTTATTTTTATTGACATTCCCTTCCTAATGGCATCTGAAAGCAGTAAACTGACAGTAAACTGAAACCTTGTGGGAAAGGCATGACAATGTTATATATATACATATATATACATACATACATACATACAAACATACATATATATATATATTGTTTATATTAAACAGGCTGGTTTATTATATCCTGGTGTTCGTTTTTTCTTTTATTTGTTAGCATACATATATGTGTGTGTGTGTGTGTGTGTGTGTGTGTGTATGTATATGTGTGTGCATGTGTGTGTGTGTATGTATATATGAGAGAAAAATGCTTAATTTGCCTTAAAATGGTGGGTTAAAAAAAGAAATAAAAATGCTGACAAAAGAGGAAAAAGGAGCAAATGTCCCCCACAATATTGTTAAAGGAAGACAGTAATAGGTCAAATTTTAGCTGGAAAGAGGAAACCTGTAATTGGATCGCCATTCTTGCGATGGAAACATCTGTCAGGGTGCAAGTAAATGGGGAATCGGGCTCTCCTCAAAAGAAATGAAGCGCTTCAAATTTTCACTGAATAATTTGTTTTAAAAACTGGGGAACTGCAAGTGCAAGTCAGATACTCCACCACATACCTAAAGATATGATTCCCTTCTGTAACCAATGAACCAAGGTGACTGAATTTCTTCCTATGGGGAGATGGACTTTAGGGCTGTGCGTTCACTGACACATATTCGTCCTCTGCTCCAAACTAGCTCAGAACGGTGGTTTAAGCAGATCCAGGCAGCTTTTAAAGGAGAATATTTGTGGCTCAGGGTTGAAATGAGGGGGTCTATGGTGCTCTTTGAATTTGTTTTCTTGCAGACATTTCATTACCCAAACTGGGTAACAACCACCAGCGCTAGTCAAAATAGGTAACCTCATCAGTGCTAGTGACTTGGTCGCTGCCTTGGTTGCAAGAAAGCAACCAAGCTCAGAGATCACAAAGTACACACACACATACACGCTCCCCGTTCTTGCAGACTAGCTGTCCGGGTTAGCAAAGCAAACCACAAAACAGCCCCACACTAGAAGGCAGCCTGTGAGAATGCCCCTTACTATTTCCTCTTGCCCTTTCCCCAGCATGGTGCCACTTGCTACTTTTTCTGGGTATGGTTGAGTATATTCTTAAACAAGAATATTTGTTTATCTACATGGGGCCCCAAAGCATTTGTGGAAATAATTATAATGTTAGGCATCTCCAAACCTATGCTTTGCAGCTCTGTTGGATTAATTCTTATCACGGGCAGCCAACTACTGATGAGAGTTGCTGTCCACACTGGGAAAACTTGATCTAAGAGTCCCTGATGAAAAAACTCTCAATTTCCCTTCTTTACAGAAACAATCTCAAGGGACCTCCCTTGAGCTCTCTTCACTGCTTTCTGACTTCTATTTACGTTCATCACATTAGATTCAGTTGGTTAAACAACTCCTCTTAATTCTACTTATTCAAAGCTTTACATAAATAAGTTAGTTCAGCGAGGCTCATAGTTAAAAATAATCAAAATTAAAGCAGTGCGTTTACAAATTAAAGCATGCACAGGGTCCAACAATACGTCACTGGAATAGGTAGCAATAGCAATTACACGTTGCCAGCATTAAAGACATATTGTGGAAGTCTGCAGAGAATTGTCCTGGGGACATATCCAAGGACGTAATCAAACAAATGATTATTGTAATTACTTAACAAATTAACTCTTGGTGTAGACAATCACATAGGAACAATGATTATTTCATGAAGTTGGTAGAGAACTAATGAAACAAAAATTATGACCCCAGAAACCGTCTGCCAGTACAGCATTTTAAATCTTACACTAAGTTACACTTTAAAAAGGTTTAAAGCCCGGTATGTGTTTAAGACTAGAAATCTCTGCTTCTTATTATGAAGCATCAATCAAATCTTTATTATGGTCATAGACCAGCATAAGAAAAGTAGGGTATAGCCATTAAAAAAGCGCAGAAGATAAAAATAAAAACTAAAAAGATTATGAAAAGCTGTAAGATACAATACATACATGAATGAAAGACTAAAAGTATATTAAAAAGAGAGAAACTTAAAAGGACAGTGACATTAGATGGGTACGGGGGAGCATAGAAGGTTAGTATATGGTACATCCATCAAGTTACAGGGCATTGTAATATGATGAATTAGCTATTCATTAAATCTAGCTTATAGCACAGGTCATCACCTGATAAATTTTGTTGCTGCACAGAACCTAACAACACTATATGTTGTAGTAGGATTTCTTAAGAAGCACATCTTTATACGATTCATATTTTTTTTTTGTCTTCTGAATGAAAGTTAAATGAGGATATCTATGTTGCAAGCTATCTTGAGTCAGTCTATTGAACAGGCAATCATTTGGGAAGTTGAGAGTCCCTGAGAACAACAGCAACCACAATGGAAGTTGTTGTGATATCAGGTTCTTTAAGCAAGTCAACCCACACAATCAAATAAAACAAAAGGGTATAGAGTTCCACTTGGCTGACCTTGGCTGGGCCACAAAGCTAAATCAAGTTGGGTCTGGTTGGTAGTTGGAAGACAAACCACCAGGGAATTCTTACAGACTAGTTTGGTAACTCGGAAAAAAATATCCCAGAAGGCAATAGCTGAAAAAACTGCGCAAATATACCCCTGTAGTCGCCAAGGATTATGTTTAACTTGCAAGCCACTTTACCTCTTCCTAATTAACAGGAAAGATATTTTAAAAATAAGTTCTGTTTTCATTCAACTCCCACGCCCCTCCAAAGGTTTCAGGGCAACATACCAAAAATACAGTGGATCAAAGGGAATGGAATGGATTAAAAATATTAATATATAAATTGTATGGCTGTGAAAGTTGGACCATAAGAAAGGCTGAGCACAAAAGAATTGAGGCCTTTGAACTATGGTGCTGGACTCCTGCGAGTCCCCTGGACTGCAAGGCGATCAAACCGGTCAGTCCTAGAGGAGATCAACCCCGACTGCTCTTTAGAAGGCCAGATCCTGAAGTTGAAACTCAAGTACTTTGGCCACCTAATGAGAAGGAAGGACTCACTGGAGAAGAGCCTAATGCTGGGAAAGATTGAGGGAAATAGAAGAAGAGGACAACAGAGAATGAGGTGGCTGGATGGAGTCACTGAAGCAGTAGGTGTGAGCTTTAAATGGACTCCAGAAGATGGTAGAGGACAGGAAGACCTGGAGGAACATTGTCCATGGGATTGCGATGGGTTGGACACGACTTCGCAACTAACAACAATAACAAATATATAAATTATAAAGCAACCAGAAATAATTACTGGTAAACAATAACTGGGACAGGACTCTATTTATTTACAAAGACTGTCCAAATCCAGATGATTCAAGCAGTGTACCACATCAAAAGAAAAATTCCAAAAGAACAAAGTGTGTCTCTCGAAAAGAACATTAAAGAGATATGTGAAATCCTAACATCTTAAAAGGGGTTTCACCTTTCATCCACCCTAACCCAAAGCTTGGGGAAATAGATTTTTAGAGATTTTTTTAATGATAGGTGGGGTTGGGGCCATATAAGAATCTGGAAGGATGACGGCAGCAAGAGAGAAAAATTTTGTAATTTTTGTAAAATTTTTCAATAAAAAAAAGAACACAATTAAACTGCATCGTATTTAGAAATTTTTTACAGTACAGTATAAAGAAAGCAAATAATACTAATTTTATTTAATCATTCTACATTTAGCTCACCTTTTTACTAAGTGGTAAGTACTGCAATGTGTTTAAAATATACAAAGATCAGTGCAGATGTTTAAATTGATCAAAGCAAAATGTCACCTTCAGTTGACATATTTCTTTCAAAGCTTCATTTTTCTCTTTCCTAAGTTGTTCCATTTCATATCTTTCCAAATGATCGCAAGATACAAGCTGTATGCATTAAAAAAAACCAGAAGTAGAAGTTGAGGGAATATATGTATACAAATAACAGAAAAATAACAACATGTCTGTTATTTAACCTAATACTCTAAGCGTACTAATTCAGTCCACTGAATAAAAACTCTTTTCTACTATATAAATAAAGTTACAAAAAAACTACAGGAACACCGACAGAGGGTGGGTGGAGAACTATTTCATTTTTAGATTTTGAAATACTGGATAATGTACTGTACCTGTAGTCCTTGACTTACAACTGGTTGTTTAACAAATATTCAAAGTTATGATGGATTTAAAAAAAAGCAACTTATGCCTGGCTTTGAAGTTACAATTACCCCCCCCCCCATAGTCACATGACTGAGATTAGTGACTTTTTTGCCGTTTTCTGGATATGCTGGATTTGTTTAAAGACCACGTGATTCACTTAGCAACATGGTGATTTGTTTTAAGATTGTCATAAAAATGGCTGTAAAATCAGGTCCAGTCACAAAGATTTACAACAGAAATTCTGGGCTCCATTGTGGTCATAAGTTGAGGACTACCTCAAGTAGTAGTTTATCTGGCAATGCTATTTACATTAGTGAAAACAAGCTTGATTTATTTACTACAGATAAATAAATATGAACACAAGTGGTCTAGCTAAACTCTCCCAAGCTATAATTAAAATGGCAACAAGACAAATAATTCATGAAAGATAGCAGTAGAAAAGCGAGTGAAATTATAATCAAATGGTTAGCTTTCAAAAATTGCTGGGACCTTTAAAGAAAAAGTTTTTAATTTGCCCATGGGGAGCCAGCCACATCGAAGATGCTGTAACTCCAGGGCATCAGAAGCCTGCTGCTATTAGTGCCTAATTTGTCATCCACGATTATATAAACTTTCTCTAACTACTGCCCTCAAGGGAAGTTGGGAATCTAATTCTACATCTGGGATGGTGCTGGGTGAGGGAAGACTATTTTAACTAAGTGTACATTGTGCACAATAATTAGCTACAATTTGTGGACAACATGGTTGTATAACAGCATTGAAAGTAGTTTTCACCTTGTTATGAGAGCGACTAGATATTCTATCCTTTCTAGTCATCCCTTTGAAAGACCACAGTAGGCTGGAAGTCTTCGAGGAATTTAAAATCAAAATTTCACCACATTTTATTTGGAGGTAAGAATTATATTATTTACCTGTGAATCTAGTAATTTAGCAATTTCATGAATAGGGCTGTGACCAGTCTCATCCAGCTGCTGAGAAAACAAATTTCTTGCCACCTGAACAAAATCTAACATATAATTTAAGTCAGAACAATAGTGTCAATCACAGAAAAATCAACATGTTTTTCATTAAACAACCCTGTTAGCATTTCAAAACTTCGGTTTTGGCTCTAAACTAAAATCTTGCCAAGAAAACTGCACGGACTTTTCTGTACGGTCACCAAGAGTCAAGACTGACTCAAAGAGACAAAAGAGAGCAAACGCTAAAGCCTGGACACTTCCTCCTTCTCCCCCTCATGCATTCAGAATCATTTAGGTAAACTAGCATGAAGTAAAAAATTGAAAGCCGTGGGCTTGTGATTGCTTTCCAAGCTAAAATTGTGTGCAGCAGCACAACCTTGGTTTCTTTTTCATATATGAAAAGCAAACATCACACCATTGCTGTCATATAGACCGAATAGAAGGATAAATTACAGTTTTTATTAAAGAAGAAGTAACTGATTGTTAGTTCCAACTGATCTGATGGCTGAAGCAAATCTTTCAGAGGAAGTGTAGATGCAAATCTAAGTGAATGTGCATGCACACATATGCAGCTAAGCTTTCTATACAACTGTGTTAACCTGGGGAAAAATGACTATTTCAATGATTCAAAGAGAAATAGTTTGCGTGGGCTCCTGTGTGTTGAGTAGCTCTTCCAAATTTTGCTATTGTGTTAATGCAGTGCAGAAATTTAACCTCCAACAGCCATAGGAATTTTATCACCTTAGCTCTGAATATGGGATGGGCCCATGCAATCTTAAGTCTCATAATTCTAATTAATTAATATTTAATTAAAATGCAATTTGCACTGTTTTTTTGAGGTAAAACATTGCATTAGGCAACAAAAGCCAAGAGAAATGATAAGCTCTGAGGAGAACTCGTTTCCTGCTTCATGGTGAAAATGAGCAGGACAAAGAAAATGTGCTATGGAATGCATTTGGTGATGAAGAGCCCAGGATCAGGCCTTAAATTTTCATTCATTATCTTAAAATATAATACCTGCAATCAGGTCTGTCTAAATTTTGTTCTCTTAATGGTTACCCATATATCTATGGAAAGCTCACAACAAAAATACGAGGACACTAAGATCTTCTTAACCAACTTTATTCCTCATCTGCAAATTTGACCCACTAACAATCCTGCTCCTTTTAATTTATTCTGCACATTTGTTCTTTTTTCTTAAATATGATGGAATAAGGTTGTCTAATAAGTGTTTTAATTTGTAATTAAGAAAGTGCTGGGTAGCAAATGCCTTTAAAATGGGAATGCAAATCTTAACACTATACACATTATACATAAGGGACTTCATGGAGTGCTTGACCAAATATCCAATCAACCCTGAAGCACACCTAGTGACTTCTGTCCTGAAGAATTGTATGTAGAATTTTGAAATCTCCCTTGTAGTTTCCTAAAAATCCCTTCACTTAATTACCTCCAAAACAGACTGTTCCTTCAGAATCCCTTGGTAGCTGTTTCCTTAGGATTTCTTGCTCTTCTTCTGTAGGCTGAATCCCAAGATACTTCAAAGCCTGATCAAGAAAAAGAAATGGAAGAAAAAACCTGAAAGCAAGGAGGCTTCGGGTTTTCTAATCAAAAAGGTGCCTTAAGACTTTGCTTTATAGCTCTGGGTTAGAAACAAAACCTGTGTGATAGTTCTCCCTTTCACAAACAGAAAGTGAACTTTTTTATGTGAAGAAACTGTTTTCACTGGGTAATGTTGGTACTATCCGCAAATTAAAAAAAAAAAAAGTATTCAGCTTTCAGATTCAGTCAAACCTAGGTTGTTCTCTATTCTTATTATTTTCAACAGGCTCTGGCTGAAATTGATGAAAAATTCAGAACAGCGATGTTGAGAAGATCATACTCTTCACTGGCCTAAGCACACGAATAAGACCTATTTGCAAAGAATGTATAAAAGCCATTTACTAACTGCCTTCCCAGATATAAACATAGATTCAGGAGGGACATTTCTGAAAAGCAGCTGATGCAATTTGAGACAGCTCTTCAACAACATTTCTACTTCTAAAATAAACAAGGGACAAAAGGGAGAATAAATCCTAAAAACACATTTTCACTGAATAGATACCATATGCCAAAACAATACGTCTTAAAGTAAACTGATATTGCAAAACCCAAGTTTTTCTTTCTTCTGTCAGTATTATTAAAAGGTGAAAAGGACAGTATAATAAAAGCAAATAAATTCCTCTTGGTCAACAATTTTGAAAAATAACGGCAAAGTATAATGAATAATGAAAGTATATTGATAAAAGTATTTAAAGGGGGGGGAGTTATGCTACTGAGAACCAAGCATTTTTCTCTCAAATTGTAGATATTTCAAAGAAGCAAACATAAGGAATAATGGGAACACTTCAAATATCAAGAGGAAATTTCACTAAATATAGGTAGTGCCAAACCAAAGAGGTTAAAATATTCCAATAGTCAGGGATAATGATTTATGCTACAGATAAATGCAGTACACCTATGGAGTGCATCGTTTCAAATCATACAGAAATAATTCTGCAAATCTTTTGATTATTTTGAAGGAGTATTATTCATACCTGATGTATCAAATCATACAGAAATAATTCTGCAAATCTTTTGATTATTTTGAAGGAGTATTATTCATACCTGATGTACTGAAAGTATTTTTGGCTAGAGTCCAGGCACAACTTCTGTTCAAGGCCCAATTGAGGCCATATAGCTTCTTCACTCCTTTGGTGAGGGTACAGTTTAAATTTTCAAGGAACATATTTTAAGTTCCACAGGGTGTTCCTAATGTGGATTTACACCTAGAGCTGAACATGACTAAAACTGAGACACATATGCTTCTACTGATACTGGTTAAACTACTTTCCCATCCCATGAGTAGGAGGGATTAAGAGCACATGAAGCGTTAGTACCACTTTATAATGCCTTGATAAGACCAGATTTGGAATACTGCATTCATGATATAAAAAAGATGTTGAGACTCTAGAACAGGCATGTCAAACTTGCGCCGTCACATGATATCGCATGACGTATTGGGACTTGTTGACATTGGGACAGCAATGGGGTGGACGTGGTTTTGGCGTGATGCATTTGGCCCACGGGCTGCCAGTTTGACATGCCTGCTCTAGAAAGAGTGCAGAGAAGAGCAACAAAGATGATTAGAGGACTGGAGACTAAGCTATGTGAAGATCAGTTGCAGGATTTGGGTATAGCTGGTCTAGAGAAAAGAAGGATTAGAGAAAAAAAGCTGTATTCCAGTATTTGAGAAGAAGGGGTCAACCTATTTTCCAAGGCACCAGAAGGCAAGACAAGAAACAATGGATAGAAACTAATCAGAGAACCAACCTAGAACTAAGGAGAAATTTCCTATTAGTGAGAACAATTAATCAGTGAAACAATTTGCCTCCAGAAATGGTGGATGCTCCAACACTGGAGGTTTTTAAGAAGAGACGGGACAGCTATTTGTCTGAAATGGTATAAGATCCCCTACTCGAGCAGGGGGTTGGACTAGAAGACCTCCAAGGTCCCTTCCCACTGTTATTCTGAGGAGGATTCCTTTCTCCTTCAGTGTGCAAATAAGCTTGGCCTCCTGGTTTTAATTTATTTTTGTCTCATCCTAGAGTAGTACGAATAAGAAATTTAAGGATGTGGTTTCTCACCTGAAACAGTTCTAATGATGAGATGTGAGCACATACAGCCATTAAACAGTATGCCATAGACCTGGAAAGCCAATTAGATCTAGTTGTCCTACTTAAAGATATGCTCCTGGGCAATCATTCCTCTTTTTTCAAAGTATTTAAGCTAAATAACATTTCCCAAAATCAGAAGAGATTTAATGTCCTTCCAAAGTTGAGATATACTTTCAGGTTATTTTATTTAAATAAAGACTCTTCCTATGTGAAGAGGTATTGAAACATTGCCATGTTTTGTTACATTGCCTTTATTAGAAAGAAGCCAAATTATAGGTTACAAATTTTCACCAAGTCAGATTTTGAGGCTAAATGGATTCATTCCACTCATAATCAACATTGCCAACATAATTACATTCTTCTTAACGTGGCTATTTTTTTTTGTTTACTAGTTGTAAAATAATTTGTCCTTTGACATCAGTTTTATAATTATTTAGTTTTGTGAGCTTTATTTTCCATTTCTTCTTTCATTCACTCAATTTACGCAGTATGGGATCTCCTCTTTGTGAATGGAGTGACTGAGTGAGTGAATGAATGAATCTGTTTTAAATTCTTGTTATATGTTTCTGACAACTTGCTGCTTGAAAAATGCAAAAAGGAATAATGGCACTGACTAGATTTCATTTGATTCTAGACAAAAAGGAAGCATTGGTTAATTATATTAAAGTACCAGGAATCTGAAGGGTGAGGAAAACAAATGGAACCACTGGAATTCATGATCTTATGAAAAATCTAAATATGACTGTAGTCAAGGGTGTTCTTTAGATGGAGAACTGCCAGGTTGGATTCTACTAACCAAAGAAGAAAAGCAGCTTGATTTTACTTAGAAAACAAACAAACATTCAGCTCAAAGGGAAGATTACCCTGAGTCTTCACCTTATGCTACTAGACCAGTGGTGGCGAACCTATGGCACGGGTGCCAGAGGCGGCACTCAGAGCCCTCTCTGTGGGCATGCATGTTGTCGCCCCAGACCCACCACCACTGTGGCCCCCTCCACACCAGCAGCCCCTCCGGAGGAGACTCACCCTGGGCGCAGCCTGTGCAAAGCAGCGCAGCCAAGGACATGGCAGCCGGGCAGCGGGGACAAGACTCCACTCTCGTGCCCCATCGCGTACAGATAATGCTGCAGGGCACAGAAAGAGAGCGTGGCCACCATGACGCTGCTGGCCACCTGGGCAATCTGTGGCAGGCCATGGAGATGGCAGGAGAGGCAGGGTCGGACAGGGGCAAGGTGGTTTTTGGGCACTCGGTCTCTAAAAGGTTCGTTATCACTGTACTAGACTAAGGGCTACTCTGTCACCATATCTTTTGTACTCCGAGAACATTATACCAAGGAAAGACCAAAGTGGTTCCACACTTCAGCCATACAGGGAACATCTTCAAAGAATTTGCTTTAAGTTTTCCTGTGGGAAAGAATACTTCTAAGAATCTTTTCTCTTGTCGTGCCCAATTCATTTTCAATTTGTGCCATGCTGTTTTAATTCACAGGCCTGAGGGCAAGGACTGTCTTGTTAATTTTTATAATTTTGTCCCAGAGCCTTTTCAGTTAAATGCAAAATGAAATGCTTCAGTTTAATTCAATGTAAAGAGACTAACGTCTAAAAGGAGCCTGTCTCAGCAAGTGGCATTACTAGACTGACCTTCTCTGGGTTTGGAAAATAAGCAGAGTTTGGGTTAATTGGAACCAGAATGGAAGAATTTCAGCAATTATCAGGGCTGTAAACTAGACTGGGAAGTTCTAAAAAATATTCCAGAAGAAATAATGGCAAATTACTTCTATATTGTAACAACAAAAAACATGTATTAATGGTTTTCTTGTTCATGGTCATGTTCCTGGTCATGAGGAACTGAGAATGAACTGAATGAGACTTTACTTATAAAAGAAGCCTGAGATTGGGTAGGAGAATATTTTTTGAAAAAGAGAGAGTATTATTAGATACACAATAACTAACAATTCAATTTAGCAACAAAAATGATGCAAATGAAAAGCTTAACGAGAGTCAGAAAACAAAAAATGTCTAGAACAGGGAAGACAGGATAGTAGAGAGAGATAAGATAGGATAGGATAGGATAGGACAGGACAGGACAGGAAAGCTAGGATTTAGAACAAGTTGAGTATAGCAACTAAAATACCTTTTTCAGGTATATTTGAAGCAAGAATGTAAGAAATAATGATGACATTTTAATACACAACAGGATGAAGGAAGAATGGGTGCCCTTGTTATCTCCGAAGTTAAATGCATGCAGACTCATGACTGTAACATTGGTGTAGGTGACTGAAAATTGAAACTTGAGAAGCTGGTCAAGAAATATCTAACTCCTGTAAAGGAACTGAAAACTTCAGTGTCAAATTATTTTCATTCTAAAGAATTAGCAAACTTGTTAATACGGCCTCAGAACCAATTTCTCAGAAACTCTGGAGAGCTAAGATGCTATAGAAAGGCACATCATGTTCTAACCTTCAGACAGAGGAATCCTTGAAACTACAGGTTGACAAAAGGTGTTAGAGGTGATTCATTTCTGCAGTGAGCATTTTTCCAACTGCGCACTGTATCTGGCTTCAAAGATCTAGCCTTTTTCTTCAGCTACACTAGGATGGGAACTCCCCTGTGCATTACATCTCCCCTTGTCTTTGTTTGTAAGGTCCTGAATCCAATCTTGTTGACATTAATTTATTTGGCAATCTTTGCAAACAGAACATACTGTAGTCCCGAGCTATTCACAACCCTTGGTTAATGTAACCAGAGCTGAAAGTCAAAGACATGTTGTCATAATTAAACAAAAAATTAATTTAAATTGCTGCAAAGTTTGAAAGATAAAATATTGTTTTTGGAAAAGCTATCTGTTTTGTGCACAGGATAGCTATGGCTGATTGAGGTGGACTGAATTGTAGTGCTAAAGATAAAAAGGTTAGATTTATTAGGTATTACAAAACATTTTTTTAATAAACCTGGACTTGACAAAATAGACAACCAGAATGGAACCAGAATGCTGGCACTAAAATTAAACTGTGCCATTTCATGTGAACTCAGAAAAGCATGACTGAAATTGGTGAGCATCTGATTCAAAGAAGAATCATCTTTGTCTAATGAAGATAAAAGATACTGTGGCATATTCAAAAGGAGAAAGAGTAGAAAATTAGTATAAAATGCGAGCTATCCAAATAAGCCACCCAGAGTCAGTCTGGAGTAGGGCAGTAATGAAACAGAATAAAAGTAAACAAACAGGGAAAAACGCACACACAGGGAAAAAGGTTGGAGCCAAAATGAATGAGCTGGTTTTAAAGAAGAAAATAGAATCAAGAGAAACAAAGAAAATCTGTTGGCATGGAAAATCAGTAACATACAGTCATATCTGCATAGAAATAAGAAAAGCATAGAGTTCTCCAAAGAACAGGATGATTTTATCTCAAAAAATCTTACTTTGCAGAACATGCTATAATCTCCTTGGCCAAAATGCTCAGAATGAGCTTGAGATGGCCTATGAAATGAGAGAGGCACTGTGGAAACAGCCACTGCATTGTTGCATTTCAAGTGCTGGACAAGGACTGGGAAAAACCCAGGTTCATGTCCCCATTTTACTGAGTGATTTTGAGTCCACCTTTCAGCAAACTCTACCTTACAGGGTTATTGTTCTGAGGATAAAAATAGACAAAACCTCTATATATACACCATCCTGAGTTCTAAGAGAAAAAGTAATGTGTATGTGTCCTTTATATATAAGGTATAAATGCAACAATTTAAAAAAAATGCAGAATCAGAAAAGTTCCTGGCTTGTTCCCAACAGCTCTTATAATCTTTAACAATTTATTGTTCTATCTTGACTAAAAAGGAGGGCAAGTTTGATGCCAAGTGAATTTTACCCGGCTGCCCTGCCAAAGACAAATGGAAACATGTTGGTTAATGAGCAAAACATGAATGCATAGAATGCACTTGGCTCTTGGGATCCTAACTGTTAAAGTTTACTCTATAAAATATGTGCTCTACCAGCATAGCTAAAACTTTATTTGTTGCACTAGTTCCTTATTCTGAAAAGGCAACTTACACTTTCTGAAATGGCTTGCATCTTAAAATATAACAGCTGCTGAAGCAAGAATACCTGAAGAAAACATGCAAGGTCACTAGAAGGCACCTGTAACTTATTTCCAGCTGTTCGGTGAGTGGGGTTGGCCAGAATGAACAAATCAACATCCTTTATGGCTTGCAAAACAACAAACAATAAAGCATTTCCAAAGCTAGCAAATGAAATCACACCTTTAATTGAAGGATCAAATTCCTAAACAGATTGATACAGTCAGATCATTTAAATCCTGACTGAATAATTGCACCTCATATCAACATAGATGCAGCATCACAAATTTAAGCTTGATGAATTAATTATTGACCCAAGTGGAATAGAAATTTTGTTTTGAACTAACATTAAAATGAATTCTGAAAACTTATCTGAAAGCTATCACATTACATAAGAACAAACATTAAAATGATATATTTACCATCTCTAGTTTATCTGCTTTGAGGCGAACTGAGGGATTGAGGGAAATCTTCCTTTGCGGTCCATAATCAATTCTCCAGGAGGGGCTAACAGCTATGAGACAACAGGTTGCATATTAATTGGAATTCTAATTGGATTTTATTTTTTTTGCTGAAGGATATGTTCTAAACTCCTGCTGTTCAAACAACCCAGCTAATCACTTGAATGCCAAATGTTGATTATTTTTTCCCGTTAAATATTAAGCAAGGTGCTATTAAAATGGAAACTTACAGATGCTGTTAAGCCCCTTTATATTTACCCACCAAGAAATGAAGAGGGATGGGAAACACAATCACACATACCTGGGGCTTAATTGACAAAGACACAGTAGAATAAAAAGGTATTCTTTAAACAGTAAAGGTCATATTATGATAGAAACACATGGCTTGTACCTGTGATACATTTTTTTAACAAGACACAGGAGACAGATCGGTTGTGAATATACTTATGAAAATCAGCCTTATGGCAATTATTTTGTTGTGGAAAAAAACTCTCTTGGCAAATCACTCCCCCCCCCCCAATCACAATAACCTCATGATGCAAGGCTTCTCAAACTTCTCAAATACTATATGTTGGATTATAATTTCCACCCAGCATCAGCACTGACATGACATAAGGAGGGCCTCTAATATGTATTAAATTATTCTTCCCAATACAGATCTGGAGTAACACAGGGCCTGGGAAACTTGCAACCTTAAGTAATTTGCACCCTTGTTCTTTCCTTCACTAAACAAGAGCCAGAGATCTGCTTCAAGCTTTCCAAAGATTGAGATATGATCCAAGGAGACTCAGTGTTCCTCTTTTGAATTAGCTGTATCACAAACTGTCCTTAAACTTTTCCTTGTTTTAAAATAGGCGGAGAGGAGGGAGTTATTGTTCAAAAAGCAGTTCTCAGAAATAACGTGGGTATTTATATATACTGCCATTTCAACTTCTAAAATGGATAATTTTTTACTGAGACATTGGTGAAGATAGATAGATAGATAGATAGATAGATAGATAGATAGATAGATAGATAGATAGACAGATAGATATATAAGTTCTGTATTGGTTGGAAACACACGAAAGGCCTTCAATCTGCCTTATATTTACATTTAATATTTTTTTTCATCATGGAACTTAAACCAGTATAAATGGTTTCTTAGAAGGATTCTCATTCATACTCTGAACCCAAAGGCTTACTTGCTTCGCCTAAATCAGGGGTCTTCAAACTTGGCCCTTTTATGACTTGTGGACTTCAACTCACAGAATTCCTCAGCCAGCATGCCTGGCTGAGGAATTCTGGGAGTTGAAGTCCACAAGTCATAAAAGGGCCAAGTTTGAAGACCCCTGGCCTAAATCTTTGCAGCTTCCTTGATGTAACTAAATTTGTGTTGTATCCTGAAATTTACAACCAGAATCTCTCAGTTTAAGTGTCACACAACAACTATACAAGCAAATGTTACAAACAAGGGCAATCAACCTTTATTCAGATGTCATACTGAAAAAAAAGATGCCTCAACAATTCGTTCCAGTTTTTTCACTTACATTGTCAAAGAAAAGGCCCACATACTGTTTTTTTTTAAAGAAAAGGAAACAAATTACATATTATTCATGTGAAAAGTAGTAACAACAAAGAGAGGGTGAACAAACGAGTAAGCATTTACCCCCAGCTGATACATCAATGGAACTGTTGTCTGTAAAAAAAGCAGAAAATTGTTCTTCTTTCTTGAATCCAGTTTTCATCTGTGAAAGAAAAACATAAAAAATAAGAAGTACTATTTACCAAAGTAGGTTGTGTCCCAGACTAAATACTGATGTCAAGTTTTTATTATCCAAATTATTAGTCTATTATGGAGAAAAATGTGTTTACATTTTGCCGAACACCCAACAAGTTTATTTATTAAGGTATGCCAAATAATACTTTTAGCATAGTAAATCTTAATCCATAAAGATTAGCAGAACCTTTTGGTAGTATTGATTTTCCCCTCCCAAGTAGGATTAGAAGAAAAGGGTATTTCTGCAAATGCTTTTTATCTAAAGTTATGATGTGGCCCCAAAGGAGCAGAGTTAAGTGTAGAGCAAACTACAAACAACTATATCAGAAGCCTGCGCCAATCAGCGATAATCAAGTCAATCAAATCAAGAACCACAAAAAAAGAGAGATGTGTTCCATTAGACATAGGAGCAAGCGTAAGTACCGTACCTCAGGATTTATAACATGGTAGTTTTCACTGAGGGACGCTAGTTAAAGAACACATCGACCTGTCAGATTCTATGTTGAAAAACATTTTCAATCAATTTACTGTATGATACTGACTGTTCTATTGCTTTTTGAATCTGAGCTAGTTTGTATAATTTTTATCTTGGTTGTTTCACCCAGAGAATGCGCAAGCGATATGTTTGAGTACCAGTGATCCAAAACAGCACTGAGTATACTTCATTGCCCCCCCCCCCGGTAAATATATTGATATAGAACTCAACATTAAATAAGCTACAACTTGCCAGATGAACTCATTTCAAAGTAAACTTGTAGCACCCAGAATTTCATTGTTTCATGAAATTTCTTAACAAGCTAGAAATTGTTATTTTTTTTTAAAAAAAAATATTTTATTGGTTTTTTTAATTTTAATAAAAAGTACTTAAGACACACCGTGGTGTTTGGGTAAACAAACATTCCAAAGTAAAAAACATAGATAAATCGCTCAACTTAATACTTTCACTGTCATCTCTCTATTTTCCACAGATAACATAATAAATTTAATATATTCCATTTCTAGCTTAAATTTCTATTATTACTCAACCTGTTTTAAAACTTTATCAATTTACAATTACCATAATCAAATATTGTTTTACATCAACAAATTATTACTTCAAATATACCAGATATGTTAAAGTTCTTAATCTCTCTCATTCCTCTTTTTGTCACCAATCTCATTCATTTCTTCTTCCAATAATAACTAACTTAAGAAAAAAAAGTTAAACCTTAATTCCTTTCAATTCATTATACTAACTTCAAATTCCATCCAATTAATTATCATACCTTATCAGATCATATTGTTATACACAAAAATCACCTAATCAATTTAAACACTTCAAAATTCCATTCTCATAACTGAACATTTTTTTAATTCCAGAACATACATACATACATATATACATATATATGTATATGATTATATATTTTTTATCCTTAATACAATCCATAAAGACAAGGTTCTTTTTTGTTTTTGTTTTTTCCAATTTTAACTTTCATATTTCTGTACCAAGCAAATTTCCATAAAGCAAAAAAAAATCATCTAACTAATTTAAACACTCATGTATATAATTGAATTTTTCTTACTTCTCACTCTAAATCATTATCCTTAAAACAATCCATAAAACAGCATTGCCTTTTAATCCATTAAACAGTTTTAACTTTCTTTTTCAGTCTAATTCTGGGTTTTTTTTCTATGCCACTTAGGCTTCCATAAAAGTGCTTCCCTTTCAACCAATAAATCCATTCTTGTTGCTTGTAGTAATCTTTGAGAAAATATAAATCCCTTCCTCTGCAGTAAATGTCTTTTTTCCCTTTCAACCAATAAATCCATCCTTGTTGCTTGTAGAAATCTTTGAAGACATATAAATCCCTTCCTCTGCAGTAAACGTCTTTTTCTCTTCTCCTTGCAGTGTCGTTGCTTTGTAGTTTGAGATCTTAGTCTTTGCTTCTTCTGATTCTCTAAGTTGCTGAAGAGAGGGTTGTCGGATGAAATAAGTTCCTCTTCTATCTATGTAGATTCCTCTTCTGGTACATTTTGATTTATACCATAGTCAGTTGTAATCTGAACATCAGTTTGAACAAATGTAGTAGAGTCTTTGGATCTTGATTCTAAAGTACAGTGTTTAAGTGTAGCACATATTTCTGCAGTGGCCTCATAAATCTTTTCCAATATAAGTGCACAGTTCAATTGTGGCTGAGGTTTCTCCATTTTAATACAAATGCTTAAAAGAAAATCTCTTTTTCTTTTTTGTGGAGGCTATATTAAATGCAAACAATATCCACCCCCACAGCTTCCACAGCTGCACAGCTTATCTTTCCCTCAAAAGTATTTTGAAATTCAGTAGGAAAATAAGCAGAAGATGCAGTATTAGACTTTGGCCACTAGATGCCCTCAGTGAGTTAAAAAAAGTCTTTTCCAAAAATCAATTCCTTTTTTCTATCTTTTGAAGTAATATATATATATATATATATATATATATATATATATATATATATATATATATATATATATATATATATGTAGGTCTTTGGTTGTTCGGGTTTTCTCCCACGTAAAATTGGAAGTGTCTTGGCGACGTTTCGACGAAGTCCCATTCGTCATCTTCAGGCTGGTGCTTTCAGCTCGAAGCTTCCAATTTTACGCGGGAGAAATCCCGAACAACCAAAGACCTACATATATATATATATATATATATATATATATATATATATATATATATATATATATATATATAAATAATACAGTTCTTAAAAAGAGAGGAGAGGAGAGAGAAAATCTTTTCCGTCTTTTTTCCTTTTTCATAGCCAAATAAAATATATATCAAATTAAAATATAGTCTTTTTCAGTATTTATAAAACGCCTTTCTTCCCCAAAAAAGCAAAAGCCGCCTGTCCAAGCCAGGGAAATAATTCCAAAAGCTCTTACAGGTACCCAAACAAAAAAAGTAAAAAAGAGAGAGTTACAAGAAACAATTCTCACCTGGATTCACCACGGGGGCACTCAAAACTTAGATGTTGTCTGACTTTCGGTCTGAAGCAGCAGGGCGATCGGCCATTTTACTGACCGATCTTCTTCTCCGTCAGCCCTCGGACAGCTGGAGGAGCTTCCGCTCCTCTACAGCTGGACAGCAGCCTCCTCGATGGAAGTCGCACCCTCCAGGGCGACTTTGGACCCGTATAAGGGTCCACCGACAGAGGGAAAGCTAGCCGACGAGGAGAGAAGTCTCTCCGTGCGACTAGTGACGCCGTGAACCGGAACCGGAAGTCTACAAGCTAGAAATTATTAATGCCATTAAAAATAAATACTGTGTTCTACATTATTTATACAAATTTTTATTTAATCAACAAAGATGATTTGGGGACCTATAAAGAAAGGTTGTTGGAATTGGCTATGTCTAGTTTAGTGAAGAGAAGGATGAGGGGTGACATAATAGCAGTGTTCCAATATCTCAGGGGCTGCCACAAAGAAGAGGGAGTCAAGCTATTCTCCAAAGCACCTGAAGGCAGGACAAGAAGCAATGGATGGAAATTGATCAAGGAGAGAAGCAACCTAGAACTAAGGAGAAACTTCCTGACAGTGAGAACAATTAACCAGTGGAACAACCTGCCTCCAAAAGCTGTGAATGCTCCAACACTGGAAGTTTTTAAGAAGAGATTGGGCAGACACCGCCGGGTGTCAAACTGCCGGCCTGTGAGAAAGCCGTGTCCACCCCATTGCCAGCAATGGCAAAATAGTCCTGATATGTCACACATCATGTGATGTTGTGAGTTTACATGTCTAGTATAGGGTTTCTTGCCTGAGCGGGGGGTTGGACTAGATGACCTCCAAGGCCCCTTCCAATTTTTATTTTTATGTATTATTATTATTATTATTATTATCGATCATCGCACAGTCAGCCAGATGTTCAGACTGGATTTGGCATTTTGTCTACCTATCGAGTCCTTACCCAGGACCTGGGATAGGCAGATGTGTATGTTTGATGGTATTACAGATATCGTCGCAGGATGGAAGCAGTTCCTAATAAGGCTGCCTTTTGCAATTGACTAATAGCGAATTTGTCAATGCCAATGGTGTTCAAGTGGTGCTCCAGTTGTTTTGGGATTGCACCCAAGGCGCCTATTACTATTGGTACTACCCTTGCTTGCTTTTGCCACAATCTTTCTATTTCTATGTGTAGGTCTTTGTATTTTGTTATCTTCTCCAGTTCTTTCTCTTCTATTCTGCTATCTCCAGGCACTGCCACGTCCACTATCCAGACTTTTTTGTCTTTCTTATCGACAATTGTTAAGTCTGGGGTGTTATGTTGCAGGTGCTTGTCTTTTTGAATTCTGAAGTCCCAGAGCAGTTTAATTTTATCATTTTCTATTACTTTCTCTATTTTATGATCCCACCAGTTTTTGCTTACAGGCAAATGATATTTTTTGCAGATCTTCCAATGCACCATTGTTGCTACTTTGTCATGCCGCTGCTTGTAACCAGTCTGTGCGATCTTCTTGCAACAGCTTACCAAGTGGTCCACTGTTTCTCCAGCTTCTTTGCATAGGCGGCACTTACTGTCTGTTGCTGTCTTCTCAATTTTGACTTTGTATGCCTTTGTCCTTAAGGCTTGGTCTTGTGCAGCCAGAATTAATCCCTCGGTCTCTTTCTTCAATTTTCCTGCTCTTAGCCATTGCCAGGTTTTATTATTATCTGCTTTCACAGCTATTTTTTTAATGTATTTGCCATGTAGTGCTTTGTCTTCCCATGCCTCTATTCTGTTCTTCCTTTGGTCTTTCTTGTAGGCCAGTTTGGTCTCTCCAGTAGTTAGTAAGCCTTCCTGATATACTAATTTCAGTGCATCTTCATCATTGTTCTTCAGATATTCTTCCAAAGCCATTTTTTCTTCTTCAACCATCTGATGTACTTGTAGCATTCCACGCCCACCTATTTGCCTTGGTAGATAAAGTCGATCAATGTCACTGCGTGGATGAAGGGCGTGATTCATTGTCATTATTTTTCTGGTCTGCCTATCCATTGCTTTTAGTTCTGCTTGAGTCCAGCCCACTATTCCAGCTGTGTATCTAATGACTGGGATTGCCCAGGTGTTGATTGCCTTTATGGTATTTCCTCCATTGAGTTTGGATTTTAAGATCTTCTTCACTCTCTTGATGTATTCACCTCTAATCTTTTTCTTGACTTCAGTGTGCTTTATGTTGTCAGCTTGAAGGATACCCAAGTATTTGTAGTATTCTTCCTCATCCAGACTCTTAATGTTTTTTTCGTGGGGCATCTTGATTCCTTCAGTTTTCACTATTTTTCCTTGTTTGATAGTAAGTGTGGCACATTTGTCCAAGCCAAACTCCATTACAATATCTTGGCTATATATACGGACAGTGTTGAGCAGCGATTCTATTTCAGATGATGTTTTTCCATACAGCTTCAGATCATATTATTATTATTATTATTATTATTATTATTATTATTATTGTACAATCATATGCGTAGATTCCAACAATTCAATTGGGCTCAATTCCTGGATTTTGGATTCTAATTGGAATTCTAGTCTAATTTAGGGCAAGGCCCTTCTCAGTCAGTACCAAAAAGAAATACAAAACTCAAAATCAGCCACTCAGTGGAACAAAACATTATTCTCTAGGTCTGGGCAAAATCATGAACCAAAATGGCTATGCCCAGTTGTAGGAACCATTTCTGAAGTAGTCACATGAATCATATGGTTGATGCAACTATTTTATAATTTGAAAAAGGGTTGTTTTGTGTAAGAACCTGGTCTTGCAAAGACTCTTTTTTGAAAGTTTTGCATAACCACATTATTCTGGCTATTGACATTTCTCTGAGGAATGCAGCATGCTTTGAGTTGAGTTTTTATCTCAAAGAGAAGCATGATTTTTCTGCGCTACTTTTTTTCCAGGAGGCCTTGATGCAGTCATATTCTATTCATAGATATGTTTCTCCATAAAGAAAGTATGCTGATAATGGAGCAACCAGCTCAGGTCTCCTAGGACATATACTCCCCCTTAGACTATTTAAAAATATTTCTTCTGCAAACATCTAGAGGAGAAGGGCCATCTAATTTAAAAGCAGATATAGACAATCAATTATTCTGAATACCAATTATCCTCTCAGACTAAGGCTGCTTCCTCTAGCTCAGGGGTGTCAAACTGCCGGCCCACGGGCCGGACGCGTTATCCGGAAGCTGCGCCCACCCCCTTGCCGGCAATGGCAAACCATCCTGATATGTTGCACGACATCACGTGACGTTGCGAGTTTGACATGTCTGCTCTAGCTTAAGAATAAATGAAAATGATTTTTCCTCAAAGTGATGTTTTTCAGAGATTTATTTTTTTTCATAAAGCAAATTAAAGTGGATAAACATGAACCCACTTTGTGCAGAAAAATTCAGGCTGCTGCTTTGTTCATCCAAAGCAGTCTTCTCCAGTTGGTGCCCTGTGATATGCCCATGTAATATGCAAGAAATATGATAAAAAAAATCATGCCTGCTGGGAGCTGAAAGGCAACATATACAGAGGGCATAAGGTTGGAGAGAGCCAAGCCAACTAGAACAAGTTATTTCTGTGAGTTGTGCCATGTACAAGCCAGGAGTTCAAAGAAAGTATTTGTGGTAATACTAATTAGCAGACAATCAGATGCTTTAAGGTAAAGATATATAATTTACCCAGCTCATTAGGCATTTGATAGTCATAGTCACCTCAGCAATAGCACTGGCCACGTATAGGATTTCTTTACATTGAAAGCTTTATGCATAAGGAAAAAAAGAGCACTACAGAAGTAGCGATCGGATGAAACTAAACATGACCCCCAGTCCAGGCAACAATAAGCATGAAGAGCTTGCTCTTAACTACTTTAATTTCTCTTTGATTACTTAATTTCTGTTTTTCTTGTTTCTTCTTTGCAGAAGGTATACATGATTATTTTAGCAAGCATAATTTTAAATTGCAAATTGCCTTAAAAGTGCTGGAAAGCAGATAGAAAATCAATAAACAGTGGATGTTTGCAAATAAACCACTTCTTATATAAGAGTTATGCCTCATTCATAAAATTTTAAAGGAAGTCCAAACTTGGTTACCCTTTTTTTCCCCCAATTAACTATTAGCGATAAAATGGTCATTGGGAATCGAATGGCATACATTTAAAAATAATTGGAAAAAAAAATGGCTTCTATCTAGAACAGCGGTCCCCAACCTTTCTGGCTTTGTGGATTGGTAGCAGCGGGGGGAGGGGATGGTTTCGGGCACTCACCTAATGCTTGCGCGGCCCAGTTCCCAAATGGTGGGTGGAGGGGATAGTTTTGCATGTGTGTCACATGCGCAAATGCAGATTCGTGTGCTCACATGCTCGCCCGGGAAACCCAAAAAGAATTGTCTTTAAAGTCTTGCCAAGGAATTGTCTTATGCAGGGGTAGGTGACCTTGTCTCTTTTATGACTTGTGGACTTCAACTCCCAGAATTCCTGAGTCAGCATGGCTGGTCTTATGCAAACACATGCTCATTATTACTATATATTTGGAAATATTTGGGTATGCACTGGCAGAAGACAATAATCCCTTCTAAATTCATAAAAATAGTCAATACATAAACAACACTGCAAGAAATATGATTTTAGGTATTATTTTTTTATTACAGTAGGTTGTGGTATTTTGCAAAATTAAACTGTAAAGTTCTCTTTGAAACGAAGTCAGCTCCTGGTGACTCCATGGGTATAGCTGAGCAGATTGCTTGGCACTGCCATCCTCCAAGATTTTTTAAAATTATTGTTCCTTGATTAGTTTATAGCCTTGTTTACTAATGAATTCTCATTAAAGTACTGAGTCTCCGTGCTCAGGTTTTTGAGATCAGCCAGGATCTATTAAGTGCTGCTTCGGTAAAATTATTCACTTAAAACAGAGCAACTTTTTAAGGAAAGCAAAAATCTGACAAATTAAACTTGCCATGTTAAGGACAGACTTCTCGGCAGCAACATTCTCATTAGAAGACGATGTTGGACTGGGTAGATCATTCTGTAGTCCACACCTCTCTGAACTTAGTAGACTGGAGAATGCATGCATATTTTCCACTTCATCAGGACTAGAATCATGTCGAATGAAAGTTATCTCCCAAGAGGTATTTGATCTAAATGAACGAAAAAGGTGGTAAACTGGTATCATGCACATTACATATCCAAGTAATAAAGATTTGTTGTTGCTTTCTAGCCATTCAGAAAGCAAATTCAGGAAGATTAAAATGTATTACATTGTTTTTTACTGGCTTTTGATATGAGAGGCGAGTATGGGTAGTCCTTGACTTACAACAGTTCATTTAGTGACCATTCGAAGTTACAACAGCAATGCAAAAAACAACATGACCATTTTTCACACTTATGACCGTTACAGCATCCCCATGGTCCCGTGATCAAAATTTAGATGCTTGGGCAACTGAGTCACATTTATAACCGTGGCTGTGTCCCAAGGTCCCGGGATCCCCTTTTGCGACCTTCTGACAAGCAAAGTCAATGAGGAAGCCAGATTCACTTAACAACCGGGTTACTAACTTAACAGCTGCAATGATTCATTTAATGACTGTGGCCAGAAGAGTTGTAAAATGGGGCAAAACTCACTTAACAAATTTCTCACAGTTAACGTAAATTCTGGGCTCTGTTATAGTCGTAATTTGAGGACTACCTGTAGTTTAGTTGTGAAGACCTTAATTTTTTTAAACGTTCTGTGACTTGGGCACAGTGTTTAGAAAAACTAGAACAACTCATGTGGTAGGATCAAAGTAAGTTCTGCACAATTCAATGAAGACCCCAACGAAACCCACTCATATACTTTAATTTCCTATGGTTACAAAACTATCACACACACACAAACACACACATTTTCAAAAGCACTGTCCAAAACTCTTTTTTGACATTTTTAAATGCTAAATACATAAATATAATTTGAAAATGAAGGTTCAGATGCTTGGTTTTATAACAAATGGTTACCTTGGCTGTGTTCGGTTGATTAGATTTCTTGCCTCTTCGTAGTTGATTCCAATCAATGATTCCCCATCAACAGATACAAGCTGGTCACCAGGTCTCAATCGACCATCCTAACAAGAATAATGAGAGGATTTCACGCTGGTTTTTACCATCAGTTCACACAGCTTAATGAAAACCTCTGTAAATCTATTAACTGCGAAGGGAAACTAAGTTGCCAGTCAGGCTGAAGAAAAGTGAAGGGGCAGGGGAGGGCTGCTAAATACAACTGATGCTGCCTTAACAGCCAGTTTTTAATATTTTTCTCTGTTCCATCTCACATTCCCAAAGCATTCTCTTTTAACTCATTGCCCTGGGTAGGTCTTCCCAATAAACAATGGCAAGGAGAACTCAACAGCAAGCCATGTAAAAAAGAGAGTGAGCCAGTGTGGTTAGAAGTTAAAGTGGTGGCCTGGAAACCAGGAGACTGAGTTCTAATTCTACCTTAGGCATGAAAGCTAAAGATTACTTTCATCCCCACCCCATCCCACAGGCTTGTTGTTGCAGGGAAAATAGGAGATAGGAAAGCGTATTGTGTATATTTACCACTTTAAGTTACTTATAAAGCAGGGATTCCCCAATCTTTTTGGTTCCATGGAATGGTGGGAGTGGCTTTGGGGGTGGGGTAGGTTTTGCACACAGACCCTAAATCCAGTGCATATGCAAATGAAGCTTTGTGCGCTCACCCACTGCTTTGGTGACCCAGTTCCCAATGGGGGCCGCAGCCCAAGGGTCAGGGACTCCTATTATTAAAGTAATACTATAAAGATGGGGTAAAATTCTAATAAATAATATAACATGCTCTCTGGAAGTAAAGTAGCAAATATGTTTTTGAAAAGCAATTCATATAATGAAACTACTATTGTGTTTCATCTCTGAGCAAATGGGACTTGTCCAAATAAGCCCGTTGCCCCCTCCGAAGACTTAGCTGTGTTACAATATATAAACTAACATATGTAGGAAAACAGAACGATAGCAAAATTATATTTTCCCCTAAAGGATGTAACGGAGCCTCCCTTCTACTGATCTGAATGCATTAATTCTGCAGTATGCTTGATTACTCCTAAAAGAGAACAAACATAAACTCCTTACTTTACTCCCCCCTGAAGTGTATTCTCCACTCAAATAAAAGATGGGAGAAATAACTCTCATCTTTCTCTGGCACGGAAGGGGACTTGTGGAAAGGTGTTCGAGGAAATCTTCCATATTGCACATGTTTCTGAAAAAATATGTACCCCACAGTAGGTTTTATTCTTTTAGAATGAGTTGTTTTGTCTACTGAATTAATAGGAAGCAATACTCTTATTCAATACCAGACATCCAAAATACTGTTAGTTTCTGTTGAATAAGAAGCAGACAGACTGTATTTGGCCTGGTGTGGGATAAGTAAGGATACACAAGTGATACCAGCTTCTTGCTTTGTGCCTTTAGAGAAGAAAATGACATCAGAAACTCACTAAAGCTCAGAATAATGTTCTGCGTAGGCTTTGTCCATGCTTTCTAATCTATCTAGCGTAGCTGGGGACCTTCCTACAAATAACGTCTAAGGGGCTTTTCATAAAAGTTGGAGGGCATTTGAAGGGAAAATTAATATCAATCTCTTGGAGAATTGATTTGCTATTAATTTTACCAGAATAACAGCTCTGAGAGATCTGGGGTTAAAGTTACATTAAACTACAGATATTAATTTTTTTTTACAGAATTAAGCCACAGATACACAATAAGTTTCTGTACTAGTTAATCCAACCTTGAACTTGATTAATTTATTATCAAAGGGATGAGAATAAAAGCTCTGCTGTCAATGACTACCACAGACATACTTCAGTGAACAAATTGATTAGAAAGACACAAGAACGATGTACTGACTTTTATATCAATAAATTCAGGAAGTTTTCACCAGCCTTCAGTCAGGGATCTGAAGTTAAAATCAAACTGAGGAAGGCTGATTTACTGCTGGCTATTTCTCAGGGGAACACCAGAAGAATTTTTTTATATCAGCAAGGTACTATGTTGATAATCTGGGGGTTCTGTCTTAAAAGCAATTCTATGTTGTACACATGCAGCAATAAAACGTTACAAAAGAAATAAAGGAAAGAGTAAGATACCTAGAAAAAGGAATAACAGGAGTTGTGGGACTGTGAGTATGAAATGCTTGGGATGAAAGGTTCACAGAAAACGATGCAAGTACCTCTTGAATGCAGACTGATGTCTACAATAAACCACCCTTATTATTTTTAACATTATTTCCTCTAATAACATTCTGCGTTCCTATGGTTCGTAAGATGCTAATTGGTTGCATTCTTAAATGTTGATTTATATCTTCAGCTACAGTATTATTGATCCCTTGCATTTGGATGGTTCTTTGAGATTCCTTTTGATTAGCTTTCTATTGCTTTAATAACATAGTATTCTCAATTCTCTAGATATGTTGGGACTGCAACTTCCAGAATTTCTGACTAGCCTGGGAACTGCAACTGAATTCTTGAATGCACCAAATTGGAGGACCCATGATGCATGATACAAGAAACAATGGTGACCTCTTGTGGCAGTGATTCCAAATAGCATATTCTCCATTTGAATGTAAGAAATTAAACATACCATACAAGTTGCAGACCATAAGACACATGAAAATAGATTATAGGAAATTCAGCCCAAAACATATGGGGTACATTAGGTTGCCTAATTCTAGCACCAACTCTGAACCTGACTGATAGAAAAGATCATTATCTTAATGCACTGAGAAAAAAAAAAATCCAGAGTTCTGCTTGCAGAGATCTGCAAATTTTGAAAATGGGGATTAATTTATCAACAGCTGTCTATATTCTTGATATAATAATGTGTAAATTAAACATATGTCAAATGAAACTCTTAAGTTCGGTTAGACAGTGCTTCTCAAATAGTGGGGCGGGCCCCCCAGGGGGGGCGCGAGGCTCCGTAAAGGGGGGCTCGTTTGACCTCGGCAAATACTGTCATATTGGACGCACGTGACACACGCAAAGGACCCGATTGGATAGACAGTCGCGCGGGGGCGCGCGAAATGTTTTCTTCTTCCTAGGGGGGCATGACAGAAAATAATTGAGAAGCACTGGGTTAGACTCATAATGAGTTCATGAGTTATTTTGACAATAATGTGGAAGCGCTTTTGTCACTGCTTTCTTCCTGATGTCTTTCAACTCCCCAGTCTAGCCCATAATTCTAAAATTACCTGACAATCTCTCATCCAAGAATTATGCAGGGCTGACCCTGCTTAGCTTTCAAATACAGACAAAATCAGCCTAGTGTTATCACTTGTGCCATATTTTAATAAGACATTTCAGGTGCTTGAATGTTATCCAGATGACACAGAGAAATCAGTGCCCTCAATATCAAAGTTAAGGGAAATTCAAAGCACTGATAAATAGCATCTCTTTTAAAAGTACTGGATGAAACTTTAAAATATAAAGGGCAATGGACCAAGAAACTTAAAAGCATCAAAGCAAACAGCAATCTTTGCACTGAAGATGACTCTGTACTGACAGCTGACTGATCCAATTCCTCGATCAGGGATCTTCAAACTTGGTCCTTTTCTGACTTGTGGACTTCAACTCCCAGAATTCCTCAGCCAGACATGCTGGCTGAGGAATTCTGGGAATTGAATTCCACAAGTCATAAAAGGGCTAAGTTTGAAGACCCGTCCTAGATCAACCCAGTCTATACTCCAGCTTTGATATATTCTTGTCCCAAATATTCGTCAGAACATCTAACATCAGAAGGTGTTCACAAGATACTGTCAAAGTTATCAAGATGTTGACCAGGATAGTGAGAATGAAGCTATGCCCATTTTTATTTGAGGAAGGCAAAGTTCAGAGGGATCTAGCAATAGGTTTGTTGCTCCTTTAATTTAGAGTCATCTTAATTTTGAAAAATTTGTAAGACTTAGGCAGATACCAATCAATGGCACTTGTGTCCTCCTTGGGTTGCAAAGAGAAAAGCAGAGACAGAAACCCTCTTCCCCAACTCTTCTTTGCCTTCTGTACCTTATGACAGTCACCTCCAGGAATAACTGCCAGAATATACACCAAGGGCCCTTCATTCTTGTCGATGCCTCCTACAATCTGCAGGCCCAGACCTGTTTCCTTGGAAACACTGATAATCTGAAATATGCTGTCACTAGAGAAAAAAGAAATAAAGTTAGCTTTAAAAGGTCAGTGACTGGAAACTGAGAACAAACACAAACAACACCTTGCAGCAAAATATTTTGTTTTTCTCATAGCCGTGCTCTGATGCCTGCTATGCTTAACAGGAGATCCATTTCCCCCAACCCACCACCTCCTTCTAAAATGCAACTGAGAATAGGAAAGTTGAATCAAGGAATCCTGTTCAAAATGGAAACTTTGGTGTAGGGCCTCTTGTACAATTCTGTTTCTGTAAAGAATATTTTTTCACAGTGGGCTAGGAAAGAATCTACTACTGTATGTCTTTGGAATGTGGCAAATGAATACACCATATACATGTTTTAAATAAAAAATAAAAACAAAAACTTAAAAAGTTTTTTTACTCTGGGTCCTACAATTTCCTATATCTGGAAGCTTTCTCTCTCCCCCCCCCCCCCGCTTCATGGAATTTGAGGGTAAAAAAAAAAGATTAAAAAGTGGTAAGAACAGAAAGTAAGGTATCAAAAGACATTTATCCAAAATTGCCTCCTCTCTGTTATATGCTGTGTTTCAGACAAGGCAATTGTATAACCAAAACCCATACCAGAACGCAACCTGTTTCTAGGCTGTAAGGCATCTCTCTTAGATGAGCAGACAGAACTTGAGGTTGCCTGAGCAAAATCACTTGGTCTGTCCTACCCTATCTAACAATGCTGCCATCTGCCAGGACTCAATGCTTGGCCTGAGGGACACCTAATGTGGAATCAGGCAAATCAGCATTTTTTTTTTTTTACCTCAGGCAGCAAATGTCTTGTGGCAATGCCGATCTCTACACATCTAAAAGCTGAGCTTTATCAATCCGCATAGAACTTGAAGTTTAATGGTGAGCCAAGACCAGGGAAAGGAGGCATTTTATATATTTCTTTGTAAATTCAGTGATAGCATACCAAGACATTAGGAAAATGAACTGTGGTTCATAATATAAGCATAACAAGACCTGATAGTAAACCAGAAGCTAGGAAACAGACAATAGAGAAAAATAAGGTTTGGACCCAGGAACCTAAGGATCAGGAGCAGGGATACAAGATTTTTGGATAATGTTGCTTTAAATTTAAAGATGAGAGCCAGTTTTGCCTAGTGACAAATGGTTTACCCTTTTTTGTTTGTCACTCCTTGTTATACCCTTACTGACCCCACTTCCCTGTTATACTTATAAAATCTAATAAAATATTTATTTTTTTAAAAAAGACCCCAGGTTAGAAAGCAGGAGACTGTGAATTCAGCTTCTGCCTTAGCCATGAAAGCCAGCTGGGTGACTTTGGGTCAGTCACTCTCCCTCAACCCACCCCACCCACAAGGTTGTTGTGGGGAAAATAGGAGGAGGAAGGCATATGAAACATGTTTGTTGCCATTAATATTTGTAAAAATAATAAATGCAACATAAAAATAAAATAAAAAACTGGATCATGGGGGCAATTCTATTTGAGTGCTGGAAGGCATCCACTTCCAACCAGGCTGCATTAAGATGCTGTCCCCACAGCATGACAGTCATGAAGGCCAATATGACTACAGATACTAACTTTGGAACCCAGTAGGGCTCCTGCTATTGGGTGTTTTTTGCTTCATAATTTCAGAAATGCATGTGTCCAGGATCAGTAACTATGACACAAAACGTGCAGGCTGGGTGGCCTTGCTGTGGACTCCTGGATATGTGTCTGCTTGCCACCGAACAAAGCTGGGAGTTTTACTTGGGCCCATGAAAGAAAAGCACAGTTGCTAAGCAACAGTGACATCATTACTTCTTTTCCTGGTTTTGAAAAATGGGGACAGGAAGTTTTTCTTCATCTACAAAGGATTATGGGTAGGAGTTCCCAGCCTGGAAACTATGGTGCCTCTCAGCCCTCAGAATCTACTCAGAGATTGACAAGGGGGTGGGGGTTTTTTGGCTTATTTTTAAAAAAGGGAAAAAGCAAATGAAGAAAGGCCTTGGGAAAGTCCCAGAATGCATCCTCAGGGGCCCAAGTTTAAAGGATTTGGAGCAGGTCACAGGAAAAGCCTGACAGTACTGGATGAAAAGATATCTATGGAGATTCACAATCATCCAAGTCATGGTTGTCCCAAAGATGCTTTTTCCAAAAGGCAACTGGAGCTTCTTGGCTTTTTTTCTTTAACAACATTTTCCTTCTCATTCAAGAGGCTTCTTCAATTCTGCTGAATGGATGGAAAGGATTGCCTCTCAACTGACATATGACAAGATCCTATGCCTCCTTAAAAAAAAAAAAAAAACGAGACCATTTAAGAAAAATAATTGGGAGCAAACTACAGAAAAAGGCAGCAGAGCCTGGCTATGACATTTTTCATAGTTAATTAGCTTTCCATGCAGAGAAAAAGCATATAAAACAAAAATTAAAACCCATGCCTCTTTGAGGACCTTCTGTCAGTATTGACAGCTCACAACCTTAGATTAAAAGGAAGGCTTTGGAAATGATAATGATCCTATGCTTTAAGCCCAGCATCCTGTCTTTTCCACAAATTCTCCATGAAAAACAAACTTCGCATAGTTACTTTGTTGTGGCTTGAAGGGAAGTTACCGCTGCAGGCCTTCCTGGAAGGTTTGTCACAGTGTCCTTTGGATGAAATAATGGAGGACTCACTGAAGATGCCCCTGAAAAAAAGATATCAACACCTTTTATGGGAAGATAAAAAAACAGTCACAGAAACAAAACGAGAATTTTCTATAGCAATCAACTGCTCAGTACCACAAAGATTAATGCCTATTGAACAAATCTTCTATTATTTTAAAATAGGGGTGAAGAATGGGGTCCAATCCAAGGGTCACAATGTCCTGTTAGGAGCATCTTAAGTGAGTACCCTGACATCAAGGAAAGGAAGAGACTGGCAATTCCAGGGCCAAATATAACCCCAAACATCTTTTATAGCAAGGGTGTCCAACCTTGGCAACTTTAAGCCTGTGGACTTCAACTTCCAGAATTCCCAAGCCAGCATAAATAGCTGGCTGGGGAATTCTGGGAGTTGAAGTCCACAGGTCTTAAAGTTGCCAAGGTTGGATACCCCTGTTTTACAGCCTCAGGAGCAACCTCCAACTCTAATTCTCCCAATTTGGAAGCATAATTACTTACCTTTTAAATGGAAATATTTAGAAATTGGAGTCTAAGTGCTAAAGTTGAATTAAGAAAACAAAGCTTACTCTGTCAATTAAAAGAAAGTGAAGCACCATATTCCCCCATCTCAACCATTTGTATAATTTGTCACTCCTTCCCCTCTCCCCCCACTTATGCCACTATCCAGTCCGTTTCTGCCTGAACCTTTTGTTTGTTTCCATCATTTATTTCTAATTACTTAGAAAGGCTGATACTTTCACACAGGCAACTGCTCATGTATTGTTTTTCTCTTAAGACATCCGTATTCAACATGGGTGCGAATGGAATGAAGAAAGGGGAAAATCTGCAGTTGGAAGGACTAGAAACATCATTCCACCCCACCCTCCATATGCAAAGATGCAGAATACCATAAAATATGGACACAGGCATGGACAAATTGGAGGAACTTGCTGAAAACTAAATTTATACAGAGGGCTATTTTTGACCGTGCAGTAAATTCAAATTAAAACTAAGACTCCTCGTTATAGGTAGTCTTCGACTTACAACCATTTGTTCAATGATCGTTCAAAGTTACAAAGGCACTGAAAAAAAGTGATTTACAGCTGGTCCTCGCACTTATGAGCATTGCAGCATCCCCACATGAACATGATCAAAATTCTGGTGTTTGGCAACTGGCAGGTATTTACAATGATTGCAGGGCCCTGACCATGTGTGATGGCCGTTGTGACCTTCCCAGCCAGCTTTCAAAAAGCACAGTCAATGGGGGAAGCTGGATTCGCTTAATGGCTGCATGATTCACTTAATGACTACAGCAAAAAGGTCGTAAAATTGTTCGCAGCTCATTTAACAACTGCCCTCCTTAGCAATGGACATTCTGTTCCTAATTGTAGTTGTAAGTTGAGGATTACCTACAAGTAGTACTTTCATCTATGAATGTTCTTAGACTAAACTGCCTACCAGAAAGGGCAGAAATGGTTCCCCAATAAAATAGAGAGAATTATAATTTAACAGACTGCTGGACTAGGGCTGGGGAAACATCATTTCAAATCACCATTTAGTCATAAAGATCAACCTACACACCACTTCACAGTGAAGGAAAACATACCATGAGCTCCTTGTGAAAAAGGAAAAAGGGCAAATATAATTTAATTACAACAAGCTGATAGGCCCAAAACCATCCTTTACAATGAATTGCAATCTGCTCTGTCCAGTCGCTTACAATATATAAGGCTTCAAACTCTAATCTTTTATTCACGTGGGCAATAAATAAACCTGCAAGCATTTTGACAAAATAGAAGTTAGCAACAATTTAAGTTCTCTCCCTTTTAAACACTAAGCCAGAAACTGTTTCCTATAATACAGTGCAAGGCTCTGCATAGGCTTTAATTGATTGCAATTGGCACATGACATGGTAACCTATGAGCAATACGAGATTCTGGGGCCTGAAACGGTCCTGAACAGCTGGTTTACTGGTGTTTTTCCTCTCACTGTGGCACAATTATAACATAACAGTGTTAGCCAGTAATTTCTTGAGAATATAGTTAATTATTTACATGGCACACTTTGGAATTATAGGCTCAATATGTTCTTTAAGCCACCAAACATTTGGAAATGTACAAATGAAGCCCTAGGGGGCAGTATGACACTACTACTAAACTGTTCAGTCTCATAAAGATATATATATATATATATATATATATATATTGAACTAAGATGTCCTTTCTGTCCATCAAACATCAGCCCATAAAATCTGGGTTAAAGGTCTACCTTCCAATTCGTGAAAGCATCTCTACCAACCTGAAATATTAATGGAGGCCATCAGGCCAAGAAGCTTTCTCTACTGTTCTCTTATATTGCAGAATGAAAACATAACCAATCCCTTACCAGTTAGGAGCTGCGTTGGGGAATTCCTTCTGGAGTTTATGTTACTATGTGAACTGTATTTCTCCATCAAGGCCAGAAATTCTTTCCTGCAATAATTTTTTTTTAAAAGTTGAAGATGCGATATCTCATTTAATACCTCTTAGAACAGTTCTCAACCTTTCTAATGCCGTGACCCCATAATACAGTTCCCTATGTTGTGGTGACCCCCAAGTGGGTGTGGCCACCAATAAGAGGGAGTAGGACAGCTAGGGAAAAGGGAAAAAAATGGCGGACAGCGTGGTTTGGCAACCCCCGTGAAATGGTCGTTCGACCCCAAATGGGGTCCCGACCCACAGGTTGAGAACCACTGTCTTAGAATATGTTGATAAAAGACCTTTCAAGAAATACATGTTTAGCTTATTTGTCGTTGCCAAGCTAAATCCTGAGTTTTGCTCTGTGTCTTATGTAGCAGTTAACAAATATATATATAACATACATTCACAACCTATGAAAAGCAGGAATAGTGGTATTAAAGATTAGACAATAGATAACTTAAATAGATTTTCTGTCAAATATGAGATATTTTCATCATGTTTCAATTGCAGTGCAGCTAGGTTGCATAATTACAGGTTGGAAGTTGTGTGTGGCATGAAATATGCAAGACCAATTCATTCTCAAAGATAGACTTGAAACAGCAAGAGTTCTTGATGTGCTCTTTTAATTTGCAAATTCCAACACAAAATTAGGCTTGCCAAGATGCCTATGCTTTCCCCATATTGATTTTTAAGGCTGAGTGGTAGCTTTCCCACATTCTCTTCTGTCTGTTCAAATCTGGAGATCTGTCACCATTCAATATATCAGTAGGAAACAGCAAAATGGACCAATTTCTCTGCCCACAAACAGGAAGATGTGCTATTTTAGCCAGGTTTATATTATGGTTTTCTCATAGATTTAACAAATCTATGATCAGAATGATCAAACAGCCCAACTCTGGAAATCAGACTTGATTTTAAGTAACATATGCATCTATCTTTTCTAAAGGAAAGGCACATTTTCCATAACTACTAGAAGCCTGGGTTGATATAGATGTACTTGATCAGAAGGCCTCTTCTATAATACTCAGGTCACCATACTAACATCTGAAGATCTACTCAAAAGTAAATCTGATTAAGTTCATTATGGTTTAGCCCGGGGTCCTTCCCCCCCCCCCATGGCCTGTTCAGAACCAGGCTGTGCAAGCAGCAGAAGAGTTTGCGCACAGCTCCAACTTGTGTAAGCGGCTGATGAGCATGTGCACGTGTGAAGCTCCATTTGTGCGAGTGGCTTGCATGCGCTTACCCATCACTCATACACCCTTTCCCCCCACACACACACCGCCGGTCCGTAAAGCCAGAAAGGCTGGGAACTGCTGGTTTAGTCTACCTCTTTAGGAGAATAGGATAGGATAGGATAGGATAGGATAGGATAGGAGAACCTATACCATCTCAGACAAGTGACTATCTAGCCTCTTTTTAAAAATCTCCAGTGATGGAGCGCCCATGATTTCTGGGGGCAAGCTATTCCACTGGTCAATTGTCCTCACTGTACTCATTATTACTATAGTGAGTAGGATCTTCCTGACTAAAATGGGCAGATGAAAAAAAGCCTCCATGACCAGACGGATGTAGGCTATATAACAATTTGCCAGTGTAAATTTAAAGAGAGTTGAACACATGTTAGTATGAGCCCAATAAAACTAAATTATAAATTAGCAAGAGGGAGTCTAATTCTGTTCTGCACTGAGATCTGCTGGAATGCCTGAATTGATTACAGGTTTTAATTATTCAAGATGGTTACAGTAGTTAAAAAAACAGGCTAGTATTTCTTATCTAGAAGCAGATTAGGAATCTCCAATCTACAGAACAGGGAGAGAATAAAGCCATTTGTGTATAATTGGCAATTTACACAATACCCAGAAACACAGTGTTATTTCCTATATTAGGGGAAATTAGCCATTTTTCTTTCAACTTTCCTCACTGCAAAATGTTTGGAATCCAGCGTTTAAAAGGCAGAATGCTCCGACCTCCATTATAGGAAGAAATAAAATGTCTTTATTTCCAATGTTTACATTTTTAATTTTGTCTTTTGCTTCCTAAATGTCTCTAATTATTTCTTTGAACACAGTTCAATTTTTCCCAATCTTTGAGAACAAGTATTTGTGCATTCAGTTGTTCAAAGCTGTTTTCATGTACAAACAATTAGCCAGGTTTTAAAATCAGGCAAAGCCTTGCTTAGACAAAAAACTAGCTTAAAATCCTGCACACGTTTGGATAAATCCCATTCCTATCCATATAAAGCCTTCCATATAGGAGCAGTTTCTCTACCACTGGTAGCTAACCTGGTATGTACATTTTGCTTAGATAATATCTAGCTTGATCCCACAGGTATTAAAAATAAAGAAACAACAAATAAAGCAAGCAAACAAGCAAGCTAGAGGAAACTACATATATACATCCACACTAGCAGAATTGCAATACTGAAAAGGGAAATCAAATTTAGACAAATGCTGTAATTAGTGGAAATTTTCTCCATCTTTACAATGTTCTCCAGAAAGAATGTGCTATCCTTAGATAGCTAGCTGGGAATATCAGTAGTGATATACTAGGCACATCTGAAAGGCACCAGATTGGGAAAAAATGCTTTATGACAACTCTATTCATAAAGCTCATAAGATAGGGCTAACAGTGAACTTGCTGCAATTAGAAGATTACAAATCCACAAGTCTATAACACACAAATGAGGAAAACAAAGTTTCAGATTTCACTTTTCAAGAACAGATTGCAGGAATCGTCTCCATACATTTAATGATTCACATTTAGTTTCACTTCTCTATTGATTTTATCAGACATGATTTATTAAAGTGGGAACAGATGCCATATTTATTTTTTCATTCCAAATTTTCTCAAAAAGGATAGGGATTGTGGTTTTTCTTCTTTAACCTGCAGAAAAACTTGAAAACTTTGCATTTTTGCAGTGAGCTGAGGGAAGTTCCCACACTATTAAAGAAGCTCTAATGAAAGAGATTAAATAAATAGGGATATTTTTTTAAGATAAATGTATAATTTACCATTAAGTCCTTAGTATAATTTTCTAGGACTTGGGGAAATTTAACATTTCTTACTTTGCATCTTCATCTCGGGCAATAAGCAAAGACACGCGACTGGTTGCCGATGCCATCTGTAATATGTCAACAGCTCTGTAAAATTAAAAATGAAGAGTTAAATGTACTGACTTTCTCCACTGAGGTGCTATAAAAGCATCACCATAATTCATTTTATTGTTTTCTATTGTTTATTTATTGTTTTCTATGAGTTGAATGATTATATGTTCATTTTTAAAACATTGTTGGCATAATGTCCTTTTTACAATTATTCTTCATAGCAATGGATATTGTGAAGACAGCATTCTTTTTTGTCTTAAATTGGCACAGAGCAGGCCAGTGACACTTTATCTTATTGTATGGCATCTTATCCATGAAGATGTTAAAGAAGATGTTAAAGCAGTTGGAGGCAACTGTTTTTTCTTTCTATAGCTAATATAGCTTCTGTAGCTAATCTGAGCTAAAATACGAATAGGCAAATACAAATGCTAGCCATTCCAGTTGATGCTTATAATTAAATGCTAGAACTTACCTTTCATTAGTTACGCCACATAATTTTTGGCCATTCACTTCTAAAATCAAATCTCCAATACACAATTGATCTTTAAAATTAAAAAAATCATAATAGTTAATTAGAAATCAGCTACATCAAGAAAACAAAATGTTTTGTTTAGGAAAAAAACCCCTGCTCTCTCACACATACACACACACACACACACACACAAAAAAAAAAACCCACCAAGCACAGAAAAATATCAGAATTACTTCTGATATATTCAAGCAGTATGAAACAGCTACAAGATTAGTAATTAACTATTTTCTAGCTATGCTGAATGACATTTATTTTATTTATATCTTTCTATAGGACTTCATAATAATGACCTAAGGCAATCTTTCATTTATCTTTTATGCCATTTTTAATGTTTTACTTATTTTATTATTTTTGTACGATGGACATTTTAGTTGGGGGTAACTTAACTATCATATGAATCTTACTATCAGACATATCTATTATAATATCCCGAATTAGTGAACTAAGTAGTAATAGCTGTTTTTCTATGACTTAGTCATTTATTCTCCACTGGTAAAAACTTATCTTGTCCACCAGCAACATATGATCAACAATGTTCTACTTAAAGAGGGAACTGACAGTTTTGAAATCAGCTGATATATAAGAGGTTGGAAGGTGAATAAAAGCTGTATTTGCATTTCCAGTAAAGAGAAAGGTAAAAAAAAAAAAAAAGTAAAACCAAACATATCCATGGTAATCTAACAAGCTTTGGAGCCCCCATGGATAGAGATGACAGGGAGAGGCTAGTTATTCCACCTTTCCTGTCCTTTGTCTATATTATGGGAAGTAAAACAGGGACAGAGAAGATGGGCTTAGAGTTTTTCCCCTCTATTTGGCCAGCACAGCAGATAAGCACCCCATGGCTAGCTGGAGCTAAAAGCAACTTCTTCAAATCTCCTGGCTGTTTTATTGTGTGTATGACCCAGAGAGAAGTTGCAAGCCTGATTAAATCAGGTATATAGTGCGCCTAAAATTCTCTCACTTGAATCTAATGGATGAAATCCAAAGACTTTTTTTTTTCAAAGGAAGTAATTATTTCCATGAGTGGAACTATGGATATGGTGACCTCAGCCTCTCCTGTGTAATCTCCTTCTGCTCTAAAAGATTGGAATTTCTAGAACAGAATGAGGATGTTCTGTAGGGGAAGGAAAAAGAAGATGGTCTGGAAGTGTGGCTCTTTAATAAAAAAAAATCAATATATGGATTGTTACAGCTTTTTTTTAAAAGCAGCATTGCCACCAGTGACGATCACAAATAATTATTTACTACCTGTAGCAGCTATCCTCTCGGGTAATATCTCCTTTATGAAAATTCCATATTCTTCTTTGGATCGATCTTGACAGCTTCCAATAATTTTAATGCCTGTTGAGAAATTAAAACAAACAAGAAGTAAATAGGTTATTTTCTTATTTTCCCCACTGTGATAAACATACCATGGTAATTACTAAATAACTATATACATTACAAATCCAATCTACATTAGAGCGGACCACCTGCCCTAAACAGTGTAGCAATACGCCAACTTTATTAAATTGAATACGTAATTTAATTACCTAATCCATTTTGACAGTCTGAAAACACAACACGGTGTATAACTCGTTGGGTTCCATGTGAGCCTACAAAGGTCCTTTGAAATAGAGAAGAGAAGGTTGATTTCAGAATATTTGCAAGCTATGAAATATTTTTTTAAAAAAATTGAAACATGGAACCTATTGTGTCAGTCCAAAGGTAATAAAAGCAGGTATCTTTAAAAATGATGATGAAAAAGTGATTGAACTCATTTGCTTCCTCCCATCATTTCTTTCCACCATTTAGAACAGTGGTTCTCAACCTTCCTAATGCCGCGACCCTTTAATACAATTCCTTATGTTGTGGTGACCCCCAACCATAAAATTATTTTCGTTGCTACTTCATAACTGTAATTTTGCTACTGTTATGAATCGTAATGTAAATATCTGATATGCAGGGTGTATTTTCATTGTTACGAATTGAACATAATTAAAGCATAGTGATTAATCACAAAAACAATATAGCAATGCTCGCTGGAGAAGCTTGCTCTTCCTTGCTCAACAATGTTGGGAGGGAGGGGGAAGGAAGGAAGGAAGAATGAAGGGGAAAGGAAGGAAGGAAGGAGAAAGAGATTGAAGGGGAAGGGATGGAGATTGAGGGAAGGAAGGAAGATTGAAGGGGAAAGGAAGGAGATTGAAGGGGAAAAGAAGGAAGGAAGGAAGGAAGGAAGATTGAAGGGGAAAGGAAGGAGATGGAGAAGGAAGGAGATTGAAGGGGGAAGGAAGGAAGGAGAGATTGAAGGGGAAGGGATGGAGATGGAAGGAAGGAAGATTGAAGGGAAAAGGAAGGAGATGGAGAAGGAAGGAGATTGAAGGGGGAAGGAAGAAAGGAAGGAAGGAGAGAAAGATTGAAGGGGAAGGGATAGAGATGGAAGGAAGGAAGATTGAAGGGGAAAGGAACGAGATGGAGAAGGAAGATTGAAGGGGAAAGGAGATGGAGAAAGAAGGAGATTGAAGGGGGAAGGAAGGAAGGAAGGAAGGAAGGAAGGAAGGAAGGAAGGAAGGAAGGAAGGAAGGAAGGAGAGAGAGATTGAAGGGGAAGGAATGGAGATGGAAGGAAGGAAGATTGAAGGGGAAAGGAAGGAGATTGAAGGGGAAAGGAAGGAGATGGACAAGGAAGGAGATTGAAGGGGGAAGGAAGGAAGGAGAGAGAGTTGAAGGGGGGAAGCACTGCCAAGGACGCACAAGGACTAGTTATAAAGTTACTTTTTCAGCAACATCATAACTTCAAACTGTCGCCAAATAGGGCAGTCATTAAGTCATTTATTGTACAATAAAAGAATACAGTACAATGCAATTTGAAACAAGCAACAAGAAGCAGATACCGTAAAAAAAAAAGTTAGGTTATGGTCACGCTACTCTGGAATTTTTCCCACATTCTTTGTAACCAAAGAAATGTGATACATTTCCTTAGGGCAGTGCTTCTCAAATAGTGGGGCGCGCCCCCCGGGGGGGCGCGAGGCTCCGTAAAGGGAGGCTCGTTTGACCTCGGCAAATACTGTCATATTGGATTTCTAGATCGGATCATCCGACTCACTCGCAAGCGGCAGCCCGATGCGGAGGACAACATGACCGCCAACGCACGTGACACATGCAAAGGACCCGATTGGATAGACATGATGCTCTATCCTGATTGGCCAAACCCGCCCGTGTGACTTTTAGACCCGGAAATCGGTCCTCTGTACAGAAAAAATTTTTTTACAGTCGCGCGGGGGGCGCGAAATGTTTTCTTCTTCCTAGGGGGGCATGACAGAAAATAATTGAGAAGCACTGCCTTAGGGCATTGCCACCTTGGCAGCACCCTCCTAGTGACGAAAAGTAAGTAAACAGGCAGCATGTACCATAAATGTAAAAGGACACTCTTGTGTATTTCTGATCTACACTGTCAGCTACCTGTCATCACACTGATCTGTAAACGCTATGTAGTGCACAGATGCCACTTTTGTCTTCTCTATAATCTTCCAGATTTAACTTAGAAAGATAGAAAGAGATGAATAATCTTGGACTGTTGCTAAAAAATTTTGTAAAAAAACATGAGATTTAAATAAAGAGAGGAAGAAAAAAGCAGAGAAAGAACACAAATGCACATTGTAGTTACCGGTACAATCTGCTTATCTAGCAACATTTTATTTGCTATATATAACAGTCTCCCTTCAATAAACTAGGTTGCTTTAAAGGCGCTTATTACATAATATTAGTAACAGCAACAATTTAGTACAGGATTGTTCTAAAGAACATAGGCTCACATTCCAACTGGAATAAATCGCATTTCAGAAGCAGGGATTTTAGTGTTTTGCCTATTCTGTCACAAATGTTTACAGATGGAAAATGATAATATATGCTGGATTTTGTTATTTAATAGCAAATAATCTGAAACTGCATTACTGAATCTTAAAATCTACATTTTAATCAATTATGATTTGCCCGTCTCTGTGACGATCAGCTTAAGATATACAAATGGTTTCTTGAATGATACTTTATTGATAATCAATATTTTTTTTATTTTGCTAAAATGTGTTTAAGTTTTTGGAAGGCAAAAGAAAACAACTGACCCCCCCCCCCCGCAAACTCTTATTTCTAGATTTCTGTAAAATATATCCACAAACCAGGTTTTATATGCATCTAGATTTAGGAGAGAGGCTTGGAAAGAAATCTCAGTAAATGAAGAAGTCCTTTTAATAATAATAATAAAAAACTATGAATCACTTCTTTTTATCCTGAGTAAGGTACACAAGAATCACAGCAGTAAAACCATTAAAGTAAAATGCCTGCTTGCCTGCCTATCATCTGTCTGCCTTGTTACAGAATAAGCCTGCAATAATCTTTACATTTTATAGAGATGAAAATATCTGTTTACGTAAGATTTTAGAAAATGGCTGGGGACAGCTATCTAAAATCTAACCATGAGACACGTCTTATAGATCTTATTCTCTGGTTTTCACTCATCCCCCGGCAAAAGACAATTGTTGAAGACGAAATAAATCAATCTTAAAAAGCGCTGAGAGGTTTCATATTCAGCAGCAGTATAATTGCTTGCTTCCATCATACTTGAAATTACTAAAACTTCAGTGTGGTCTCTCCTTCCAATTAATCTTCCCACATGAGATAATTCACACGTGACAGCAATAATTAGTTCTCCCAGTGCAATTCAGTAAGTAGGAAGAACTGTATTTTTTAAAAATATACCAATTACTTGCATTTTCTCTGGATTTTAATATATCGTTTATAATAAACTACAGCTCCTTTTGTTTGTGTTAGGATTCATTCTTTATAATCCTCTTGGCATAAAACTTCAACTATCTTTATCTATTTAAAACATATGTCTGCCAGATTGTGTCAGAACATGTAGGATATATAACTCCTTACTCACCAACTTATAATAATCTCAAACTCCCCAGTACTTATCCATTATGTACATAGTGGCATAGAAGAAGACAGCAGGATAAATTCAGAATGATATTGCAAAACAATTATTTTCCAATAAATTTCTATAGACAAATTATCAACTAATTCCTTACATTCTGAATGGCAATGCTAGGCATTAACAAAAGTTACACAGAATGCTTATTCCCTTATGTCTTGCTTCTAGGCATATCTGGTTTTCTGTAACTGAAAATTGAAACATTGGGCTAGATACTTATGGGCTTAATCTAATACAGGGGTCCTCAACCTTGGCAACTTTAAGACTTGTGGACTTCAACTCCCAAAATTCCTCAGCCAGCAAAGTTACCAAGGTTGAGGACCCCTGATCTAATAGAACTTCTGATTCTAAGTCAAAATGCTTGCTGATTCCATTCAAAACTGTTCTTCCAGAACTGCAAACACACCGGATTTTTATTTTAGCTGTTAACAGTTGACCAAAAGTCTGTGCTTACATTTGTATATGAAGGAGATAAACATCTGTCAGTATATCCTATGCATATGACAGACAGTTTGGTGTAGTGGGTAATGCACCAAACTAGAAACTGGGAGATTGTGAGTTCTAATCTTGATTTAGGCATGAAACCAGCTGGGTGACAGGCCAATTACTCTCCCTCAGCTCTAGGAAGCAGGCAAGGGCAAACCATTTCTGAAATTTTGCCTGCAGTGATACATCAAGATTCCAGGAATCAACACTGATTTGAAGGCACATGCAAACACAAAGATTAAAATAATGAATTTTATACACTGTATATTTCATTGTCACCAAGAATGCTTAGATTCATCTACTTTAGCTTGTCTGTTTTTCCTTCCCAGCTCTTCAAGCTAAGATTTTAGATTTGATTCTTGACATACCTTCCTAGGTTTCTAATCTAACTTATCTATTTATCTACCATTTTTTGCAGTTCTGCAATAAGAATAAGATAATGCTGACACAGTGGTTAGTATTCTGGTACTGGAAAATTGTATGTCCTAATTAATTTGCAAGTAAAATATCAACTTTTACTGATAGGAACCAGAAATACTTCAGAATACTGATGAATATACAATCTGCGGAGGTTCTACAGATACAAGATACTAAGTGGAATGGCAGAAAGTACCATAACATGTATTTTACTTTGGAGTTCTTGGTGCTCTCTGTGCTTGGTTGTTTGCTTGCAGACATTTCATTATCCAACAAGGTAACATCATCATTGTGAATGTGGGTTTTGCTCCCTGTTTATATGTAGTAGCGTGCTCTGCCAATGTTGGTCAGAATGAGGTTTTCTCCTTGCTATTTTCTTGAGTAGGGTATTGTTTTCTGCTTGTTTCTCTGGTGTTAGTCACTGCTTATGTGCGTGTTGGCTGCTGGAGATGATATGTCCTGGACTTTTTGTTTCCTCCTTAGTTTTTTCTTGTCTCTTCTGAATGATGTATAAATATGTTTTATTTCTATGTGTCTATTGATGTCTGATTTGTCTGAATGCCAGGAATCTCCTAGGAGTTTTTGATTTGGTTTGGTCTAGGATGCTTAGTTTCTGTTTGGTCTAGGATATTCAGTTTCTTCTCACAGCTGGTTGAGGTTCATGGATGTGCTAGTCTTCTGCCTAACTGTTCTACATAGTAACTGTTACAAACACTGTATATTGTAGATGATTAAAGCAGGTCATTCCTAAGTTTTTTTTTCTGTTAAGGAGGCTCCTGTTGCTTCTGTCTATTTCCTAGCACATCTGATCCACACATTCCATTATATTCTCTGAATAATGTTCCTGCACAGCTCCTCTTGTGGAAGCTTGGATTGTTACTTTGATAATGGAGCACTTGGTTAGTGTGGGTTGTTTTTCAACAGGGTTGTGTTTCTAATTTTCTATTATTTCTTCTGCTGAAAAAGATATCCAAGAAGTATAGTGTGTTTTTTCCTTCCTTTGCGAATATTATTCCTTTGAAGGTCACAGAGCACCAAGAACTCCACAGTTCAGCTCTGAACTACATATATTCTCTTTTATTGCTATTTTACTTTATTTACTGTCAGTGATCACAAAAGATATATCACTCTGGAATCTTATTAGCTCAGCAGGTAAGAACACAGTAATGTATGCATGAAAGTACATTTCTTTCATTATATTCTGCACTAACTAGATGTATTACACTAACATTAATATACATATATTAGGAATTGTTTTAATAATATAAATCAGAGATAGATATTGAATTATTATAGGCCTAAAGATGTGTAAACATACATGACTTACATTTCAGGGTGATTTGAGTCTGGGGATGCCATTTCTGTCGACAAATGTCATTAATAATGGAATATTCCAACAAGCTCACAACTAAAACTGCCCCTTTGCTGCAAAGCAAAAAACACCATTGGGTATTACATGCATAATTACTATGAATTGCATTCAAACTAATGCAGACACACATTCTTTGATGGTTTGATACACCTGGTATTGAATTTACTGAATATTTCTTAGTTAAAAAATAAAATATCCCACATTTTTAGCAGCTTGAGACAGAGAACACAACAATCTTGGCCACCAAGACCCAGGATTGAAGCTGTAGAGCCAGAAATGGGTACTGGCATCAAGGTGGTGGTCCCATTTGTACTGGAATGCTTATTCTGCTCTTCCTGGCATATCTTTCCTGACCAGTCATCACAGAGATCAGCTCACCTTACTTCCACAGAAACAGCCCTTAAATAGGGGTACCAATTTCAATTATAACCACCCTCCAATAACTCCCACATCTGTTCTTTCCTGAGAAAGCCAGCAAGTGGAAGCCAGCTAGTATGCTGACCTCTTTTATTACAGTAGCTATGCTTTTTCTATGAATGCAGTCCAGATCAACCTGTATGTGTATGTGCAGAATGCATCTTGAAAGGATGGCAGATGGAAGCAATTGTTTGTACTTTTGAGCCACAAAGTTTGAATGTAGTATTGTCCCTACCCAGTGCTTTTTTTGTAAAAAAAAAAAAAAAAAAGGTGCCGGAACTCACATTATACAACCCGCCTTGCCTACCCTACAAGGTTCCATCCAGAAAAGGTGCCGGAACTCCGTTCTGGGCATTCTATGACAAAAAAAGTCCTGTCCCTACCAAACTAGACTATAGCGACCAACAGAAGAGCCACATTGACTTAGTGGTTAAGGCATAAAGCCAGAAACCAAAAGATTGTGAGTTTTAGTCCAGGCTTAGGCATGAAAGTTGGCTGGATGATTTTGGGCTAATCACTCTCAGCTCAACCCACCTCATAGGCTGTTATAGGGAAAATAGGAAGGAGTATTAGCATGTTCACCGCCTTATAAAAATAAAAAGGTGGGATATAAATTAATAAAATTAAATGCTGTGTGCCATTTAATACTATGTACTTAAGCAATACAGTGGGAAAGACCAATTTTATTTAAAACAATTTTGTCCTTCAAAAACCCAAAGCAACATTCTAGTACTACTCCACCTGCTGCCCACTTTATCCTCAAAAACAACTTTGAGTAGGTCAGTTGAAAAATCTTGCCTCGTCTCAGATCACCCAGAGAGCTGAATGCGTTCTTCCTCGTACAAATCTGGCTCCCTCATCTTGCTCAGGTCGCTTGGTGTGAATATCAAAGGCGCTATAACTCCTTTTATTCCTAACGAAACAGGTGATTAGTAGACTGGACATTTCAAAACTGGAAACATCAGTTTAATCCCTAGAAGATTGCGTCCTGCGAAGCCGAGAGCTTTCTCAAGATTTCCAGGGGTGTGTCTGGATAACAAACAAGTCTGCAGTGCGCTCGTCTTTTTTGAAACTTCGCCTGGGGCGGTCTAAGATTGCGGGAAGCAGAGTTGCAAGCGGAATTTCCAATAACAAGACAAAAGTGCTAAGGTTCTTAAATAAACCCAGATTCTGCATTAAAAAACAAAAAGCCCCAATAAATTAGTTTTAAACTAAAATATTTTTACCTATTTATCAGGGTTGCCAGCGGGGATTCCTAAAACCAGATTTCGCGCTCAGATAAACCCAGATTCTACAAAAAAAAAAAAAAAAAAAAAACCCAGGTGGCAAAACACCATAAATCAGTTTTAAACTAAATTATCTGTACCTAATCTAACACCTACAATATAATGTAATGTATAGAAAAACTTAGATTTCATTAAATTTTAAAATAAAAAGACCCCAAGAAACCCAACAAGGAACCAGATCTGGATTGAAAAAAATCCAGCACGGCAACCTTGGCGGGAAATGCGTACCGCTCCTAACTCGGAGGCGGGGCAAAGAGGCGACAGGTAACGAAAACGCGAACTTACCCCCCGCGGCCGCCGTAGTCAGAACGTAGTGCTGGAAGTTTTGCAGTATCAAAGCGACAACCCCACTGGGTTTGACCTTGGCTTCTCTCGCGATACTTGCTAATCGCGTTCGCTGGCCTGCGAAGGGCAGCCCCGCCGAAAGGGAATGCTCACGTGACAGGAAGAAGCATGCGTTTGGGCGCAAAGGGCTGGGTGCTGGTGGCCCGAACGGTGAGAAGCTGGGGCTGCAGGCCGGTTCGGCTCTGTCACCGTGGCAACAGCCAGGAATTCCGCGGGGACCAGCGCTATAAGAGCGCCGAGGCTGTGGCCGCGTTCCGCCGGCAGCAGGAGCAGCAATGGAAGCACCGCAACAGGACGGTGCTCACCTATCTGGCGGCCGGGGTGGTGGGCATGGCAGGCTTATCCTACGCAGCCGTGCCGCTCTATCGCCTTTATTGCCAGGTGAGTGGCGGGGCGTAGGAGGAGGCGGGGTTGGAGGTCACCTGCAGCCGACGATTCGTTTCCCTCTCCACGCCAGCCTGCCCCGTTAGGGTTAATGTGTTTGAAGGGGCGAGGGCGGGGCTAGTTCTTGTGGTCCATGGAATATGTGATAGAATAAAACGGCGATCATAGGTACAGATTGCTAATTGCTAAAATTATTCTGATCTATCTTGTTATTGGCATGTCCTTACTCTAAACGATTTCGTTTAAGTTTATTATTCCCAATTACTTTTCTCTAAGATTGCTGTCTATTTGCATTTGTGCACAGGGAAACAAGTATATGACCTTCAGGCCTTTTCCATCAACTCTTTAAGTACATGAAGTGTGATGGTTGACATTACTGTTGACTTAAAATTTAGTAGCAGCATGGATTTTTGGTGTTCTGATTTTGCGTTCCTAATGAGCTCTTTAAATTTTATTCACTTTCAGCCCAAAAAATGGTTGCATTTGCAAATCTCAGATGTATAGTACACATTGACTTGTATTAATCCTTTCTTCCAGTCCTACTTTCAGTATGTACACCGAATACATGAAATAGATATTGAGTCAATATGTATTTTTGTCTCTTTCCCTTCTCTGTTGTGGCCTATTCCCTTTCTCTAAATTCAATTCTTACAGTGTTTTTTGTCACTTTAAGTATTCTTCAAAAGAATAATAGGTTGCTTTGACACATCCATTAGCTTTGATATATTCCATGGTCTTGCCATTCTAAGGCCTCTGTATGGTTAATATTCTAAATCAGAGGTAAACGTCCACATATTCTTCTGCTCTATCGATTATCCATCTTATGTTTTCTATCGTATGCTCCCGAGCTTTTCTAAAATACTGTGTTCCTGTGATTTTTTCTCTCCAGCTATAGTCCTTTTTATAAAATCTTAAGCAAAATGTGATTGTGTGAAAAACTACTGCCATGATTTCAGTAATTTGTGCATTTGTTTTGCATCTCTTTTTACTGTTTTATTACCTTGACTCATTTTTATGTTCTTACATTTATTTGGTAGGAACTGATATAACTATTGTGATGAATATGATTATATTGATTGGTTTTAACCTCTATATGAATATTTTTGTTTTTATAGCCTGCAAGCTGCCAAGAATAGATTAGTCTGTGTGTCTAGAAGTATAATAAATATACATTGAGATGTGGATAAGTTGTGATTGGTAGAACTGAAACATTCTGGTTATTCAAGGCTTCAGCTGAAACAAAATCTGAATGGGTATTTGAACTGAATAAGACAGTGATGGCGAACATTTTAGAGACTGAGTGCCCAAACTGCAACCCAAAACCCACTTATGTATCCTTGGGTGCCGGGTGGGTGTGGCCCACTGGGTGGGCGTGGCTGCTGTGGTAACGGCAGACGATAGGACTAAAAAGTTCAATCAATCAATTCCAACTTTGCGAGATCCTTTTTTTTCTCATAAGAAGTTGAAATTGAGAGATTGATTGAATTTTATTTTTTTTTGTTTGGACACGGTGGAGGCCTAAAGTGAAAAGGTTTTATAAAATCCAGCTGAAGGCCTAGGACTGGGGCGATGGTGCACGTGCCCACAGAGAGGGCTCTGCGTGCCACCTGTGGCACGCGTGCCATAGGTTTCCCACCATAGGAATAAGACAAGGCTTGTACTGTATGTTTGTACCTTCCTTTTGCTGCAGGTGGTCATCTCGCCTGTCAATTTTCTTAGTGCTTTCCATTCCCTAATTCTCCTTAGTTGCTTAGCTTTTCCACTGATGACCTTGGTGTCAAACATGCCCTGGGCCAAACCTCTCATTATCTCAGCACTTTCCATTTTTACTTTCTTTTAACCATCCCCAATGTTCTTGGCTTTTTGCCACATTCTGTCCCTCCTAATTTCTTTCTTTCTGTTTTGACAATTTTAGTTTTCATTGAATAGTGTATCACACTTGTCATGTTCACAATTGTTTATGTCCTTGTAAAGAGAAGAACTCTTCAAGTATAATAAAATCTCAGTTTAACAACTTCAGTTTAGTAGTCTTCAAATAATAAACTTAAAGTGCATCCAGATTTCAGCTATATTTAACAAAGTCTATTGTACCCCGAATAATCCAGATCAAACAAATTTATATAATTTATATAAGGTACTTATATTATACTTTTGGCAGAGTGATGTCAATTGACTCAAATGGCAAATTCAGGTTGAATGGACATTTGAATATAACAAAGATTTTATTGGCCTTTCTTTGTATCTGATTACATTATCACGTCCAGATTTCTACACGAAAATTCAATATTCTTCAATTAGTAGACAACTATTTTATGATTTCTGGAGCAAAAGGATTCTCAGTATCTGGTACCACCATCATTTGTCTAAATGTTCCAGCCATACCCATATGCTTGCCTTGTTAACAATATAGAGATGGTTTGTTCTTTTCTTCTGGTTTTTATGTTTGAATTTCTTGTCTAAAATAACTTATCTCTTCCACTTTTAACTGTTCAGCAACAACTTAGTGCTCCCATTCTTGTCAGTTTTACTGAAACAGCTTCAGCATTACATGAAAGTGCTAATCTGCTGAGAGGGAGCTTTGTAAGGGGGTTTTACAGTTTGATGAAGGTGGGACAACCGTGGTAATTATATATTTCCTCTAGCAACTGATGCAGTGCACATATGAATTTCCTTAGTGTACTTAACGTCTTTCTTGCGAAGTCCCCATTGGTATTTAGTTGGTCTCCTTTTGAACCTTTTGAACAACCTTTTGAACAACCATGACTTTGGTGAGGGGACTTCAACTGCTGCTCAGATTATGGCTGTGGAGTACTTCAGATTCAAAAACTTGCTTTGAAGCATTAATGGGTGCACACATTGCTTCTCTCTCCAACTACTTAAACCAAACTCATATTTTCCCAGGATCTTACTGCAACTACAGAAGAAAACGGCATGCTCCTGAGAAAAGACACAGCTGCTTTAAGGAGCTGCAGAGAAATATTCCATGAGCACCCTTGCAAACATTGAGGCATCTTTTGCCTTTGAATCTAAAGCACTGCACAGCTCTAGTAAGTGTTGCTAATTTTAAGTAAACAATTTGTAATCGGAAAAAAAACCTACTCAGTTCTTATTGCCATGAAAATAATTTGTTTTCAAGTAGATTGTTTTTTAATTTCAGCTTATTTTCCTTTCAGGCTACTGGGATTAGTGGGTCAACTTCAGCAGGCCATAGTTCAGACCAGATTGAGACTATGGAGCCTATAAAAGACCGCATCATTAAAGTCACCTTCAATTCAGATGTTCATTCAAGTCTTCAGTGGAACTTCAAGCCTCAGCAGACTGAAGTTTATGTAAGTAATTAAAATCTGTTAGGTGAATTTTGCATGAACTTTTAGAAGCATTTTTTACAATAAAATGATATGCTTTTATAAAAATAATCAAGAATGTGAGTAGTTGTAGCCAACCAAGAGTTTTTAATTAAGAGGCTCCTTTCAGTTAGATAAATAAGATATAATCAAAACAATAAATTTTGTTTTACTAATTTATATTAGCAAAACTAATTTTGGAATTAAGTTTATGCTAGTAGCAAATATAAATGGCAGGCAGGTTAAATCCCAGTACACTGCTTGTTTGCCAAGTGCACAACTATAGTTTAATCTATTCTCTGTCATTAGTATTAGAGTGAACCAAATTCTGGTTAGTTTCTTTGTACAATCTAAAATGATTTTTAATAAATATTTTGAAATATAATGCAACAAAGATACTCCACCTCAAATGATTGAGCCTTTAATGCTGTGTTTTGCAACCTCAACTGGCTTAAGATGCATGGATGTCAACTCTCAGAATTCTGGGAGAATTCTTGAGAAACCCTGCTTTAATGTAACTTGGTGCACAGACTTTGTTTGAAAACCTATTTTGTAAGAAATAAAAGTGTGGAGAGAAGCTAGAAACATAACAGTTGTAACTTTTTAAAATAGGTAGTTCCAGGAGAAACTGCACTGGCCTTTTATAAAGCAAAGAATCCCACTGATAGACCAATAATTGGAATATCTACCTACAACATACTACCACCTGAGGCTGGACAATATTTCAATAAGATACAGGTAAGTGCTGTTCAGTTTGGTTAACTTCCTGAAATATTTATAATTAAAAATAGCCTATTTTGATAATTCATATTTGCGGCAATTCATATAATTAGATTTAAGGTATGGTATGATCTCAATACTTCTTGTTCTCTTGAATTCTGTGTAACTTCATTTTTTTAAGGATTGCTTTTGTATAGCATAATATAAGATTTCCAATAGTTCAAAGTGCTCACTTTTCCATGAAATATGAACAAAACAGGGATGTTCACCAATATCACTTAGTTTTTGATCTTACTATTTAAATGTTTTATATTTAGACAGATTTTAAAATGTTTATAAAACAATTACTTGACAAAGAGAGTTTGAAAATGGTTTTGTTTTTAATATTTTTTAAAAAAACGTTATTGAATTAAAGGTTAAAACAAAACATAGACAGAGGTTAGCTAGCTATTCAATTTTGGAAAATAAATCTTTTTTTTTCTTTCAGTGTTTTTGTTTTGAAGAACAAAGACTCAATCCTCGTGAGGAAGTGGACATGCCAGTATTTTTCTTCATTGATCCTGAATTTGTAGAAGACCCAAGGATGGAGAAAGTTAATTTGATTACTCTTTCTTACACGTTTTTTGAAGCCAAAACAGGATATACACCACCCCTTCCAGGTTATAATTAACAATGCAACATGTAGACTTGACATTGGAGTTTTGTCTTCAATTCTCTGTTGATAATCCACTGACTGCAAAAATAATTTCTTTAACCCAGGAAGAAGATGCTGAATATTTCAGGCATTATATTTTATTTTCTGAATATGCACTGATGTATCTTCTCTTTGGAGATGTGATTAATCTTCATTTTAAATCCAAATTAAGAATACAAAGAAATGATATACAAAAATAATTCATTTTGTTCATTTCTCTCTTTCATTTACAGAAAGATGTATCTAATTACCAATTTATGACTGTCATAAAGTTTTTTTAATTTCAATTCCACACAGTTATCTAAAATGATATTTAATAGATTAGTGTGTCAAAGAATAAAATAGTAAATGGTTTATTTTTGGAGATTTGATGTCTGCTGAATGAAGTATTAAATAATCAGTAAAATAACAAACATTGCTAGATTTGACTTTTCTTGCCTATCTTAAATCAGAAGTAGCACAATCTGATAAGTTTTGTAAGCTGTTTTAAAGAAGTGTGCAGAAGATATTGTCCAGTGTACTATGTTAAAACTCAGTTATTCCATGCAGCAGCTTTTTATTCTAAAAGCTACGCTCTTGTTTTTCATGAGTTACCCACAAGCCAAAATAAATGAAGAATAGCTAAGAACAGCAACCTTTTTTTAAAAATGCTGCTTTTATGAATCCCATAATATCCTCACTTAAAACTTTCCTCTTGAGTTCTTCTTCAGGGTAATATACTTTGATTCTATTCTTTATATTTTCATTATCACCTCGGTAACACATAACCAGGTCAAATAAAGGTTTGAGTAGCTGTATCTGTATAACATGCTAAGCTTGATTAGGGTTATCCTTTTCTGTGGCTTAGCATGTTGCACAAATCCAATGTCCTTTCTGCAAACTCAGAAAATGGATTAAAATTCAATAATTATGTTAAATTTGTTGCACCAATTTTTCAGTGTGGAAGATGGTGCTGATTTTCTCCTAAATAGATGTGTGTTGGGTGTGTGTGTGTGTGTTGTGTGTGTTGAGAAAATAATTTCACTAACATGGGCTTTTAACCTCGGTAAATTTGACTAGATCCCTGCCTTGAACAACTTGACAAACTGCTTTTCCAAAAGAAGAAAGTAATATCACTATTAGGGTATAGTATGTATTGAAAACTCTGTCAAACAATATCTAAAATATATTACATTTCAAATGTAAAGTGATTTGTTCACCACAAATTCCACTGTGTGGTGGAAATCAGTGGAAAAAAGAGGGGCAGAAGATCCCCCCCCCGTATAAAATCTTTATAGGTTTAACAATGTTATTATAAAGCTCATTTGCCTAGAAAATAGGAGGCTAAGCCTAACATTTGTTAATTTTATATTTTCCCTGCTTTTCCCTATGCATCTCCGTAGTATTTATGGAAGATCCCTCAACAGTCCAAAGCAAATCTGGTAGAGTGGATCTGGTGCATCACAAAACACTACATAAAAAACAAGCTAACCATAAAAGCATTTGGGAAAATTTGTCTTCAAATTTAATTTAGTTTTCCATTCCATATTCTTTACTTGGATTGTATGTTAATAACAGCTATTGTAAAACAAATAATGGTATACATTTTACTCAAGACTTAAAGGGTACCAATTTATTAAAAGTTTGAAAACTAGATCTGGAAACGTAGAGAGAGAAAAGGCACTTATTTCAATCACTCTTTTATATGACCTCATGACCAAGGAATTGTTATTCAAGGTAACCTGAATTGTTGGGAATAACAGAAAGTAACAGCAGTAATGTAATCAAAGTCATTCCAAATATCACACAATGCATGTTTTATATTTTGCTGGGCCCATGCATTTTGGCAGTGCTTGGGGCTGTAGTTGTTCCCAATACAAACCTCCATAACTTATGAAAACTACTGCTTCATACATGCTTAGCTGCACTGTAAGAGAGAATGAAATAATCTAGGAAAACAGATAAAACTGTAGTAAGGCAATGTGGAACAAGCTATGCTACTACAGCATGTCACAATTGCTACCGATTCATATGCTCTGTTTTGCAGTAGCTTGTGCCTACTTTCTTTTGCATTTAAAGTGCATTCCATAACCGAGGAAAGTGTTAGAATGGCTAACTATCAGAAGAGTAGGAAATGTTCTGCAAGGAAATCTAACTTCAACCTCCGAAGTTAGTGATTATTTTTCACTAAAAAGTAACATCAAAGACAAACAGTTAAGGTCTCTCCTAATAAGCAGCCTACCAGGAAATCTGACTGCAGGATTTAATTAATAGCTAGATCTCTCCTTGTCTTCAATAGTTGGGAATTGTACTTGGGCCTCTATAGGTATTAGTCATCGATCCAACACTCAAGTTCTTTGATTGGGATCATAAGCAGTTCTATCAGATACCAGTCAATTATTCAGCAATATGCAGTGTAGTTCTTCCTATAGGAAAAGATGTTGCTTTTATTATTAAAGGATTCTATAAAAGTAACCTGCTTGAGATGAAAGATTCTGAGTGTTATATTTGCTATAAGGATGAAATTTTGAAAAACATCCATTGTATCCATTGTAGATTTTGATCCAAAGATTGCAGAAGTGAATCTTATATTGTTAATGAATTGAACCCAATACAGTGTATTTAGGGTGTGTAGGATACACATCTTAGGTTTGAAGTGTCTTCTTAAATCACTTTATCCCAAATCTCAGCCTAATGAGTAGATTTTGTCTTTACATTTTGAAGCAATCAGCAGAATCTACCATTATGTTAAATAAAATCTTGCTATTGGTATCTGCTTCTAGCATTTGATGTTAACCTGTGCTTTGAAGAGGTGTGGATCAATTTCTTCATAAATATGTCTGAAATCAAAGCAGATAATAAACAGTTTGTGACAAGGAATAATCTAAAAATTAGGAACATTCACAGATAGAGTTAAGGACAGATATAACACTAACCCAGGGGTAGGAAACCTTGTCTCTTTTATGACTCGTGGACTTCAACTTCCAGCTGGCTCAGGAATTCTGGGAGTTGAAGTCCAAGAGTCATAAAAGAGACAAGGTTGCCTACCCCTGCACTAACCTCACATTCCTCCTAGTCATGTCCATATAATAAAAAAAATTACTTGCGGTGTATCTACCAAACATTTTTCTTTGAACCAGTCATCTCACATTTCAGCTAAGTGACAGTTAAAAATAGTCATCAAACTGCTCATATTTTCATTAGTAACAAAAGTATGTTCAATTTGTGATTCAAATACACTTATCTCACGTATTTGACAAACAATACTCCTATGATACCTGACACAATTCCTAACCGTTAGGCTCATCAGGAAGGCAAATTCATATCCTTTTTCTTAACTGTCTAATTATTACTTTGCTCAGAATAGGGGGAATAGAGTATTTTCAATTTCCCTCTGAAATGCAGTTTTGATTATGGTTAACTTCTGGGACATTGCAGTATGTAGAACGGGGCTTCCAGGTCAGGATAAAAATATCTAGGGGATGACATGCTAGAATTAACTACATGTCATGTATTTACCCAATCTAGTTTCTAGCAATGGCAATGAACTTGCCTCTCAATCCATAATAAATTTATATAGTGCTTAGTTTAGTGTTCTCTTCAACTTCCTTTCAATTTTGCAGATCAACAGGCTTAAGTGAATAGGAGATTTTAACTATCAAGTATGATGTACAGCTATGAGATTTCCTCAAACATTTTGAAGTCAGATGAGTTCTCAAGAAATACATATGTGCATTTGAGAACTGTGAGAAGCTAAACAAATTACTACATTGATCAGAAAAATGAATATAATGAACACCAACGATCACTTTCTATGGGCTCAAAAAGGGAAGTTGAGAAATTATCCTGATTACAACGTTGAGGGTTCTTTGGGACGAGTTACTGAGCTATGGAATTTAAAGTGAGTAGACTAGGCTGTTTTAAGCAACCTATGTGGAAATTAGATTTTATTTATATTTCCCGACAGCCCAGCCTATCCGTAGCTTAGATGGTCTCAAATATTCTCCAATATTCTTGTGAACTTGTCTTTTTCCTTTTGCAGTCTCTCACTCTTTCATCACTCACCATGTGGTGTTGAATGGATGTAGTTCTGCATTTTCGTCTCGGCTGTATATGGCTGAAGTGTTTGCTTCTTTGTGAAGTTTTGAGTCTTTTATATGTTTTACTCTGTTCTATCTCGGAGAAAGGTGCCATCTCAGAGGCCAGCATAGACACCTCACCCTTCAAGCTACCAGCTGTTAATGCTTACCCTTTTCTATGCCTTTGCATTAATGATGCTTGCCCCAAAAGCAATAGTGTACGTATATAAATATTGTTTGTTATAATGGTAAAAATACAGATAACTGCTCACCCAGCAAAACCTTTCTCTTTTCTATGGTTCCCCCGTACAGTATCTGCTAAGAAAGTTGGGGAATGGCAAAAGAGATAATGCATTCTAGTGGATCGGTATCATCAGATGCAATTCAGTAACATGAAACAAAGACCCATTCAAGAATTCTATGTGGCTGTTCGATTTTAGTGGCTATCACAAATGACTTAAAATACGTACCATATGGTATTTTTGCTGCACTGACATAAGAAAAGCTGTCTGTATTGACCTGGACTATTAAGGTAAAGAAATCAAGCAAACAAGCAAGCAAGAATTTAATCATTTTGAAAATCACATACTTGGTTGGATCACAAGGGGCCAAAGGATCAAATTCCATTAGCTCATAATAAGGAGGATGTGGGTTGGTTTTTGATATGTCTGGAAAAAGAAAGAGACCAAAAAAAAAGTTTCATTTTGCTGATTAAAAGTATTAAGAAACAAAAAATCAATTTATATTGGCTCCCATATTCTACTTCAATTCTGAGATACAAGATAAAAATTATATATGGAAGGGACTGTGGAGGGAATAGGATCTGGGCAGCATTTTCCCCCAGCAGTAAAGTTCAGGAGTGAGCAGACTGTATACAATTGAATACACTTTTTAAATAAAATATCAAGAGAATACAGAGCAATTGCTACTGCCATCTTGCCCCATCTTCAAATGGACATAATATGCATAGTGGTGAAGACGTTGAACTAAGAATTATGAGATACAGGTCCACTCATCCACAGAAGCCGACTAATTCCTACTCTCAAGTGTTGTTATTGTCAGGGGAAATGGGAGTGGGGAGGGCTAGGTACATCTTGAGCTCCTGAAGGTAAGGCAAGCTGTTAGACAGATAGACGGATGGACTTAAACCACACAACTAATTCATCTGGCAATGGTGTGAACTTGTTTTTCCCATGGTCATATGATTTTGATTTTTGGCAGTTTTGATGGAAACCAGCATTTAATTATAGTTTCTGGCAAAAAAAACCATTCATTGGGTAAAATGGGTTTGGTTAACAACTGTCGTGTTTGCTTAACAATTGCTGCCAAAAAGTTGTAAATCAGATGCAGTCGCGTGGTGACCTGCTTAATGACCACTATGAATTATGATTGTAATTCTGGCTCAATTACAATTACCTACAGTCTTGTAATTATAATAATGCAATTGCAAACTCTAATTGTAATAATAAAAATTTACCTCCTGGTGGTATATTTCCTATACCATTATTTAGGTTGTTTGCTGCATGCAAGGGCTCTGGATTTAAACATTTGTTTACCTAAGGAAATTAAGTGAATTAAATCAGATATGCAGGAAAATGCTTTGGTAAAAAATGGTTGAGCATAACAAGATGGTTCATTCATTTTTGTCTATATGGCATAAGGTTATAATAAAAGTGATTAAGGATTCTATTAATATAAACAGTACATTAAGTGAGCTTTTGGTTGGGTCTCTATAAATTAGATAGTATTGAATAAATCATTTAGAAAAGATCCATAGGATTGTTTAGACTGCATTAACCCCACAGAATTAACACAATAGAATTCAAAACATTCTGAATTTGGCTTACGGAATCAGATTCCTCAGACTATCCTGGGCAATACATTTTTTAAAAATCAACTTCAGCCTGGTTATTTTTTTTAATTTATCTGTACCTGCACTCACGTAATATATGTTGGTTTCAAAACAATGAGCATTGGGGAAGTAAATTCAGCCTATTGTCTTTTTGTATTTCTTGGCTACACAGATCTGTAGGGATTAGGGATCCTTAGCAACGATCTGAAAAAGTTACGGTTAATTTCTCTTCCACGGTGCACGCTTAGTGGGTATGTTGACACAATTCACTAATCTATAAGTCACAGTTTACAAAAGGGTGAATACAGCTAAAGTATCTGCAGTTTTTCTGATGCTTGCAACTAAACTCAAATAGTTTAAGATTAAACTTGAAGAGCAGGTGACAGATGTGACTAGGAGAGCTTTTACATAGCTCTGGTTTGTGCACTAGCTACAACCTTTCCTGGATCATGACTCCCTTCACTCAGTTATTCAAGGCCTGGTCATCTATCTTCTGGACTACTGCAGTATGCTCTACATGGGGCAACTCTTGAAATCCATTCGGAAGCTGGTTCAAAATGTGGTAGGGAGAGCAATCTTTGGGGCCTTTAGAATGGCCTGCATTACACTTCTGTTCTGCAAACTGCACTGCTACCAGTCTGCTTCCGGGTGCAGTTCAAGGTATTGGGTATGACCATAAAGCCCTTAATGACATAGGCCTAGGCTACCTATCTCGCCCTGGTAGGACAAGCCTGCCTCACTTGTGCTGGCAGAGAGGGCCTACTGCAGATCCCTTCGATCAAAGAACTTCGACTATCGGGCTCTAGAAGAAGAGCCTTCTCTGCTTTGGGCACACCTTTGGAACACCATTTCCTCCAGGGTGAGATCTGCCTCCACCCTCCTATCCTTCCATAAGAGTCTGAAGAAATGACTCTTCTGGTTGGTTGGGGACTCAGTGGGGGGTTACCACACTGGAGGTGGCTACTAGACTGATAATAAAAAAAACCCTCTTCCCCCACTTCCTTACCTGCCCATCTTTTGTTCTCATATCGCTGTATTCTCATTTTTTTTCTTTTTCATTGTTCCATTACTTTGCTATGTCATATTTACACTTCTTTTTCATTTCTCCATTTTTATTGTTGTAAGCTGCCTAGAGGTAGCTCAAGGCGAAATCGGCAGGCAATAAATCTAATATACAAATCAGGCCACAGTTTGATACTCACATTGACATACATTGGATCATTTGGGATCACCTGGGATGTCCTTTGTGCTTCTGTTGAGAATCTTTAAAAGGAAAAACAGTGCATTGGAAACCATCAACAAAATACAATAGAGATACAATGGAATATGATGGCTTTCCCTCAGTGTCCAAAACAGGACAATTAACTATTCAACTATTTTATTAGTCAATATTATGCTTCTTAGTCTGTTGCTTCATTTGCAATAGCTATATGATTTTACATAAATTAGCTTTTAAAATGAAGGATTAATGAAAATCAAATCTACGAGAAGTCTAGCTAATTATTGGATAAACGTCTAACGATGAGATCTTTTGGCTTTTGGCTGTCAAAGCTTATCTAAATGTTTACATGACTTTAAACATTGTTACTTACGAAGATTGTGAAGCATTCGCAATACCAAGTGAGTTTAGTTGAGGGTATACTGATGGCACAGCAGAATGAGGATGTGGAGCAATCACACTTTGGGGTGGATAATCTAAAGGGAGGCAAGTTAGTAGTTGTGAATGGCAGAATTTTCCTGCACATATTCAAATACAGGAAACAAATCTAGTCAGCATTGGTAATAACATATTATTAGGGAGCTTAATATTTAGCCTTTTCTTAGGCACACTTATGTGTTGTGAATGCACATGAGATACTATAACATATTGCCTTCTATATGGTAAGCAGAACAGGTAATCCTCGATTTACAACCATAAGTGAATCCAACATTTCTGTTGCTAAGTGAGACAGTCGTAAATTGAATTTTGTTCCATTTTACCCCTTTTTTTGCCACAGTTGTTAAGTGAATCCCTCAGTTGTTAAGTTAGTAACACAGTTGTTAAGTGAATCTGGTTTCTCCACTGACTTTGCTTGTCAGAAGATCATAAAAGGTAATGATATGACCTCGGGACACTGCAACTGCCCTAAATGTGAGTCAGTTGCCAAGCATCTGAATTTTGATCATGTGACCATGGGGAGACTGCAACAGTTGTAAGGGTGAAAAATGGTTATAAGTCACTTTTTTCAGTGCCGCTGCAACTTCAAATGATCACTAAACAAATTGTCATAGGTTAAGGACTACCTGTACATCTGTCATGTTAGACTGGGATAGGGATCCCATAAGCTTCGAGCTATGCAGCGTAACAGTCACACTTTCTGCCACCTGTGTGCAATTTCAAGAGCAATCTACCGTCTTGTTGCCATGCCAGGAAGACAGCAGAGGCACCCAAACCTGCAGCCTCTAAAGAAATTCAGTTAACCAGCCTACCACTACTACTGCTCTGAATGTCAGCAGAATTTTTCTGGTAGCTGAAATGCATTTGAAACAATACTAAATACTGATAGAAGATAAGCCACCATCTTTATTTGAAACATATTCAAAATTACGTTTAAAAATACTATTACATTTAGCACAGCTCTGAAACAAATCTACAAAGTGGAACCCAAAGAAATTATTTTTTTCCTTACATAGCTTCTAGAATTCTGTTAAAATATTGGAGTTTATATATTTTACTTACTCGACTCTGAAGATTGGGGAAGGTCAGTTCTCATAGGCTTTGGCACAGCAGCAGGAAGACAGGAATCAAGGTCAAGCAAATCACAGGAAGGAGCAGATGGTTGGTTGCCAACGGCCTTAAAATTAAACAAAGTTTTTAGACATTATGCCTACTTTGCCTCTAAGCCCATATTAAATACCTATAAACTGCAAATAATCTCTCAATGAAACACATCTTGTAGGCAGTGAGTATCTCTTGAAGTCATTGATTATTTACATACTGTATTCATTCAATTTGCATCCTGCCTGACATAAGCCATAGTGCATTTAAGGTAACAACAACACTAAAATGAACAACATTATTTCAATAAAGGTAGATCAAATCAACACAAGATTTAAAAAACAGAATAGCAAATTCCACTTTATTCCACTTATTTTTCATGAATTTCTAGCAAAAGAAGTAGGTCCTAGCTTGGTGCTCAAAATATTTTGAACTGGGACTAAAAATACTTCTCAGAGGAATAGTAGAACTGATTGTTATATTTTTCTTCATGAGATGGGATGATTTAAGGTCACAGGTAAGCTGTTACAGTTCTTGTTGAGGCAATCTTTCAGATACTCAGCTCCCAAGCAATGTAGGATTTTGTGATGGTTAATACAAGGACTTCTAATTCATTTTATATAGCCAATGTTAAATCTTTCCTGAAAATACACTATGTGGATTCTGACAACAGTTCCCGACAAAACATTTGTGGTTCACTAGCACTGATGATGTTACCTAGTTTGGGTAATGAAACCTCTCCGAGAAAACAACCAAGTTCAGAGAGCATCAAGGACCCCACATTGTTTCAAGTTGTTTCCAGATCATCTTCAGTAATTTTGATGCAGCCTTGTTATTGGAGATCTAAATGGCAAAGCCACACTAACCATTTAGATCTCCAATAACAAGGCTGCATCAAAATTACTCCCAAGAGATTTATTCTTCTTTGGGGGGAGTACAACCCTATTCAGAACAGGCTATTCCTTTAACTCTTGGAACTAAGGGTCAGGTAAAGAACAGCCATCTTATATGAATATGAATTCATATTCATGGTCTTCTGAGTCATTCCAGCCTTCAGGTATTTATTCATCATCTTTATGCACTTACCTTGTTCAGATGACAAGAATTCATATTTGGTTTTATCAGCACCGTGCTACATCTCTACCCCACATACTTATCACTTCTAGGGATTTTATATGAAAAACTGGCTATTCCTCCAGATGTTTGGGTAGGGTCGATGCACCTCTTTCAGATATATGGATTTGCCACTTTGTAACTGTTTTTTAATGGGGGGGAATTGATTTTGATTATGTTGTTATTTGTTTGTTGTTTTTGTATTACTTTTTAAACCTGTAAGCCACCTGGAGTCAGTTGGGAGTTGGATGGCATCAAAAATCAAATCAAATGAATAAATATGAGAAAGCGTGGAGAATAGCATGGGTCTCTATGAAGTTCCTGATGTTGAACAAAAGGTTTCTACAGGTTTTTTGGACACAATCACAAGAAACAAAATCCCCATTTCACCCTATCCTCATACATGTGGATGCCAAAAGTTGCTGATAAATTCAAAAGATCAATAGAGGAATATCCCTCTTGTCTCCTTCCTGGTGAGGACAATCCATTCATTGGCCAAAACCTCTGAAGCATCAAATATAAACTCAAAAGCCAGAATGAAATAATTTACTTCCCTCGAGAATTCCTGCCCAGTTAAGAACGCCTTGGAAATCTTGCTCAGTTTTTATATTTGTTACCTGTTATTTGATAAGCATAAATTATATTGAATGTGATATATGATTCCATGCCAATCAGAAGATCACTGCACATTGAAGATGAGTGAACAAAAGAAAATTGTTTTCTGCTAGGTGAGATTTAGATAAAGGCAGATGATAATAGCTGCTTTCCTGTGTTCATAACATGTTTTTTTCCTCTTCTCTTTCTTGAAGCTCTTCATTCCTATCATGCTTAGAATTGATTTGTATTGCACAAATCCTCACTCCTCCCTGAATGCCTTTGTTTTTTCACTAACTAGAATATATAATGAAGGTAGGAAAATGAAAACTTTCAAAAGAATAAATTAAGCATTCAGTGAACTTAATTCTGTGAACATTCATAGTTTTGGAAGGGAAAAGAATTCAGAATTTTAGGAATACTTACTGCTGCACGTTCATTTTGGATTCTCTGATTCTCCCAGAAACGTACTCTGTTTCTAGAAAATCTAGATTAAAAAATAGCGTAATCAATATAATCAATTTCAAGCAATGCAATTTCAGTGAGTTTTATTAACATAAAACACATAAATATGGAGACTAATAGCAGTCTTCATATTTATACGCAATACCTGTCCTTTTACATTTAAGAGTCTTGGATGACTTAGGTTATTGAAAACTTGGGCACTATTAAGCCATAGATGATATAAGGAAACAAACCTGTAGAGGTATTACTCGAACAACTGAAATAAATCTCCTTTGTTCCTATTGTGCAATAACAGGTAGGTGCTCCTATAAGCACCACATGACTCAAAAGTGAAAAACAAGGATTTCAGATTACCAACTTCCCACTCCTTTCTTGAGTGTACAGAACTGTTGGTTAAAGAAAGTTCTGGAAACTATTCTTCCTGAACCCACCTTATATATCTCTTCATGTGGGAGGAGGCTTAACAAACTAGAACCCTGAGAATTTGCAGCACATTCAGAATATATGGAAACTTTATGGTCGTGCCAGAGGCCTTCTGGAATATGGGGCACAACTGTCACAGTAAAGGATATAGTAATGTCACTCCTGGATAGTAACAAACAGCCTATAAGGCAAAGATGGGAAATTGGTTGTGCTCAAATTGCTTGCAATACTGCCTGGTCCAGCACCCCAATATTCTGGCATCCAAGACTAGTAGAATAACTGCCAGAATTCAACAACACTTTAAAACTATTTTTAATTTGTTTTCAATCCTAAGGGCAGGAATGACAGAAGGAGACCGTCCAAATGCCTCCTGCTCTTAGCCATCTCTAAATCCTGTCAAAAATGGCAATTTTTTCCAGATTAATTTTACCTTTTTTTGACATGGTTGAAGGCTTAAGGACAGGAATAGAACATGAGGCCTTGAGAGACAAAGGAAGGTTGTACTGACAAGTTCCCAAATAGGACAAACCAATCGCATAGTGCCTGCTTCCTGATGATCAAGATAACTGAAAACATATCTGGTTGACTATGTGGAGTGAGTCCCAAATAGATGGAAACTGGTCGTGCAGTGCCTTCCTCTGGTGGTAACACACTGTCCTGAAAGCTCTATAAAATGACTATCTTGCCTATAGGTTACATGAAGCCTAGCAGAAGCAAATGCCTGTTATAGTAACACATACAGATGTCGGGTGCTTCTTCTGTCTAACCAACCAACCAACCAAAATTTCCTGATGAGAGAAAGAGATACACAGTTTGAATTTTATAATTTTTTTGCTTTCCTTGTATTCTTATCTTTCCTAGTATTTGTAACAAAAACTCTGATTGTCAAGAGTTACATTCACACTTCAGGGCAGACCACTTTTTATTGTAATTCTGAAATGTAATCAGAATCTTTTGTTCTTCAATGTGAACTCTCTTTAAAAAATGTGTTTACAAATGAGCCAGGTAATTAGTGTTTGCTCAGCCTCTCAATACTCATGTCCCAAAGTAACTGATCTTCTTCATAAAGGCAATCAGTCAGCTCAAACCAACTTCCAAATCTAACTGAAAAAGAAACATTTGTAGGCTTAAAAATGTGGAATATTACAACCAGCCTTGGATGGAAATCTCAAGCTATATTTCAATAGTAGAACAATGTAGAACAAAGGGGGTTTAGGTCTTCACAATGGTCAACCCTTGGCTTGATTAAATGGGTTTACAATTTTTGTCCCAAATGTGTGATGGCTGATATCTAATTCATTTTACAGCCTCTGAGCACATCTTGACATTGTGTTATAGTTACAGATGATACTATTTTACAGTCATTTTTACAAGCAATTCAGCAAGGAAAATAGTATGATTAACCTATTTATAGATATTTGAACTTTTGGTTAAGGAGTCATGTTTGTTTCTTCCTTGTGATATGCTTCTCAAAAAAGACTGAATTTTGTTCTATACTCACACTCCATTTATTAGGCTTCATATTTGTCCAGTACAAAGAACATGATCTATTCATTTATTATTACTATGAACAGTCCCTAACTTAAGATCCAGAATTGCTTCACCTTTTGTTGGGTAGAAGGAATAAATAAGAGATTTGTTCATGAAGAAAGGCACAATGATTTGTTAGCATAGACTACATATATAACATTAATAATAGTAAGTAATAATACCTTTCATGTCCCAGTAAGACATTATTTAGGTTTTCATTCATTTGTATGAGTTCAGTAATCACGTCTTCATTCTCCACAGTTGCTAGCAATTCCATAATTCTCTCTTGCATTGCCCGACTTGTTTTGTAGAGCTTCTGCCAAGGGAGAAAAAGTAAAAGGTATACTATTTGCATCTGAATAGAAAAAATAAGAGATACTGAAAATATTGAAAATATAAGCAGCACAGGTCCACATGGCATTAAAAAACATGGCATTGATTCATTTATTCCTCCCCAGCCATCATCTCTTGTTTTATAGAGGAAACCATTTTAAAATTGACATAGTAAAAAACTTTTTATAAATGGCCACAAGCCTCTCTCCCTTTTGGTAATTGTAATCATACAGCAATTGCCTTAGGTAGCATCATGAAGGATGCAGCACCAAGAACATGGAAGCAATAGCAAACAGCACTTCAACTTATATATTGCTTTATAGTGCTTACAACATTCTCTTAGCCAGGCTGTAGACCAACCCTCAGGCTGTGGACCATTACTGGTCAATGGCTCATTGGGAACCGGGCAGTGATGGGATTCAAATATGTGAATAACCAGTTCTCTGTGTGGATGCTGCTTCCGGAAGTCCATTTTGGGCCTGGGCAACAAAAAATTAGCTACCGGTTCTGCCAAAGTGGTGCAAACGGGCTAAATCCCACCATGGGAACTGGGCCACGCAAGTGATGGGCAAGTGTGCAAAGCTTTATTTGTGCTTGTGTGGAATCTAGGACGCGCATGTGAAGCCATCCCTCCCCTCTTGCCGCTACCACCAGTCCATGGAGCTAGAAAGGTTGGGGACTGCTGCTCTAAGCGATTTACAGAGTCAGCATATTGTTCCAACAATCTGGATCCTCATTTTACCAACCTTGGAAGGATGGAAGGCTAAGTCAAGATTGAACTCCTAGCAATGGGTGGAGTTAGCCTGCAATACTGCATTCTAATCACTGTGCCACCATGGTTCTTTAAGGAATGGTTTATATCTGAATTTTGCAAGGGATATTCCTGTAGGAATGGGAGGCATTTAGAATGTGTTTCATGGATTGTTGGTGTGCACTTTTAAACATACAGTACATTTAACAAAAACTGTGTCCCATTTTATAAATTTCTCTCTGAGAAATGAGAGGGACCATAATATTAAGACATAGGCTTGGTTTATACATAATGCTAAGGTACACTATTGTTTGTTTGTGCTTACAATCCAACTGCTAAATCATAATTTAACTGGGTGAAAATGTGACATCCAAATTCTAATTACAGACAAAAATATGTTTAGGGGAGAGAGCCTTAACTATAAACTGAAAATATAGATTGATATGGATGTGAACAATAGCTTGTTGAGAAAACCAAGGTTTGGACTTTTTGCTTTTCAAAATTGACTTAACATTTTTATGAATCAGATCCTAGAACAGAGACCTTCTATCTTTCCAATGAGTGTATTTCTGATAGATTTTGTTACATGGAAGTTGAATACTTATTTGGAATATGTGTTCGTGTGCATAGGTACACGTTGCTTCAAGAATCAAGACAGCTAGATAGCCTCAAATTGTAAGATTACAGAAAAGCCAAACATAGCTATCCTTTTCCTCATCATGCATATTTTTGGAAAACTTGAAGATAACACTCCAATTGGCTTACTTTTCTCTTCAGCGAAATTTATTGAAGTATAAAAGGGAAATTGCTCTAACCACTTTTATTACTCTTTTCTGCATCCAATGATTGTTATGACACAATTGATAAACTTTTATCTAAAATACACACTTATTCTATGTTTATTGCTACCTTTAGAGAAAACAGGCTCCTGTGAAGGAAACTGAATTTTCACACCTTTGCTATATATCATTTACGTATTTTTTTTTAAAAAAAACCCTCCTATATTTGTTTTACAAAATACAGCTTCCATTCACTCAAGCATACTACTTTTCTTCAGAAAAGATCTGGAAGAAAGAAATAGAAAACATAAAACCACCACAGCAGGATGCATCAGATATCAATAAACAAACATAAGAGGTTTCAGCGTGCAATCTTATAGTTCCTAAGAAGTTGCCTGTAGGATTGTTCATATTTCCTTGTGAAGAAAAAGAATTCTAGTAGCAAAAGCCACCTTTGGAAAGCCAGAGGCCTCACTGTAAGAAAAGGGAAGCTGAAGATCTACCAGACCCCAAATTATTGTTGCAACATGATTTTAAATTTTTCTAGTTGTGGAAAGAAATGCATTACAATTTGTTTCTTTCTAAAGTGGATAAGGAAAATAAGCAGAAGACTGAATGTTACATGCTTTGAAGCTTCCGACCTTGAAGCTCTGTCAGAGAATAAATGGGACTATTCTGCTTCTGAAGAGTTCAATTATTTTAATGTTCATTTTCACCTTTTTTTTTTTTGTATTCTGCCATTCTGGACATATTTGAATAGGGACAACATCTTGCTTCTCACTGAGATACAGGGAGTAAATCCCGTTGAACACAGAGATATATAGGTATCCCCAAATAAGCATGCATAGAATTGAGCTGCACAGATCTTAGCTAAAGTCAACTGTAGCACAAATGAAACAAACGCAGAAATATAGTGATCATATTTATGATCACTATAATGATCATAAATATAGTAATCCAGAAATCACTGGAGGTCTACCACATATATCATAAACCCCCAGAAGGACAGTCATGCTACAGAATCTTTTGGCATTTAAAGATTAATTATGTTCTGTTGCAGAAACTCATGACATATTAAAAATAAACAAGAAGACACCATATTGCTCCCTAGTCTAATTTCTGTTTCTTCATAAGCTGGTATTTCCATAGCAGTTTTGAATGTTATCTGATTACACGACCACCGTTTTACAGTATGAGGTAATCTCTGCCCTTATTTATTAATTACCACATCTCATTATTTGAAGTCCTAATGTAATGCCACACAAAGCCACCTTATTTAAAAAGGATCAAAAGGAACTGGAGGAAAGGAAAAATGTTTTCCATGCTATAAATCAGGGATAGCCAACTTGTAGTTTTCGGCCCAATTTTCACAAAGAGATCAGCCCAGACTTTGGGGAATAATAGGTGGCTCTTCACAGATTGCTGTTTCACAAAGAAAGAGGATATCCAAAAGGGAAAGAGAATATGATTAAAAAGAGTATATAAAAGAGGGAAGGGTATATTGGACAATCAGTGACCCAGATACTTTGTTTCCAGCAGCACTGCCCCATCCTTTCCTTAGCTTGGGCCAAGGGATGGCAACTGAGGGAATCTTGTCACTATGGAAAAATGGTGGCCTACTTCAGCTACAAACACTTACACAAAGCTGTCGGCTGCCGACCATTTATTTAATGACTGTTCAGAGTTAAAGTGGCATTGAAAAAATAACTTATGACTGTTGAAATGTCCCTGCAGTCATTTATTATATTTATATCCCACTTTTATTATTTTACAAATAATTCAAGGTGGCAAACATACAAAATACTCTTTCCTCCTCCTGTTTTCCCCACAACAACAACCCTGAGTTGGCCTAAGAGATAGTGACTGGCCCAAAGCCATTCAGTCAGCTTTCATGGAGAAGGCAGGACTAGAACTCACAATCTCCCAGTTTCTAGCCTTAACTGCTACACCAAACCATGTGATCAGAAATCAGGCACCCAGTAACTGGCATGTATTTATGACAATTGCAGCATCTCAGAGTCACATGATTACCATTTGCAACCTTCCAAGGGGGCTTCCAACAAGCAAAATCAATGGGGGAAGCCAGATTCACTTAACAACAGTGTGATTCATTTAATGTCAGTGGCAAAAAAGGTCGCACAATATGGCATAACTCACTTAACAACTACATTGCTTAGCAATGGAATTTCTGGTCCCGAATGTGGTTGTAAGTCAAGGGCCTTATCTGTATTAGAAATAATGTAAAAGAAATACTATTTTTTAAATGGAGAGAAACCAAACAGATGCTATGGTTTTTGAAAGAACACATTTTGCCCCTTCTTTGTGATTTCTGTTCACACTCCACACATTTTGGAGTCTTGTGTTTGGCAGAATTGGTTTTTATTAATAAGAAAAGAGCTAGATGAAAAGACATCTCACTATGCTCAGAAAGCTTCTTGACCATACAATAGACATTCTGGGGAATTCAGGGAGCAACTGAGGAATTGTCAGAACCAGCTGAGCAATCTCACTTGGAGCATTTCTTGTTTGTGATACGCCACCCATATTTTTACCACCAGCTAAACTTCTGTATAATGACTGTGCTTGATGGTAGTGCAGAAAGTATTTTCACCTCCAGCACAAAACAAAAACAACAATAACAACAAAAACCCTATGTGATGCTACCTGCAGAAGCGCCATATCATCTGGGTTTTCTGATCCAGGAACATTTTCTTTCAATATTGCTGACATGACTCTGACATTCATTTTTACCATGTCCAGTTCACTGTAGAGCTTTCCAACCTGTCCAAAAGCATAAGATTCAATTCAAAATAGAATGGAAGGCCTATTGTGGTCTGTGATTTTTTAAAAAAAAAATCAACATTTTTATCAGAACATTGTCTTATTGGCTTATAAGGCGAACGATGTTCCTTCTCTTCTTAAATTGAAAATTCAGGCTCATTTCCCCAGCTAGGTGGAAGAAGCCTGTCCTACCAGACACCCACTAAATTAAAATGTATTGATAAGATAGGAAATGATAAACTAAACACTTACACTCTCATCCAAATCTAATAGAGAGATAATGAGTCTTAATCTGTAAAATATTTGAAGAAATAAACCGTACCTGCTCAGGAATCAGTGTTATTATTGCAGCTGGGGAGAGGGGTTGTGAAAGGCACTGCTGGGAGGAATTATAAGATATCCTTGTAGACAAAGCCTGTGGATACAAATAGAAGACTTTCAATATTTAAAGCTAGGAGATACTTCAAATAGGTACATATATTTATATTGGTGTGTACATGCAAATATATTTAGGAACACCTTTAAGCTGTCAATCACAGTTGAATTCTTACTTTAGCCTTAAATTCAATAGCATGAGTCTTAGTTGAAAATTTTCTTCACTAATGAGGCTTAACATACAATTTATGACCATTCGTTTAGCAACCATTATAGATAAATCACATTTCAAATGCAATCTCTTGATGTCTTTAAACAACCATCAGAAACCAACTGATCTCAAGTACTGATCTCTTATTTGGTCCAAATGTCCTAAGTCCCAACAGTAACTAAGTGATATCATACTCACGTAATGTTTATAATCAATATCAGGGTTAGATTGAAAAATATGTAGTACTTGTTAATGAAAAAACTAGCAACAGTCCAGTTAGATAAAGTGAATACTATGCACTAAGGTAGCTTAAAAAGTGAGCATACAGGGAAGTTGCAATTAGAGTGAGTTAAAATAATGCAATATTTGATTTAATGCAAATTGCAAACTGATACCAGGTCGCATTTAATGTGATCCAAAATTTAGTTTATGCAAGGCTAGTGAATGCAGAATTGAGATTTGCACATGCACAGTTGCAGTTTTAGATGCTGCTAATCTTTATGGGCAAAATGGACAAAAGGAAGAAAAAAAGTACAAAATTGAAAAAGAGGAGGCTCATATTAGAGCAAGAGCCGAGGTGGCACAGCAGTTAGAGTGCAGTATTGCAGGCCACTTTAGCTGACTGTGTTCAGCAGGTCAGCGGTTCAAATCTCACCGGCTCAAGGTTGACTCAGCCTTCCATCCTTCTGGGGTAGGTAAAATGAGGACCCAGATTGTTGGGGGCAATGTAAATATATATATACATTGCTTACTGATGTACACTGCTTATAGAGAGTGCTTGCACTTAAAGCGGTATATAAGTCTCATAAATAACTAAATAAATAAAGGGTGTCAAACTGGTGGTCTGCAGGCTGGATGTGTCACCCGCAGGCCACACCCACCCAGGCAAAGGCAAAAAACATTGCGATACGTCATGATACGTCACACGATGCGATCGAGTTTGACACCCATGTATTAGAACAACTATTTACACCCAAGTAAGTGAACAGCACAAATGTGATCGCAGCAATGCTAAAATAGGAGGAAATGTTGGAATGTCTGAACCTATAGTAGATTTTTTCTGGCTTTCTATAACTATTCTGTGACTTTCTTAAACATAAATTTAAATTAAAAGCATATTATTTTATTGTTTATTGCAGTGTTTCTCAACCTTAACAACTTTAAGATTTCCTATTTTGGTCAAGCTGGAACGAATTACCATATTGAAATATCATTTTGAATAATGCAAATTTGAATAAAGTGACCATCTTGTGGGATTCATTAACTAATCAAGACCTATCTATATACCCATTGTTATGAATTCTGGGAAGTAAACTTCCCTGTACTTTTAAGGCATAATAATAATAATAAAATAATAAAAAAAACATTTATTTAAACCCTTTGCCGATTTCAAAAGATATCTTGTGTTTTCTGTCCAAGTGTTCAGTTTTGTTTACATCTTTGTGGAATTTTGTAAAGCCTTCAGGGTAATCCAGGCACTTAATTTCCTTTATCCTGAGGAAGAAACCTGGGTTACTAGGATTTCGTGGGCAGATTCAAAGCTTCAACTTCTATGTTTCCTGTTTAAGAAATAGTTTTAAACTATTCCTCCTACTCTTAGATTTTTTTAAAAAGCTCCAAGGCAGAAAAATATGACTGGCTTCATAAGCAAAGGAAATCACTGTGCCAAATAGACGTTATTGAATTAATTAACACACCTTCTATGCACGTGCAAATCTTTGCAACTTGCAGAGCCTGTTCAGATCAACAGCTCCCAACGTAGCACTTACCTTAGTGGTTCTCCTGTTGATCTCTGAGGATGGAAATTCAACTCCTTTCTTAAGAAGCTCCAGATAAACCTCCTTGACTTCACTCACATCCACAGCATTCTGAAATCCCCTGGCCCAGGTCTGTTTGCAAAAAAGATTACAATTCCTGAAACAATTAACTCTCCTTCAAAACCTTAAAACTCCCATTTGGGGCCAAAAACTGGATAACAGCTATTTCTTCAAAAGACTTTCAGAGGAATGTGGCTGTATCAGAAAAGAACCTGATGCACCAAATTCTCCTCTCCCATCTTGCTGAATCAGCACATGGACAGATCAAGACAGAGCGAAGTGATTCCTTGGTATTCCAGATGGAACCATTTTAGAAACATTAAGAGATGTCTATGTATCAACACCAAATCAAAGATTCAGAAAAAAAAATGACCAAGCTATTTAATGAAGATCTCTCAAATTTCTCAAAATGGATCCTTCAGAACAGGGATTCTCCTTTTCCTACATAGAACCAAAGGCCATGTCACTTCCATTTCCTTCCCTTTCCCACCTCACTCTCATTGATCCTAGACAGAGGACTTGCTGTGTCGCCTATGCAGAGGTGACTGGTGAAGATGTCATCAAAATGGTCACCCTAGAACAGTGATGGTGAACCTTTTAGAGACTGAGTGCCCCAAACCGCCCCCCCATCCCCGTCCCTGTTCCGCCCTGCTGCTGGGCCACCCACCACCTCCACGGCCCGCCACAGATCACCCAGGCAGCCCAGCAGCGCCATGGCGGCCATGTCCTCTGCCCGTGCCCCGCAGCATCTGCACATGACGGGGCGCAAGGGCAGAGTCTTGTTCCCGCTGCCTGGCTACAATGACCTTGGCTGCACTGCTTCGCGTGGGCCGCACCCGGGGGTGACTCTCCTCCGGGGAGGCTGTTGGTGAGGAGGGGGTCATGGGAGGAGGCAGGGCTGGGGCAACGGTGTGTGTGCCCACAGAGAGCGCTCTGAGTGCCATAGGTTTGCCACCACTGCCCTAGAAAGTGATAAGGGAGCGAAAAAGAGCAATCATTCTCTCCCTCTCTTTTGTGGGCCAGGTAAATATATTTATTTTTGGGACCAGAGGCTGGATTATTTCAGGTGGCAGGCCACATCCAGCCCACAAGTCATAAATTGCCTACCCCTGCTTTGGATAACACACACAAAAAGACAAGATTTAACTTTAAAAAGGGATTGCCAAAGATAGGAAGTTATAAAACTACACATTCTGCAGATGTTTTCCTGATTCTTACATTACACTAGAGGTCCTCCCATTAAATTGACTTGTAATGTGGAAAGAACCATAGTCTTCATATAATGCCTCTCTTGAGAGGCAAAATGCTTTTCCATATCCATAGGGAGCATGGGCAGGGCAATAATTAGATGGAACCTTTGATCCTTCTTTTGTTCTTCTCAAAACTGGTGTTTCTCATATTCATCAAACATATGAATGTTTATTCCTCTATGTCAGGGGTGTCAAACTGCCGGCCCTTGGGCCGGTTGCATCATGTGGAGGCCACGCTCACCCCAGCTCCGGCAATGCAAAAAAAGTTGCGACCCATCGCAACATGGCACGTGACGCAGCAAGTTTGACACCCGTGCTCTATGTGATAGGTTAGCTTTCAACATAAGGGAGAGAGGAATTACTAGTAGTACAAAAAGACGTGCTAAATTTTGATTTTTATTTCATGGAAGTCATCCTAACTGTTTAGCAGCTCTCAAAAATAGTGGTGTCAATCAGTTATTAAGGATCAGAGATTAGAATATCATTTTATTCTCGATGGCTAGTAAAGCTGGAAAGCTCTATGAAAGTAAGGCTGACTTTATTTCTTACTTTCACAGATCTTTCCAGCCTTAGAATTTCTGGTTCTTAACCGATGCTTGATACAAGTATTTCTGAGAGTTGGTAAACAATTAGAATGATTCCTCTACTGACTGAAATAGTTTTGTGAAAGTGTAAATTTTATACCTTAGGTAAGCAAACTGATGTTCTGGATGTTTTGGATCCAACTTCCATAATCCATTACTATTGGCTTCTGGAAACTGAAGGCTAAAACTGGACATGAAGGTTTCTTATTTCTGTTTTGGCCCACTCAGATGTAGAAGTGAATTTATGATTCAGTATGATCCCATGATACAGTAACTGACAGTGAAGAAAAACTCCCACTTTCCCATCAGAAGCAATTCTTTTATTTGCTGATTGGGAAAATAACTTTTTTTAAGAGCAGAAAAAAAATGCCCTATGTTTTTTCAGTCTGAGCAGATAGGGAAGCTTATGCAACTACAAAGGAATCGTTTGAAAACCAGGGCAACAGATTCTCTATCCTTCTCTGCACTTTCTGTTCTCCAGCTTCAAAGAGAAGAAAAGGAAACTGTTTTTCACACAGTCCCTCCCAGGCACCACAGCATAGCTTGTCATGAAACACTGATTACATTTATTTCATAGAGGAAGCAAAAGGGAAATAAGGGGGGGGGGGGAACTTACCATGATAAAAGTCAAAATTTTCTCCTGCAGATCCACTGGTAAGTTAAACTTTGGATTCAGCAGCTTTACTAGTCTATCTTTGCAAAAATCTCGTTTCACTACCAGAGATTGGAAACGTGACCCACAGTTCTTTATACACATCTCAAGGAGCTGCAAAAAAAAAAATGGTTTTTTGCATCAGTGATATGAACAATTTCATTTACTTCCACTTCTGTTAGAGCAATACCCTACGAAGCTCCCTTTGTTTCTATTTCTCCTGCCCCATTTTTCACTGCACCCCTACATCAGTTACCACCTCAAGCTTCCTCTTATACTACTGAATGTTTCTCAGCCACTGGTTCTCCTAGTGCAAAGTTTCTTAAAATACATTACACAGGTCATCAATTGCCTGAATAACTTGAAATGATTCTACAAACTGGTTGCAAGTTAAAATTGGGAGGAAGGGGCAGGCAAAGAGTTATATGGAGTTTGGATCCATTCAGTCTTGGTAGCCAAGTGAGCCGAGCACTTATCCATGAATTAAGAGGGGGCAGTGGCAGATGTCTCCTCAAATGTCATAGATGAAACAGTTGAAGAAAAACAATCACTAGAAGACACTTGAATGAAAACTCACAGAGAATATGAGCTTTTAAAATCAAATGACACCTATGATCCCACTATCTTTCTCTTCAGTACCTCTTCTGGAAAACAGATTTTCAGCACTCAGCTACCGAAACAAGATGAACAATATGTTGATTCTAAGTTTTTAATTATCTCATTCCAAATATTGATGAAACATGCTACCCTATGCAAGTTCACACATTCCTTAAAATCTATAACCAATATATGAGATGTAAAGGAAAATATAAACTATCACTAAGATATGTTAGTGGCACAGTTTTATTGTTTTCTCAGATATACATTCAATGGGTTATGCATATGACTATAGCAGAAGGGCGCTACCTTCAGATCAGATAATCAAAATACAGTATTTAACTCATTTTATAAGAGCAGTAAAAATGCTACAAAGCTTTCTCAATCACAAAAGAAACACCAAGAGACAATAACATAATGTTAAATTTAAACAATGCCATTCCAGGATCCTGAATCACTTACAGTCTTTCAGTAATGATATTCCCATCATCAAGAATTCCAATGACAATTAAAAACAGGTTATTATATCACTGCTATCCTGTAATTTTATAATGATCTACTTCAGACTGTAACTCTAAAATAAAGTCATTGTTTTAGGCACACATAGAGCATCAATTCTCCCATTGAAGAAAGAACTTCATTTTCAATTAGCTGAATTTTATATTTAAGTCTCAATCCAAACCTGTAGTTAACCAGTGGTTAAATATGGCTGAGGGGATCAAACCAGCTTTATAAACATAAATGTCTTCTCTGATAAGCTTCAGTGTATAATGAGAATCCCCAAGGCTATATGGGTAGTCACTGAGTTATAACTGTTCATTTAACAATGGTTCAAAGTTACAACAGCCTTTGAAAATGAGACTTATAACCTGTCCTCTAAGTTACAACTGTTGCACCGTTCCTGTGGTTCCATAACTGCAATTTGAGCACTTGGCAATTGGCTTGCATTTACAATGGTTGCAATATATTACTATCATGTGAACGTGATCTGAGACCTGCTCAACTGGCTTCCGACAAGCAAAGTCAATGAGAAAAGCCAAATTCACTTCACGACTGCATGATTCAATTAATAGCCATAGTAAAATGGTTATAAAATCAGGTCTGGTCATGAGATGCCTCACTTAACAACCACTTCACTTAGCCACCAAAATTCTGGTCCCAATTGTGTTGATAAGTCAAGGACCAACCTGTATATTGTCCCCAATGTTTGTAATGCAGGCCTAGGATGTTTTGTAAAATTGGTACTGAATTCTTGGTTTTATAATGTGACAAAAGAGAGAAATTAAACACATGGGGCAGAATTATATTAGTGGTATTAATTTGTTTTTGTTATAAGATTTAATTTAAATCGATGTCAGGAAAAGGCTCTTCAACTTTGAAACAGTTGGGATCTCTTGTACTAAATCAGAGTTCTCAGACCTTATGGTGCCATGCAAATTTGTATCAATCATGCCAATGATAATAGCAATGGCAATACCAATAGCAGTAGTAATAACTGTAACAGCAACAAATTATAGGGATGTTTATAATTGCTTAATAATTAAGCCATCTCTAAATGTATGGTGTTTTTTGGACTGCATTCTAGAAGCCTGAGATATGCCAATCTACAACACCCCTGTCAGCTAGTTGAGGATAGGGAGATCAGAACTCCTCTCCATGTCTGAAAATTAATATATTAGGGCTAAAAGTGTCATGGTTCTGACAGATGAAACTCTTCAAAGAACTTCGAGGCATTGTTTACTTTAAAGAATCTTTATTCGAGAAGCATAGCATCAGCACTAACACAATCGAAGCCAAAAAACTGGATTTCCCTCCCCTGAGCGCATAGTATCAAAGCACAATTCCCTCCTCCAATTAACAGTCATAAATCACATTCTCCAATTAGTTTGAAATGCAGGCTTTCTCTCCAGTTCTCCAGCCCACCAATTTTTATCTCTTATTTCAATAACTTTGGTTCACACACTAGGTCTAGTAATGTTATGTCTAGCTAAACTCTCATGCACATTCCTCCTCCCAGCATCATCTAACTCTAACTCTAACTCTAAGAAGAAAACATAAGAAGAAAATGGTTGCATCTCCAACTGTTGTCAAAGCAAAAACATCCGATGTTAGCAGCATTGACAGAAAGCTGCTTAAAGCCTTCTTCCTGGGGGACTCAATTCTCTGCCCACCAGCTATGAATTCAGAAATTTATAACCCCCCCCCTCTAATTTACTCATAATCACTGGGGAGTGGGAAGCATGGCTCATTGTTTGACCACTTCTGCACTACAAGACAATAAAGTTAAGCCAGTTTCACTGGATAGATCATTGTTCATCCATAACAGTAAAATGCAGAAAACAGTAGGAAAATCTAATACCCCCAAATCACAGATTAGAAAAGCAGCAAGCAAACCAGATTAAAAAACAGAGATGGTGGGAGGGAAAAGGAATGAATGAATGAAGTGAGGGAGAGAGAAGGAAGGAAGGAAGGAAGGAAGGAAGGAAGGAAGGAAGGAAGGAAGGAAGGAAGGAAGGAAGGAAGGCAGGCTGTCATAGGAAAAGGGACTATATCACAGCTACAGTATATCACATAGGGGCTATATCACAGCTACCAAACGTCTTAGCTAAAATAATGAAAGACATGTTAATCAGCTATTTGCTCACAGAAGCAGGTTTAAAGTGGTTTTGTGTATGAAAAACATTTTTTGCAAGATAAATGAAAAAATTAGCGACACTTCTCCCTTTACTGCACTTTCCCTATACAGACAGCGATGAAGAATTACTGGATCTTGTATTCCATTAAAGTAGTTTAGTCCTCCTATTGGTTTTCAATAAGCTGAAACAGCTAGATTGAGAGTGTGAATTAAAAGCCTTTTTTTTTTTTTTTTTTGGCAAAGCATTTGTGAGTGAACTAATGGAAGCTACTTCCATGGTAACAGCTATTTTCATCAGAGAAGAATGCCCCAGTTAGGTCATCAATTGGTACTGAGCCACATCCATTGGAATGAAATATAAATATTTATTGTACTGTATACTGCAAATTCTCTCTCCTGCTCCCAGTAAATGTTGATCCTTTCAAGTACCTAGTCATATTTTTGCAAGACCCAAAAGCTGGTATAGAATATTTGAAGAAAATAAATGAGTTAGGAGCTTTACCGGGCTTCAAAATAAATAGAAAACAACAATGTTTGTTAACAATAAGACTTTTCAGGACTATGAAACAGTGACAAAAAAGGTCGGGATTCAAGGTGGAGAAAAAGGTGAAATATCTTGGAGTTATATTGACAAATACAAATTCTAAATTGTTTCAAATTTTTTACCTGTGTAGAATGATATCAAAAAAAAACCACCTATTAAGATGGGACAACTTGCAATTATCTTTTTTGGATAGAATCTGCATAATTAAGATGATTGTCTTACAAAAGATGTTATTTTTATTTCAGACTTTATGGATTCTTTTAAATTATTATAAATATAAGTATTAATAAATAATGGCAAATGGCCATTTCTAAGTTCATATGGCAAGGGAAAAAACCAAAGATTGGATACAAATTATTGCAAGATGCTAAAGAAAGAGGAGGTTTGGGTTTACCAGATTTGAAATTGTACTTTGATGCTTGTTGTTTGGTCTGAATTAAAGAGTGTGTAACTCTCCAAAATAAGAGATTGATTACTTGAACTGGAAGGTCATGAACTAAGAATTGGATAGTGTGGCTGCTTATGGTATGACGGTTAAATAAATGTTGATTTCAACAACCACTTTTTTAGATGTGCCATCCTAAGTCTTTTGAATAAATATAAAATAAGGTTCTCTGTGAAGATACATTGTTTGGTGTCAGCCCAGGAAGCTTTTTTAAAAAGAAGAATTGATGGTGAGGCCAGACTGGTGGACCTATACTCAAATAATACTTTTTAGTCAAGGTGAACCTGCCTTCAAATCCAAAGAAGAGTTGGAATCAAAGGAACATGTTTGTCACTGATTTACATATCTATAATTGAAAGAAAGGTTTAAATTAGATTTTTAAAAGCTTTGGATTTGACTGTGCAAAAAAATGAATCAGAAACTGTACTAGGTGGTAATGAGGAACATATTGCTAAGGTTTATAAACTGTTATAAAAATTGAATTTGGAAAATAAGTGTGTGAAGCACTGTATGAGCCAATGGACAAAGAATTTTGGGTATAATATAATGCTTGAACAATGGGAAAATATTTGGACAATGGGTTTAAAGTTTACATTAAATTATAAAATATTTTTTTTGTAAACTGATGTACCATTGGTATTAACACCAGATAAAATGTCAAAAACGTATAAAAATATTTCAAATGCATGTTGGAAATGTAAATATAAAGAATAAATGTTTACTATGTCTGATAGACATGTGACAAAGCAAAAAAATATAAGAATAAGAGTCACATTTAATATAGAAGGTTCTTAAAGTGAGAATAAAGTTGAAACTAGAGATGGACAAAGAACTTGAAAAAATGGAACTGTTGTTATATATGTTGACATTAGCAAGAATGCACTATGCACAAA